AAACTGTTTCATAGATTTCAAAAACTCAAGGACTAAAGTCCAATTTCTCCAAAATCTTAAAGAGTTAATTAGGAATAATGTACTTCTCGTCTTTATTAAGATATATAGTGAATATTTTTTTTTAATTGAAGCCATTAATTTTATAAAAAAATATATTAACATGGATATACCTCCAAATATACTCTATTTATTATCAACCATAGCGAAAATCTTTAAAAAAAAAAAAAGAATTATTGCATCATTCTAATAATAATAATTAAAAAAAAGCCTAAAATGATGATTGTCAAATAATCGTAATTTACTTTCCAAATATCCAAATATTCGGACACGCACTTCTCGACATTAACTTTTAAAAAAAGTTTTTTATTCTCGATCGACAACAATCATCAAACAAATTAACAATCAAAACTATTTTAGATATATAATATTATATTTAGGAAGAGTCATTTAAAAAAGTAAATATATAGAAAAAAAAATCAATATTGTGTTTTGATTCAATTTGAAAATAACATAATGAACTACTTCAAAAAGTATTGAAATTAAAATTTTTTATTATGATGATCTTATCAAAACTAGTGAGTATGACTTTGTACTTTAAACCTAAAGACATAACATTTTTTATTATTATGGTACGAGGTTGGGCTACAAGTTTGTGGTGCTTGTTAGGGTAATCTTGGTCTTATGGTAATGGTTTTGGGAGAGAAAGTGGTGGCGGATCTGTAGGCTAACCCGGGGGGTTTTTGGGTTTGTGAGAGAAAGAGGCTTTTTATTTTTTTTCTGGTTCCTTTTTTTATGGTCTCCCTTTCTTTTCGAGAAATTTTATAATATACCGGGAGTAATTAATATTATGTATAATAGTTACTCCATGAGCTTATTTTGAGGAGAGAGATAGACACATAAAAAATAATGAAATAACATTTATGCCCATCAAAAGTGATAAGAAGATTTTCATGTCCGCTCAAATTTTTTTATTTTCTCTCTCCTATTTTTCTCTCTCTTTTTTTTTTGTGTCTATCTCTCTCTTCAAAGTAGGTCCATGAAGTAACTACTATACATGTCACTAGTTATTCCCGGTGTATTATAAAATTACTCCTTCTTTTCTTGATTTTTTTTAATGATATTTATAATCCTAACTTAATTAGTCTTAATTCCTATTAGGAGTGACTTAGCTCTCGAGTTGGATTAGGCTATTCTAAAATGAGATTAAGCCTAATTAAATTGATTTAGAAATGTCCAAAATTTTATTCATAGCCCCCACATTTTTTGTTTTTTCTTCTTTTTTCTTTCCACTCATTTTTTCTTCTCTTTTTTTTTTTATTTCCCTTTTTTTGTTTAATTTTTCTAAACTCAAAAAAATTATGGGATTTCTATTAAACACAACACATTTAATTAAAAAATTTTTTAATTTTCATATTTTTTTAGAAAAATATGTAAAATAAAATGTCCAAAGTTTGGTGATAACAAATATCTAGATATAGAATTCTATAGAATCATTTTTTGTCGTTAGATCAATTAGATCATAATCATCCATTAAGAAAGTGAAAAATTATATATATATATATATATATAGGTGAGGCCTTCATTTAGCTAAAGCATCCAGGAGAGGAAATTCAAGAAAATGTAATGGAGAGTTGTAAGACTTAGAGAGAGAGAGAGAGAGAGAGAGAGAGAGAGAGAGAGAGAGAGAGAGAGAGAGAGAGAGAGAGCAATATAAAGAATTTATCTATTATCTCTTGTGTTTGTCTTTCTTACTTCATAGCTTTATGTAGGAGATAGACTAATTTGGTTTAACTTAAGTGAGAAGTAATCAAATGCCGTATGGAGAGCTTGAAAAAGGCCAAGTCCATGACACCGAGTCTTCCATTATGAAAAATGAGTATTGTATTTTTTGGCTTACCAACTTTCCTTGCCACCTAATTTGTGGCCTAGTTTTACTATAGACATGAATTAGTTTTTTTACCTATGCTATATTACGAGGTTGGATAAAATATATACAATCGTTACATAAAAAGTATAGAAATGATTCAATTTTTAGTCTAAAATAGGACCAAATCACTATATAATTAAAATAGTAAATTTTAAATAATAAAAACAACTAACAAAAAACACCAAAACAAAATGGGACCAAATCACAATACAACTAAAGATTGAAATTGAAAAACAAATGTATAGAAAAATTGAGGACCATACAATTTTAAATTAATTGGATGAGAATTTAAAAAAAAAATACAAATTAAAGTAGTAAAATTTAAATAATACAAATAATTAAAAAATACTAAAATAAAATGGGATTGAATCATAATACAATTAAAGTTTGAAATTGAAAAAAAAAGTATAGTAAAATTGAGGACTAAAGATGTATTTCAAAAAAATTATATATATTAATCATGCCACTATAATTTAAAAATTATCTAAATATGTTTTTCAAAAGAAAAAATAATCGTGTTCTAAAAATTTATTTCAAAATCCATACATATAAAAAAATAAATCAAAATTATCGAGTAAATATAATTTTAAATTAATTAGATGAGAATTAAAAAAAATGACAAATCAAAGTAGTAAATTTTAAATAATAAAAATAATTAAAAAAAAAGTAAAACAAAATGAGACCAAATCACAATACAATTAAAGTTTGAAATTGAAAAAAAAATGTATAGAAAAATTGAGGAGCATATAATTTTAAATCAATTGGATGAGAATTTTAAAAAAAATGACAAATTAAAGTGATAAATTTTAAATAATAAAAATAATTAACAAAAAACACTAGAACAAAATGGGACCAAATCACAATATAATTAAAGTTTGAAATTAAAAAAAAATGATAATTTAAAAAAAAATTAAAGTAGTAAATCTTAAATAATAAAAATAAGTAAGAAAAAATACTAAAAAAAAGGGACTAAATCACAATACAATTAAAGTTTTAAATTGAAAAAAAAAGTATAAAAAATTTGAGGACCAAAGTGTTATAAAAATACCATGAATAGTGAAAGGAATAATGATTTGTGAGTGTCTGAATAGTATTTTAAATAATGAATGAATAATAAAATCAATGGTTTTATTTTTGTTTTATGCATAATGTATAATATTTTGTCTTTAGTAATGCATTTACTTTTTTGAAAGAAAGAGAAAAAAAAAAACAATATTTACTTTTAGCTCAACATAATATCTAAGCAACTGTTTGATAGGTTTCAAAAACTCAAAGACTAAAATCCAATTTATCCAAAATCTTAAAAAATTAACTAGGAATAATTATTTTTTCCTCTTTATTAAGATAATGCCATATGGCATTAAAAAAAAAAACGAATCCATTTATTTTATAAAAAAATATATTAACACGGAATTTACCTCCAAATATACTCTATTTAATAAAATTTCAAAAGGAAAATTTACATACAAATGAAGAATGTGAAAACATTGACTGATTTACATACAAATTCTCCAAATAAATGGGCAAGCAAAATAACTAAATGAAGTCAATTAACAAATTAATTAATTTAATTGATGAAAAATATCAAAAGGAATGAAACTTCATAGCTAAAAGATATCTCTTGACTTTTCACTTGAGAAAGCAAAGAAAAAGGTATGCCCTTTGAGTTGATGTTTGTGGTCCTTGACTGTTGAGATGAGAACTACTGGACGTGATAATAGTCAAGCTAGGGGGCTGCATTAGGGTTTCCATGGTTGAAAGTTGAAGAATAAGCATTGCTAGAAGATATTTCTACGTTTTTCACTTGAGAAATTACAAAGAAAAGGGTATGCATTTGGGAGGAAATTTACTGATCAAACATGCACAAACTTGTATGCCAACAGAGATAGTTAATGACGTTAAGGATTTCTGTAATACTCATTTTTGACAAAGACATTATTGTAGGTTCAATTTGGACGATTGTGTTATTATGGTTTAGTCCATTAGACAACAAAGGTCTCTCTATTTATAGTCAACATAATTTTTCATTAACTTTGACTTTTATATAAGATACAGATGTCAGCTTTCTATTAGTTGTGTGTGTATATATATATTAGCTCCTGTTGGCCTAGGTATTCTGCTTGACCCTGAACAGAACCTAGGAATAGCCATCTGTTACGTTGCTGAAATGTATTCTGCTGACCTTGCAAATTCTAATATAATGATGTAATTGACTAAAGAAAGTTCGAGTAATTTACTGGTTCCCAAGCTTTGTGCTAGAAGTCACCATGAGCCATTTGTGGATTGAAAAGTGGTAGTAAGTGATTCGGAAAATTGCAGTTGCTGCTGCTGTATCAGTTACGCTCGTTAAACTTAGAATATATGTAAAAACACATGTTTCGAGTGCTAGAACTGGAAAATTGGAACAAAGATTGATTTACAAAATTTAAAGATCTTCTAATGTCAATGGACTGTGACATATCTTTTAACTCACCGCTTACCAAATGTTGATTGTTATCGAAACGAAATATTATCTTACGGGCTTTTTTTTCTTTTTTTACATTATCCATAATAAGATATTTTTTAATTAATTTTTATGTCAATTGAAATTAAATTATTTTTTTTGAATTTCAAGAATTAGCGTTGGATGACACGGAATTTTGAGTCGATTTTAAAAACTGGACTCTTCAGTTCATTAGCACTATATTATAGTATTTTTTTTGTTGTAATCAAGTCCAATATCCATTAGGTATAGATCTTTGCTACAAAGACCCTAATGGAATATGAGTAAACACTAAATTTCCAGGTTGACTAGAAATTACTTCTAATTAACGACTTGCAAATTAAGGTTAATTGAATAGTCGCAAATTTAATGCACGATGTTCTTTCAATTGAACATTTCAAACTTTGGGACAATGACAAGACACATAAACAGCGCAACTTGTAACATCAAAGTCGTCTAGGTATTTACCTTGTGAATTCAAGTATATAAATGGGCAAATCCAGCTTCTGATTTAATTATTTGTTTAGGTTTTTTTGGTTTATTATTATTATTATTATTTTATGTTTAGTCAGTTTAGATGAAGCAAAAATAATGTTGAAGATTTGGGTGTCTTGGCTAATGATTATGTTGCTTTTGTGCTCAATAGCAACAGCAATAGCTCAAAGTCCAGCCGATTCAAAACCTGGTTGCCGAGACAAATGTGGTAATGTTAGTGTTCCCTATCCATTTGGCATCGATGATCCCGGTTGTGCCGAAAACGAGGACATGTATCTAAATTGTAGTCAGAGTGATGGTGATGATCCTGAGAAGTTGTGGTTTGATAATGTTCCTCTTCTTAATATATCAGTGCTTGAAGGCTCAATGATTGTCAGCATCCCCACATCATATGACTGCTACAACCAGTCCGGGTTGATAAGTAATGTTTCTTATTCTATCAATCTCGGCCAGGGCCTCTACATGTTTTCAGAAACCCAAAACGTGTTCACAGCTATAGGTTGTGATACTATGGCTTTTGTAAGCAACGAAGAGGTAACATATGGGGCTGCTTGTATCTCCTTGTGCAATGAAACTGTGAGTCTGGCCGACAACAGTTCTTGCTCAGGTTCAGGATGCTGTCAGACTTCAATTCCTAAGGGTCTGAAGTCTCTGTATATTAGCTCCATGTCTCTACAAAACCACACGAATATTTCAGACTTCAATCCTTGCGGATATGCGTTTTTAGCGGATAAAAGATCCTTCAAGGCTTCAGATTGGCAGCTCTCAGGTTGGCCAGATGGAAATGTTTCAGATGTTGTGATCGACTGGGTTGTCGAAACTAAGACGTGTGAACAGGCTCAAGCGAATACTAGTTCATATGCTTGCAGTAATAATACTAATTGCTCTGAGAATGGCCAAGGATATCGTTGCGAATGCAAAGACGGATTCACAGGAAATCCCTATCTCTCACCAGGATGCCAAGGTAATCTATTGTTACGGTTGAGTCAGACGTAATTTGTTTGGGCTTTTATTCTTTCTTTTCATTTTTATTAAGCTAGTTTCTTGATTCAACTTCATATAAATCAAACAGATATTGACGAATGCGCTGATCAACGAAGATATCCTTGCAAAGGAAAGTGCAAGAACACGCCTGGAAATTACACATGCACTTGTCCACTGGGCATGCATGGTGATGGTAAAACAGGTTGTCAAGGATTTGGTATTGCCACAATAGCTTCAGGTAATTTCATTTTCAGCCTTCTGGGCAGCCAGCATGCATTATTTCCTGGATTCTACATGTAAATTTGCTCTGATTCATTGATTCAGCTACCCCATGTTGGATTTCTAAACATGGCAGAAAAAAATAAATCACTTCTTTATATACTTCTTTAATTGATCCATCCCCATATCTCTAAAAAAAAAATTGATCCGGATGTGAGAACAGAGGATCCTGCCCCTCAAAATCAAAGTCAAGCAAAGATTGATCCGAGTTGGATTCAGCGGTGCCTGCCCCTCAAAATCAAAACGTCTGCATATTGCTGGTCTGTAAAGCATGTATCCATCCATGCTGACAGGAGAGGGACTTGAGGAAGCCTGCCTCCAAAAATCACTCACACTTTAGAATTTAGTACAAGAATACAGCTTTTGAACTTTTCTAGTTCTCTCCGGAACACACCTGCTTGATCATGAAGGAAGCTCATTATTTGTTCATTTCTTTCCGTTGAATCTTTCTATGCAGTTACTGGAGGAATTATTTCCCTTGCGATTATCGGTGTGCTACTCTACATAATTTTGACGAAATTAAGAAAGGAGAAAAACTTCAGAGAAAATGGAGGCATGGTGTTAAAGCATCAACGAGTAAGGATTTTCAGTGAGGAAGAACTGGGAAAAGCAACAAACAATTATGATGATCGTCACAAACTTGGCGAAGGTGGTTTTGGCTGTGTTTACAGAGGAGTTTTACCAGATAATACTCAACTTGCAGTCAAGAAGTTTAAGGGAGTAGACAAGGCTCAAATGAACGAGGAATTTCAGCATGAAATTGGCATGGTTTTACAAGTCAATCACAAGAATGTGGTCAAGCTATTAGGCCTGTGTTTGCAGACCAAAGTGCCTTTGCTAGTTTATGAATTCATTTCAAATGGAACTCTTTTCCATCACATCCATGATAAGAAGTCTCAAGTGTTGAGAACGTGGACAAACCGATTGAGGGTAGCGGCAGAGACTGCGCTTGCACTTGATTATTTGCATTCTTTAGCAAACCCTCCAATCATTCATGGGGATGTCAAGACAGTGAACATACTTCTGGACGAAGATTGCACAGCAAAGATAGCTGATTTTGGAGCTTCGGTGCTGATTTCACCTGGTGAAGCTGATATAGCCACAAAAATACAGGGGACTTTGGGCTACCTGGATCCTGAGTATCTTATGACGGGTAATTTGACAGTAAAGAGTGATGTCTTCAGCTTCGGAGTAGTTCTCGTGGAACTTTTGACAGGACAGAAGCCAAACTCTAATGCTAAGTCTGGAGAAAAGCGTAACGTGGTTCAAGATTTCATCTCATCATTGGAAAACAATCATCTCCTTGAACTTTTAGATTTTGAGGTAGCTGAAGAAGAAATGGAGGAGATAGAAATGGTAGCTGAGCTTGCCAAAAGATGTGTAAATAGCAGTGGTGTGAAAAGGCCAAGTATGAAGGAAGTATCCGAGGAGCTTTGTAGGCTAACAGCACTACATGAGGACTTGTGGGGTCAGAAAAATAGCGAAGAGACGGAGCATTTGCTAAGCAAATCATCACTCTCTTTTCATGAGATTGCAAGTCCTTCAATAAATGAACCTCGGATGGGTCAGAGTGTCATATCCTTGGAGATCGAAAATTGCACTTGCAGTATTTAAAAATCGAACCACTACTAGTGTTTACCTGACATTATCAGTTGTAGTTGTGCATGTAATAATGAGCGGCATTTTACAACCTTTTGAGATGTTGAAACTTGTGTTAATACTTGCTAGGCTCCTCTTGGTCTTCAGACGAGGGTGACAAGTAATAAGATCGCTGTACTTTCAAATTTAATTACCATGGAATTTGCCTCCAAATATACTGTATTTAATAAAATTTCAAAAGGAAGATTTACATGCAAATGAAGTGTGTGTAAACATGGATTGATTTACATCCAAATTCCTCAAATAAATGGGCAAGCAAAAAACCTTTTTTATTTATTTATTTTTTTTTTGAAAGCGACGAGCTGCCAATTATATTAAATCAGCATAAAGAAGAGAAACAATACAATCTGGAAGTGTATAACCCCACACATGGAAACTTGACATGGAAACCGCTGCTCGAACTAAGGAATGAGCAACTGAATTCGAAGATCTCTTTACAAAAACAACTTTCACATCCCTCAAAGTTGCTAAAATAGAAGTACAATCCTGAATAATAAGACCAAATAGTGAATAATCAACATCTCTCGAGTTCATAGCTTCCACTATTCTTAAACGATCTGTTTCGATAATCACCTTCGTTTTTCCTCTGTCTTTGATCCAGCTTAAAGCCTCTCTAACTCCCAAAGCTTCAATAACAGCAGATCTTGTAAACGATCCCAACACCTTAACATAACCACCCATAAATCTTCCCCGCTCATTTCGGAACACGCCACTAATAGCTCTTTTTTCCGAAAAAGTAGCAGCATCAACATTACATTTAATCCATCCCAACGGAGAGCATTCCCAATTGACAACCTGCTGCATAGTAGCACTGCCCGCAACAGAGGTCACTCCATCTACTCGCGCAAAAAACCCTTTTAGTTGCAAAGAAAAAGATATACCCTTTTAGTTGATGTTTGTGGACAGGCTGGGAAGCTGCCATTAGGGTTTCCATGGTTTTTCTATACATGTGCTTTTGATTGGGTCAATGATTTCTCATCAATCTTCAGCAATTAAATAATTTCTTCAAGAAAGTAGTCCAATAAGAAGTGTGCGAAAACATTGATTGATTAACATACAAATTCGTCAGATAAATGGACAAGCAAAATAAATAAATGAAGTCAATTAACAATTTTCTGGATGAAAAATATTAAAATAAATGAAAGTTGAATAATAAGCATTGCTAGAAGATATTTCTACGCTTTTCACTTGAGATAGTTAATGAAATTAGAGATTTCTATGATACCGATTTTTCACAAAGACATTCTTGTAAATTCAATTTAGACAATTGAGTTATTATGGTTTATAGTCAACATAATTTTCATTAACTTTGAATTTTAAATAAGATAATGTCAGCTTTCTATTAGTTGTATTTAAAAACAAAAACAAAAACAAATATATTTATATAATTTTCCAGCTTTTTATTTATTTATTCAATGAATTATTTTTCTAATTTTTTTATTTACATTGTATTTTTAATTACTTTTAAAATGGCAGTATATATATATTAATTCATTTTTTAAACTAGAGGGACTAATTTATAATTTACTCACATTGTACTGATGTCAAGCCATGGAATGGTGATCTCAGAATTGGAGCTTGTCAAGAAAGTGAGAAGGGCGAAGGAATGTCTGCGGCCCAACATTTATTGAACCCCATTTTCTCGGGCGATAGAGCTGCCTCTTTAGACTTCGAGGCTCGAGCTTCATTTGGAACTTCAGAAAATTGAGAATAATTAATTTCACTGATTAGGGAAAAATTAAGAAATCCATAAATTAATAATTAGAGTACTACTTTTCTAGTACATCATGCATCAACCTTTTCAACTTTTTTCAACAGTATTCTTCAACAAGGATTGTCAACCAAAGTTTTTCCATGAACATTCGAATTCCAACGCACCATGTGTGGAATTTGTGACGACTCAACAATATAAATTAAAGGATAAATAACTCAATCTCTTTATATAATAGTTCAAATCTTTTCTTTTTTTAAATTTTTAGTTGTTTCTCATATATTTTAAATTTTTTTAAAAAATATTCAATCTGTTAATCTCCTATATATTTTTAGATTTTTAATTGTTTCTCGTATGTTTTTAAATTTTTTTTAAAAATATTCAATTTTTTAGTATGGTTAATTTTTTATCATAAGTTTTTAGCTAAAATATCCTTGAGTGAAATGTAATAAATAAATAAATAAATACTTCATATATAGAACATGTATCATGTCATGTGACTTTAACTATATATTTTATTTGTTTTTTAGGAAAGAAAATTTTGATTAAGAAATTTATCCATAGTTGAAAAATTGATCAAAAGAATAATTTTAACATTTAAAAAAATTAAAAACATAAATTATGCAGTTAAAAATATATGAAAAAATCAAAATATTATACAAAAACATATTAAACTATTTATCTTAAATTAAATTATATCTTTACCAATAAACTAAAGGTGTTTTAGCATTATCAATCCCACCTCTTTTTTCTAGCATTAAGTACTCATCAATATAAGTTCAAGTTTGTCCTCTAGCCAGGGTCTTTTTATTTAGGTTTTTCTTTTGTTATAGAGTTTTTTTCAATACTTAGTATTATTTTGAAAGAAAAATTGAGTTAAATTTGTTAACATTACCTAGAGTAAATTATAAATTAGTCCCTCTCGTTCGAAAAATGGATGAATTAGTCTTATTTTTTTGAAAAACTAATTATTTATTTCTTCATGTTTTAATTCTACTGATAACTTAGTTTTTTTTTTCTTTTAGTATTATTTTCTTTTAGATTAGTGATTTTTATTTTTAAATTACTAATTTATCCAGTGAAAAGGAGAGGGCGGGAAATTACACATGCAAAAAACTACAAAATATTTCAGTTTGTATATAGAAAAAATTAATAATCAAAACTAATTATTTATTAGCCTGCAAAGTTTTTTATGCTCGATTGATAACAATCAGCAAATAAATTAATAATCAAAACTAGTTTAGATATATAATATTATCTTTAGCAAGAGTCGTAACTTAAAAATACAGATATATAGAAAAAAAAATTAATATTTTGTTTTGATTCAATTTGAAAATAACATAATGAACTACTTCAATTAAATTTTTTTATTATGATGATCTTATCAAAACTATTGAGTATGACTTTGTACTTTAAACCTAAAGACATAACATTTTTTATTATGATGGTACAAGGTTGGGCTACAAGGTTGTGGTGGTTGTTAGGGTAATCTTGGTCTTAGGGTAGTGGTTTTGGAAGAGAAAGTGATGGCGGATATGTAGGCTAACCCGTAGGTTTTTGCATTTATGAGAGAAAAAGGCTTTTTATTTTTTTCTGGTTCCTTTTTTTTATGGTCTCCCCTTCTTTTCTTGATTTTTTTTAATGATATTTATACTCCTAACTTAATTAGTCTTGATTCCTATTAGGAGTGACTTAGCTCTCGAGTTGGATGAGGCTATTCTAAAATGAGATTAGGCCTAATTAAATTGATTTATAAATGTTCAAATTTTTATTCATAGTCCCTACATTTTTTGTTTTTCTTCTTTTTTCTTTTCACTCATTTTTTCTTCTCTTTTTTTTCTTTTGTTTGTCTCCCCTTTTTTTTTAATTTTTCTAAACTCCAAAAAATTATGGGATTTCTATTAAACATAACACATTTTATTATTATTATTATTATTTTTTTTTTTTGCATTTTCATATTTTTTAAAAAAAATAAGCAAAACAAAATGTCCAAAGTTTGATGATAACAAATATCTAGATAGAGAATTCTATAGAATCATTTGTAGTCGTTAGATCAATTAAATCATAACCATCCATTATGAAGATGTAAGACTATATATAGTTGAGGCCTTCATTTCACCAAAGCATCCAGGAGAGGAAATTCAAGAAAGTGTAACCGAGAGTTGTAAGCTTTAGAGAAAGAGAGCAATATAAAGAGTTTATCTATTATCTTTCTTAGTTGATAGCTTTGTGCAGGAGATAGACTAATTTGGCTTTAACTTAAGTGAGAAGTAAGTCAAATGCCGTACGATGGCTTGAGAAAGGCCAAGTCCGGACATTAGTCTTCCATTATGAAAAATGATTATTGTATTTTTTTGGCATACCAGACTTTCCTTGCCACTTAATTTGTGGCCTAGTTTTACTCTAGACATGAACCAGCTTTTTTACTCACGCTATACTACAAATTGGATAAAATATATAAATCTTTTTAGAAAAATCATTTCCGTTTGATAGTCTATTTTATGGTGTGAATCTATAAAAATATATAAAATCAAAAGTAAAAAAAAAATTGACGGTAATAAACTAAAATAAAAATTATTACAAATTTTATTTTGATTATATAAAGAAGAAACAAATTAATAAAACATGTAAATTCTTTTTCTTTTTTTTTCTCCTTCTTAAATAATTTTTTATTTCAATGCTATGCATGGCTAGTTCTTGAATACACACCTTATGTGCAGAGCAACCATCTTCCTTTTATTTTTCACATTTGACTTTCAACTATTAATTAACTAATTGAGTTTTTTATAAATAAATAAAAAACCAAGAAAAAATTGTTTAAAATACGTTTTTAATCTAAAAATGTATTTTAGACAAATTATATATATATATATATATATATATATATATATATATTAATCATGCCATTATAATTTAAAAATTATCTAAATCTATTTTTCAAAAGAAAAAATAATCATGTTCGAAAAATTTATTCCAAAATCCATACATATAGAAAAATAAATAAAAAATATTAGTAAATATAATTTTAAATTAATTGGATGAGAATTAAAAAAATGATAAATTAAAGTATTAAATTTTAAATAATAAAAATAATTCACAAAAAATACTAAGACAAAATGAGATCAAATCACAATACAATTAAAGTTTGAAATTGAAAAAAATATATAGAAAAATTAAGGACCATAAAATTCAAGTTAATTGGATGATAATTTAGAAAAAAATGATAAATTGAAGTAGTAAATTTTAAATAATAAAAATAATCAACAAAAAACACTAAAACAAAATGGGATCAAATCATAACATAATTAAAGTTTGAAATTAAAAAAAAAGTAAAGAAAAATTGATGACTAAAATGTATTTGAGATAAATTATATATTAATCATGACACTATCATTTAAAAATTATATAAATCTATTTTTCAAAAAAAAATCATGTTCTAAAAATTTCTTCCAAAATCCATACATATAAAAAAATAAATCAAAATTCTCAATAAATATAATTTTAAATTAATTGGATGAGAATTTTTTAAAAAATGACAAATCAAAGTGGTAAATTTTAAATAATAAAAATAATTAACAAAAAACACTAAAAAAAAAGGAACAAATTACAATACAATTAAAGTTTGAAATTGAAAAAAATAAAAAAATTTAAGTTGTTAAAATAATAATAAGAAACAATCTAACTTTTTTTTTTTGTGAAATCCTAACAAAACCCACTGTCTCCAGCATCTGTAAAAGACCTAAGCACATAAATAAAAAAAAATCAGTTGGAGAAAATGATTAAAAAAATAAGAAAATCTAGTAAAGAATAAAAAAAAAAAAAAACCAACAATATATACAATTTCAAAGACATTAAACAAATTATTACATAAATCAAATGATCTATTTGTGTATCAGCAAACTACAACTAAGCAAACACTAAGTCAATACATTAAAAATAATCGAGAATGAGCATAGAATCACCTACTATTTTAGCAGTCTAATCTTAGCCAAATTTCACAACAAACAAAAAGAAAATCATAGTCAAATCCACACTCCAACAGAGAAAGCTAAGTAAAATAAAAACGAAGAGAACAAGTCCAAAATGAAAGTCCCCGTAGCTGCATTTTATTTTATGGGTATCAGGATCATCGTCATTGCCAAGCTAAATCATTCGAAATTTTTTGTTCCACTTGATTTCCACTTGGAAATAAGAGAAGATAAAGAGTTTATATAACGAAGAAACAATAATTTGACAGAGCTAAAACATCATTTTCCTCTGTGACTCAAAAAAAAGTTTGAGAAAGAGAGAGAGAGAGAGGTAACATTTTTTCCTTTTTTTTCTTGGTCTGAGTGACAACTAAAGAGACGGGTGGGTTGGTCAAATTTAATGAGAAGATGGATGACAGTGGTAAATAGTTATTGATTCTTGAGATTACATTATCTTTAACAATGGCATAAAAGAAATTAAATACACAATAAAAAGTATATGACCTGTAAATTGCAAATGGAATAAAATAATATACTTGGCACAAAACCTACCAATAGACAGTCAAATTAAACGGCAAAAAGCTAGACAAATCATGTGAAGAAAAGAATTAACGACAGAGATGTAACAAAGAAGGCAACACAGTGCAACCGAGTCTGAAGCAATAGTGCACATGAGTCTTGAACAACAGTAAATGAATACGCAACACTTCCCTTTTTTTTAGTTTTTTTTTTTTAATAAGATTTTGTCTTTAGTAATGCATTCAATTTTTCGGAAAGAAAGAGAAAAAAACCAATATTTACTTTTACCTCAACGTAAAATCTTAGCAACTGTTTGATTGGTTTCAAAAACTCAAAGACTAAAATCTAATTTTTCCAAAATCTTAAAAAATTAACTAGGAATAATGTATTTGTCTCCTCTTTATTAAGATAATGACATATGGCATTAAAAAAAAAAAGCTAAATCCATTTATTTTATAAAAAAAATAATAACACGGAATTTACCTTCAAATATACTATATTTAATAAAATTTCAAAAGGAAGATTTACATACAAATGAAGAGTGTGTAAACATTGATTGATTTGCATACAAATTCCTCAAATAAATGAGCAAACGAAAAAAACCCTTTTAGTTGTAAAGAAAAAGATATACCCTTTTAGTTGATGCTTGTGATCAAGCTGGGGAGCTGCCCATATATATGCTTTTGATTGGATCAATGATTTCCATTATCATAAAAAAAATTGATTTCTTACTATCTCATCAATCTTCAGCTATTAAATAATTTGTCTGAGAAAGTAGACCAATAAGAAGTGTGAAAACATTTGATTGATAAGTGTGCGAAGACATTTGATTGATTTACATACAAATTCTAATATAATGACGTAATTGACTAAAGAAAGTTCGAGTAATTTACTGGTTCACAAGTTTGTGCTACAAGTTACCATGAGCCATTTGTGGATTGAAAAGTGGCAGGAAAGTGATTCTGAAATTTGCAGTTGCTGCTGCTGTATCAGTTGTGCTCGTCAAACTAAGAATATAAAAATACATGTTTTGAGTGTTAGAACTGGAAAATTGGAACAAAGATTGATTTAAAAAATTTACCAAATGTTGATTGTTATCGAAATATTATCCTACAGCTCCTATCGGACTACCATTACATTGGTAGTTAATACTTACAGTAGTACTTGTGGCATTGACTTTGGCTGGAGAGGCTTTTTTTTTTTTTTTTTTTTTGATTTTATAGATAACAGGGCATTTTTTGATTAATTTTTATCTCAATTGAAATTAAATTCTTACTTGAATTTCAAGAATCAGTGTTGGATCACACTAAATTTAAAATTAATTTTAATTTGAAAGCTAAACTCTTTGGTTCACTAGCAGCTATATTATAGTATATTTTTTTATGGTAATCTATTCCAGTATCTATTAGATATATATATTTGTTCTAAAGACACTAAATAAATATGAGTACATACTAAATTTTCAGATGCCAGGTTGACTAGAAATTACTTCTAATTAACCACTGGAAAATTAAGTTTAATTGAATAATAAACAAATTGATGGCCTGATGTTCTTTCAATTGAACATTTCAAATTTTGAGACAACGACAAGACACCTAAACAGCCTAATTTGTAACTTCAAAGTCGTCTAGGTATTTACCTTGTGAATTCAAGTATATAAATGGGCTCATCCAGCTTCTGATTTAGTTGTTTAGGTTTTTTTGGTTTCTTGTTTTCTTATTTTATGTTTAGTCAGTTTAGATCAAGCAAAAATGATGTTGAAGATTTGGGTGTCTTGGCTAATGATTATGTTGCTTTTGTGCTCAATAGCAACAGCAATAGCTCAACGTCCAGCCGGTTCAAAACCCGGTTGCCGAGACAAATGTGGTAATGTTAGTGTTCCCTATCCATTTGGCATCGATGATCGTGATTGTGCCGAAAACGAGGACTTGTATCTAAATTGCAGTCAGAGTGATGGTGATGATCCTGAGAAGTTGTGTTTTTATAATTTTCCTCTTCTTAATATATCAGTGCTTGAAGGCTCAATGATTATCAGCATCCCCACCTCATATGACTGCTACAACCAGTCCGGGTTGCTAAGCGAGGTTCCTTGTATTATAAATCTCGAACGGGCCCCTTACACGTTCTCAGACACCCAAAACGTGTTCACAGCTATAGGTTGTGATACTATGGCTTTTGTAAGCAACGAAGAGGTAACATATGGGGCTGCTTGTATCTCCTTGTGCAATGAAACTGTGAGTCTGGCCGACAACAGTTCTTGCTCAGGTTCAGGATGCTGTCAGACTTCAATTCCTAAGGGTCTGAAGTCTCTGTATATTAGCTCCATGTCTCTACAAAACCACACGAATATTTCAGACTTCAATCCTTGCGGATATGCGTTTTTAGCGGATAAAAGATCCTTCAAGGCTTCAGATTGGCAGCTCTCAGGTTGGCCAGATGGAAATGTTTCAGATGTTGTGATCGACTGGGTTGTCGAAACTAAGACGTGTGAACAGGCTCAAGCGAATACTAGTTCATATGCTTGCAGTAATAATACTAATTGCTCTGAGAATGGCCAAGGATATCGTTGCGAATGCAAAGACGGATTCACAGGAAATCCCTATCTCTCACCAGGATGCCAAGGTAATCTATTGTTACGGTTGAGTCAGACGTAATTTGTTTGGGCTTTTATTCTTTCTTTTCATTTTTATTAAGCTAGTTTCTTGATTCAACTTCATATAAATCAAACAGATATTGACGAATGCGCTGATCAACGAAGATATCCTTGCAAAGGAAAGTGCAAGAACACGCCTGGAAATTACACATGCACTTGTCCACTGGGCATGCATGGTGATGGTAAAACAGGTTGTCAAGGATTTGGTATTGCCACAATAGCTTCAGGTAATTTCATTTTCAGCCTTCTGGGCAGCCAGCATGCATTATTTCCTGGATTCTACATGTAAATTTGCTCTGATCCATTGATCCAGCATTACCCCATGTTGGATTTCTAAACATGGCCGAAAAATATAAATCACTTCTTTATATACTTCTTTAATTGATCCATCCCCATATCTCTAAAATAATAATAATAATAATTGATCCTGATGTTAGAACAGAGGATCCTGCCCCCTCAAAATCAAAGTCAAGAAAAAATTGATCAGAGTTGGGTTCAGGGGTGCCTGCCCCTCAAAATCAAAATATCTGCATATTGCTGGTCTGTAAAGCATGGATCCATCCATGCTGACAAGAGAGGGACATGAGGAAGCCTGCCTCCAAAAATCACTCACGCTTTAGAATTTAGTACAAGAATACAGCTTTTGAACTTTTCTAGGTCTCTCCAGAACACGCTTGCTTGATTATCAAGGAAGCTCATTATTTGTTCATTTCTTTCCGTTGAATCTTTCTATGCAGTTACTGGAGGAAGTATTTCCCTTGCGATTATCGGTGTGCTATTCTACATAATTTTGACGAAATTAAGAAAGGAGAAAAACTTCAGAGAAAATGGAGGCATGGTGTTAAAGCATCAACGAGTAAGGATTTTCAGTGAGGAGGAACTGGGAAAGGCAACAAACAATTATGATGATCGTCACAAACTTGGCGAAGGTGGTTTTGGCTGTGTTTACAAAGGAGTTTTACCGGATAATACCCAACTTGCCGTCAAGAAGTTTAAGGGAGTAGACAAGGCTCAAATGAACGAGGAATTTCAGCATGAAATTGGCATGGTTTTACAAGTCAATCACAAGAATGTGGTCAAGCTATTAGGCCTGTGTTTGCAGACCAAAGTGCCTTTGCTAGTTTATGAATTCATTTCAAATGGAACTCTTTTCCATCACATCCATGATAAGAAGTCTCAAGTGTTGAGAACATGGACAAACCGATTGAGGGTAGCGGCAGAGACTGCGCTTGCACTTGATTATTTGCATTCTTTAGCAAACCCTCCAATCATTCATGGGGATGTCAAGACAGTGAACATACTTCTGGATGAAGATTGCACAGCAAAGATAGCTGATTTTGGAGCTTCGGTGCTGATTTCACCTGGTGAAGCTGATATAGCCACAAAAATACAGGGGACTTTGGGCTACCTGGATCCTGAGTATCTTATGACGGGTAATTTGACAGTAAAGAGTGATGTCTTCAGCTTCGGAGTAGTACTTGTGGAACTTCTGACAGGACAGAAGCCAAACTCTAATGCTAAGTCTGGAGAAAAGCGTAACGTGGTTCAAGATTTCATCTCATCATTGGAAAACGATCATCTCCTTAAACTTTTAGATTTTGAGGTAGCTGAAGAAGAAATGGAGGAGATAGAAATGGTTGCTGAGCTTGCAAAAAGGTGTGTAAATAGCAGTGGTGTGAAAAGGCCAAGTATGAAGGAAGTATCTGAGGACCTTTCTAGGCTAACAGCACTACATGTGGACTTGTGGGGTCAGAAAAATAGCGAAGAGACGGAGCATTTGCTAAGCAAATCATCACTCTCTTTTCAAGAGATTGCAAGTCCTTCAATAAATGAACCTTAGACGGGTCAGATTGTCATATCCTTGGAGATTGAAAATTACACTAACAGTATTTAAAAATTGAACCACTACTTATCTTTACGTGACCTTATCAGTTGTAGTTGTGCATGTGACAATAAGCAGCTTTTTACAACCCTTTGAGCTGTTGAAAACTTGAAACTTGCGTTCATACTTGCTAGGCTCCTGTTTGTCTCAGGCGAGGGTGGCAAGTAATAAGATTTACTATACTTTCAATTGCATTGGTGCTTTTTCTGTCTTCAAATCTAATTGGATCTGTAATGATTGGGCAATGAAAGGTACATCAATGTTTTAAACAATCAAAAGAAAAGGTAAATCTGGAAGCATGCTAAGTTTCTGAGCAAATCAACGGAGAAAACAATTTTGACATAGTCAGAGTCCATATAGCTACAACTTATCAATACAAACTATTTGGTTCACATATCACTACAACTTGCTAAATGTTGCATTCCAACGCTGTGAACTGAACTGAGCTATGTATCAAAACAATTCAGATTTAGACTTCATGGGGTTGTCCGAGTGATTTAATGTCGGAGACTGATAATGGTCCAAAATGCTATCAGTATAGTTCTCAATCTGAAACGATATCACGGTATGAGTACTCTGGGACTGACTTAAAGAAGGACTTTCATTCTCGGAGAACGAGGGTGGCGATTTGCCCAGCAAACGCGCTGTCTCATCACTAGTTTTCTGAGCCCAAGAATTTTCATGAAGGGCCTTCAGCTTAGCAAGTTCATAAGATACTTCCTTCATGGTAGGGCGGTTTATGCCCATGCTGTTTACACATTTTTTTGCAAGCTCACAAACAATTTCTATCTCTTCCATTTCACCTTCATCAGCTACCTGAAAATCCAAAATACTGGAAAGATGATTATTTTCCAGTGCAGAGATAAAGTATTCAATAATGTTCCTTTTTTCTCCAGACTTGGTATTGGAGTTTGGCTTTTCTCCAGTGAGAAGCTCCAGAAGAACAACCCCAAAGCTGAAGACATCACTCTTCGCGGTTAAATTACCCGTCATAAGATACTCAGGATCCAGGTAGCCGAAAGTCCCTTGTATTTTTGTGGCTATAATGGTCTGGCCCGAAGAAGTCAGCACAGAAGCTCCAAAATCTGCTACCTTTGCTGTGAAGTTGTCGTCTAAAAGTATGTTCACCGACTTGATATCTCCATGAATAACTGGAGGGTGTGCTAGAGAATGCAAATAATCAAGGGCAAGGGCAATCTCTGATGATATCCTTAGACGATTGCTCCAGGAAGTTAATATCTGTGACCTTTTGTCATGGATGTGCTTGTAAAGAGTTCCATTTGAAATGAACTCATAAACTAACAATGGCACTTTGGTTTCTAAACACAAGCCCAAGAGCTTGACCACATTCTTGTGGTTGACCTGTGAAACAATGCCGATTTCATTTTGAAATTCCTCATTCATCTGATCCTTGTCTACCCCTTTAAACTTCTTGACTGCAACCAGGGTATTGTCTGTTAAAACTCCCTTGTACACAGAACCAAAACCACCTTCACCAAGTTTCTGATCATCAACATAATTGTCGGTTGCTTTTGCCAGCTCTGCCTCCCTAAAAATCCTTACTCGTTGATGCTTTAAAACCATTCCACCATTTTCCCTGAAGTTCTTGTCCCTTCTTCTCTTTGTGCAGATTACATAGAGTAGGAAACAAATAATCAAAAAGAAAACTGATGCTCCAACAGCTACAAAAGAAAATCATAGCAAATGAAATTAGAAACTTTAAAGAACATAATTATGTTCTATGTTTTGTAAAATGATTCTGATAATCTATCAGAATTGAGAGGGGATTTCTGCAAAATAGTATTCAATAATAGCAAGAACCTTCTCCTAGTACTAATTTAAGCCGCGGCTTGGGAAGGATATATAGCAAGCAATGAGCGTCTTAAGAAAATGCAAAGGATAATCACCTGATATAACTGTGATTATACCAGATCCTTGACAACCTGTTTTACCATCTCCATACTTGCCAAATGGACAGTGACATTTGTAATCTCCGATGGTGTTCTTGCAAGTACCTTTACATGGATATCTTTCTGGATCTTCGCACTCATCAATGTCTGTAAAACATAAGGCATCAGTTCATAAACCTGAAAATTTCCAAAAAGCATTAATCAGTTTACCTTGGCATCCTAGTTGAAGATAGGCGTTTCCTTGGAACCCTTTACTGCACGAGCAACGATATCCTTGACCACTCTCTGAAAAAGTGCAGTCTGTATTACTGCCACAAGCATATGCACTTGCATTAGCTTTAGCCTGTTCGCACGTTTCATTCTTAACTACCCATTCAACCACCACATCTGATGTATCTTTTCCTGCATCCACCATACGCGAGAGAGGCCAATCTGAAAGATCAAAGGAGCTTTTAGCTGCCAAAAACGCGAATCCACAGCGATTGAATGGCACTTCCGTATAGTTGTATCCGCTATAAACTGAAATATAGAGAGACTTTAAGCCCTTGGGAATTGAGGTCTGACAGCATCCAGAACCTGAACAAGAATTCTTATCTGAAATGTTTACATTTTCGTTGCACAAGGAGAGACAGGCAACCCCATATGTCACCTCTTCGTTAGCCACCACGGCCTGCGTATTACAACCAATAGCTGTGAATATGTTTCCAGATTCCGAGAACATGAAAGGGCCAGATCCAAGTGTCATAGACTGATCGGAATCGCCGATACTCTCCCCTGAACTGTCATAGCAGTCATATGCCGTTTCAATGCTTACAGTGACTGTGCCCTCCAGCACCGATATATTCTGAGCAGTCATGTTGCTTCTAAACCACAGTACAGCATCATCATTTTCTGAACTACAATTTAGAAAGAAATGCTCGTCCATGGCACAGTAAGGTTCACCAATCCCAAAGGGATAAGGAACACTAACATTCCCACATTTTTCTTGGCAACCAGGCTTCACATCATGGCTTGAAGTTGCTGTTCTTGTTAGGAACAATAGCAGCAACATCATTAGCAAAGACACCCTCATCTGGAGAATCATTTTTTCATGCACTTCAGACGTAAACCATTTGCAAATTGAAGGAGAAATGAATATAGGGAGAGAGAGAGAGAGAAACTTTAAACAATTTGTGCCAATTAATTTTCTAATCATACCGCAACATTGCCGGCTGTTTGCAAAAACAAGAAATTTAACCGTCTTATAGGAAATTAGTATTAATTAATCGAATAATTAACCAAATACAATAAGATTAGCATATTTCTTATCGAAAAAAAGAAAAAACAAAACCAACATATTACAAAAAGGTAACCTTTTTAAATGAAATCTGTCAAAATATACATCCAAAAGTCGTCAACATTGTAAATTCACATAATAAACTTAATATCCAAAAAAAATAATAATAACAGTTTGATCCCAATATCATACATTGTTATGATCCAATCTTGACAATAACATAATGGACTTTTTGGAAAATCATTGGAATATATTAATTATTAATATTTTTGGGCATATATACGTACTCTGTAATGATGCCAAGTTGACTAGAAAAATATTAACAACTTGCAAGGTGAAGTGACATAGACGAATAGAACGATGATAGTTAATGAATTAAATATTTTAAATTTAAGGTATAAAGTTGAACACTTGAGGTTTTTACTTTTTATACGTTGGTTGGGCTATAGCAAATTAAGTTGTAGTGGCATTTTTTAGAATTTATGAGAAAAAAATGCCATCATATACAAATAATGACATTTCAAATTACTGGGTTAAAAATATCAAACATTTTCTGAATTTTAATTCATTTAAAAATTAATTTTTGAATTTTGAATTTATATTTTGGCCTCTGTAATTTTTATTTTTTTTAAGATTTAGTTCATTCTGGATTTTCAGCTATCACCTATCTTTTCTAAAAAATTCAATTCTTGGTATTTTGATTTCAAGTTTAGCATACATGTTAAAAAAAAAATCTAATTTATTTTTTACAAAAAAAATCTTGAATTTTTCAAATTTGAAATTATATTTTTTTATTTTTGAATGTTAAAAATAGAGAAAATCGAAAAAAATAAAAAATAACTTGAAATGATTTCAATTTTTTAAAACCAGGTAAATCTCACTAAATGATTTCCTTCATGGAGCTATTTATGAAATATTTTTTTAGATAAAAAATCTAAAAAAATAAAAAATCAAGAAGGTCAAAATACAAATTTAAAATTTAGAAACTAATTTTCAAATAGACTACAATTAAAAAAAAATTGATCCTTTTAGCCAAATAACTGCCCTGAATGTACACTTTTAGCAGCGCTTCTGCCCATTTTACTAGCACTATTAGGGATTCCTTTGGTGTGTGATTTATATTTATATTTATATTTATATTTTATCTTTCCGCAAGTTATTTATACCTCGGACTTGAATCTTTCGACACTAAGCATGTGAACCCTAGATAAATGTATAGATATCTAGCACAATTCCTTCTTGATTATTGGCCTGCAAAGATTGAAACCAAGGTTTTTTGTATGTAAAATATAAAAAATAATTTACATAACGAATAAAAGACAATGAAAATAGAAACACTTAATAATAAACTAAAACTTTATTTGAAACCACTTATACTATTGTCACCGATCTCTATTCGTTTTTTTTTTTTTTTTGATAGAGCATTACTCTAGAAATATATATTTAAAGATTTTGTATTATTGAGCTATGAGATTATTTGGTCATTGACTTGTATGATTGAAATGGTTCTGAGTATTAAAAAAAAAATTATGAAAATAATAAGGATAATTTTGCAATTTTGGGATAAAAATGGTGGAAAAAAGTAATTTTTGAAAATTTTCGACTTAGAAGTAGAAAATGCTCATTTTTGGGACACTGAAAATTGGGAAAGATGGCTAGAAAGAGTAGTCGAAGCATTTGATTTGCCTTTGTTTACCTGATACGGACGGGTCAGTTGTCAGAACAGGCTTGGCCCGCTAATGTGGACCCAAAGACACAACCCAATGCTCAGGCCAGAAATGCCTTGGGCCCAATTCAGAGATGCCTTTTCTCTCTTTTTTGGAATTTTTGTTTTATTTATTAATTAAAATTAAGAAACATTTTTTTTTTTTCATTTTTAACTCACTGTAAAAATCAATAAAAGATAACCTTTTTTGTCCCCCATGCCCAGTGGACATCTCCCTAAAATGATCACTGGGCCGTACTGACTTTGGGTCCTTGTGGGCTTTCTCTCATAAGTGAAAAGTGGAAAACCATCATTCCGTAGAATTTTAGATTTTTTTTTTTTTTGATATTTTATTATTATTATTAGATAGCTGAAAGGGGAAAATGGAGGAGAGGTAAATTAATTAGATTTAGGTTCCAATCCAAAAATATTCACTTTGCTTAGATTGAATGTTATAATATTGGTCCAAATACTAACTTTGCGTGTAAACATCTGGTTTAATTAATTTTTGGATTTTTTTTTCGATTTATGGATGCGAATACATGATGAACATTTTTTTTATACATGGATAAATTTTAGATTATTTTCGAATATTTTTTACATAAATCCAAACTAAATTTATCATTTGTGGTTGAACACAGAATAATTTTTTAATTAGAAATGAGAGCTGAGACTAATTCATGAAACTCTCTCCAATTTTAAATACTATCAGTGTAGTTCTCAATCTCAAATGATATCAGAGTCTGAGACTGAGTCATTGGAGGACTTGCATTTTTTAAGAAAGATTGTGATGATTCCCCTAGCAAGTGCTCTGTCTCATCGCTATTTTGCTGAGTCCAGGAATTCTCATGAAGAGCTTTCAGCTTAGCAAGCTCATCAGACACTTCCTTCATGGAAGGACGGTTTATGCCGATGCTATTTAGGCATCGTTTCGTGAGATCAGCAACAGCTTCTATCTCTTCCATTTCACCTTCATCAGCTGCCTGAAAATCCAAAATACTGAAGAGATGATTATTTTTCAGTGCTGACATAAAGTATTGAATTATGCTCCTTTTCTCTCCAGGCTTGGCATTGGAGTTTGGCTTCTCTCCAGTGAGAAGCTCCACAAGAACAACTCCAAAGCTGAAGACATCACTCTTTTCGGTTAAATTCCCTGTCATAAGATACTCAGGATCCAGGTAGCCAAAAGTCCCTTGTATTTTTGTGGCTATAATGGTTTGGTCTGAAGAAATCAGCACTGATGCTCCAAAATCTGCAATCTTTGCTGTGAAGTTGTTGTCTAAAAGTATGTTCACTGACTTGACATCTCCATGAATAATTGGAGGGTTTGCTAGAGAATGGAGATAATCAAGGGCAAGGGCAATCTCTGATGCTATCCTCAGACGATTGCTCCAGGAAGCTAATAACTGTGATCTTTTGTCATGGATGTGCTTGTAAAGAGTTCCATTTGAAATGAACTCATAAACTAGTAATGGCACTTTGGTCTCCAAACACAGGCCCAAGAGCTTGACTACATTCTTGTGATTAACCTGTGAAACGACGCCCATTTCCTTTTGAAATTCCTCATTCATTTGAGCCTTGTCTACTCCTTTAAACTTCTTGACTGCAACCTGGGCATTATCTGCTAGAACTCCCTTGTAAACAGAACCAAAACCACCTTCTCCAAGTTTCTGATCATCCACGTAATTGTTTGTCGCTTTAACCAGCTCTGCCTCGCTGAAAATCCTTACTCGTTGGTGCTTTAAAACCATTCCCCCGTTCTTTCTGAAGTTCTTCTCCTTTCTTCTTTTTTTGCAGATCATGAAGAGTAGTAGACAAATAATCAAAAGGAAAATGGTTGCTCCAGTAGCTGCATACAAATGTCAAAGAAAGATGTTACTTCAAACACGAATCAAGAGAAAATATTTCTGTATTAACAGTTTACCAAAAAATGGTCATTAATTAGGATCTCCAGAAGAACATAATGGATCCAAATCCGATTCTTTTTTCTTAAAATTCTTTTTATAGTCTTTGATCAATCTGTTTTTACACATTTAAACTGAGTCTATTTTTCACGTCTAGTAAAAAACGCTTGGACTTAGGATTTATGAATAGTCATTATTTACGCTAGTCTTCATTAACTGCTTACTGGAAATTAAGAATACATAAATAAAAAGCTTATAGGAACATGCCTAGCTAGTTATAATTAAATATGTATCTTTGTTCTCGTTAACTGCGCGCTTATTGGCTATGAATGATGCTTTATAACTGAGAAACTCATAAGCAAATGCAAAGGGCACATATTCACCTGCAACAATAGTGCTGATACCAAATCCTCGACAACTTTTTTTACCATCACCATACATGCCAAGTGGACAGCGACACTTGTAGTCTCCAATAATGTTCTTGCAAGTACCTTCACATGGGTATCTTACTGGATCCTTGCACTCATCGATATCTATTTTCAATGTTAGAAAAGTATGAATAAAACCTGAATATAAATTCAACAAATAAATAAATTCTACATATGACAAGAGATAACAGGGAAAGAACATAACCTGCATATGCAACTTATTTACCTTGGCATCCTTCTCGGAGATAGGGATTTCCTTGGAACCCTTCATTGCATAAGCAATGATATCCGAAATCATTCTCAGGGTAAGTGCAGTATGCATTAGTGCCACAAGCATATGTACTTGTATTAAGTTTAGCCTGTTCGCAAGTCTCGTTTTTAACTCGCCACTCAACCACAACATCTGATGTATAATTTCGCTTTTCAGATTTTGGCCTTACATAATTTGGCTTCCGAGAGAGCGGCCAATCTGAAAGTTTGAAGGAGCTTTTGTCCGCTAAAATAGCAAATCCACAAGGATTGAAGTCTGTAACTTTCGTGTGGTTGTAAATATTTGCAGATGAAATATTAAGTGACTTGAGGCCCTTGGGAATTGAGGTTCGGCAGCATCCAGAACCTGAGCAAGGATTCTCATCTGACATGTTCACATATTCGGTGCATAAGGACATACAGGAAGTTCCATATGTAAACTCTTCGTTGGTCACCCGACCAGAGACATCACATCCAACGGCTGTGAATATATTTCGGGTGTCTGAAAACGTGAAAGGGCCTGATCCAAGGGAGATAGACATCCTGTTACCGTATCTGTTGTTACCTGATTTGTTATAGCAGTTGAAAACTGTGGTAATGCTGGTGGTTATTGTGCCTTGCAGCACTGATATATTGCGAGTGAGCAAGTTACGTCCAAACACCAGTTCAGGATGACCCTCAGTATTGTTGGTGCAATTTAGGAAGAAGCGCTTATTCATGGCACAGCTTTCTTCTCCAATCCCGAACGGGTAAGGGACACTAACATTCCCACACTTTTCTTGGCAGCCAGGTTTTACATCTGTTCCTGCTATTACTGTTGCTATGGGCCACAATAAGAGCAACATCGTCAGCCAGGAAACCCACGTGATCTGGAGGATCATTTTTTATGGACTCCCAAACTTAATTAGTAGTAATTAAGCCTTAAAAGATTTATGTAAAGAAGCTCCAAACCAATTCTCTCTCTCTGATTTCTGCAACTCCTTTTCCCTGTAGAGAACATATAGCTAAGACAGACTACCTCAAAACTTTACTAAAATGACTGATTCCAAGACGACTAGGTTGATGAAGTCTTGAGAGTACTTTCTTTGATCTTTCTTTGATGAAGTCTTGAGAGTACTTTCTTTGATCTTTGTTTTCAGTTTATTCAAAGGTAAGAAAAAAATATATATTCGCGGAAGATTCATAGTACTCGAACACCTTATTTTCAAGTAGTTGACTTGATCTCTTCTTTACTCGTGTCTTTCATTATAATTGCAAGGTAGGGTATAATGACACTACAGGTGTTTCTGGTATTAATTGATTTTTGACAAAAATATCATTGTGGTTTTAATTTGAGCAATTGAATTTGGTAGGCAGTATAGGTACTTCCGTCTAAAACCAATCCAATTTTTTTTGTTAATTTTGACTTTTAAAAAGAATGAGAGACATGTATCAGCTTTCTATATGGAAAGCCCGATGGCAGTCCCAGCATGAATATTCTCAAGTCTAGTACTTCTAGTCTCAGAAATCAACTATCACAAACATCAATTCAAAGGGTAGGCATCGATATCAAAGTGAAAGGGTAAATATATTAATTTATTTTTATATAATATTTAAATATTTTTTTATATTTTTAAAATTTTTAATTGTATCTCATTTGTTATGTTTAATATGTTATTCTGATTAATTTTTTTGACCGAGATGTCTCTAATTGAAATATATATAAAAAAATAATCCTGAAAACTTTAAAAATGAATGAAATAGGCCTCTCTTACAAACAAATATTGATAAATCAAAAAAAAAATCGTTAAGTTAATCAATGATAGTTCAAAAAATTATATAAAAAATAGCATATTAATAGATATATTTTACTTCTAAAATTACATATGTAGGATAAATTACCTACGACATTTTGAGAAGAATTAATATTTTTCATTTAACAAAAAAAATATTGAAAATTTTATGTTAAATATTTGTATGTATAAAAAGGTATAAAGAATATTTATTTTTTGTTAGTGAAGAACAAGAAATGGAATAAAAAATTGATTTTCTTTATCAATTAAGATATTTTAAAAATACATTATTTAAATTTTTTACCAGACAAATGTTTGGCAAAACATATAAATAGAAATGAAAAATAATCTCTTTAAAGCATATATATATATATATATATATATATATATATATATATATATATATTTATTTATTTATTTGGACATTTTGCAGTTGGTTGAGCAATTTAATTGAAGATATTAGAAATTTTTTTTTAATTTTTGAGTAATGCTAATGACTAATGATTGCTCACAAGACAACATTAAGAACATTTATTTCTCTTCTTTCATAAATGAGGCTGTTCATCAAATGGAGGAGCTATCACAGCATAGCAAACCTATGTAGGAGCCACACACATATACACCTGTTTAAGTCCAGCAATTATTTATTTTTGAGTAATGGTAATGACTAACGATTGCTCACAAGACATTAACAAGGAGCATTTATTTCTTTTCTATCATAAATGGAGGAGCTATTACAGTATAGGAAACCTAGGTCTGAGCCACACATGTTTCTGTTTAGGTCCAGCAACTAAATCCTCAACAATCAGAAAGAGAAAAGTAAATGCTGCGTTGAAGGAGTCCAGCATCCTACGCCTTTTGGTCCATGCATTGATTCCACAAAACCTACTTGGCCTCGCATTCATCACTCCCTACAAAAGGCCTTTAGGTCAATGGATCTATAGTTAGGCTTTCAAGAACTAATTAGACGCTCCATTTGCTACCAACAAAATACAAGTTCATTCCTTACATTTGTTGGGGTAATGTCAACCGGAAATCATCCACCAACTGACTGGAAAATCATTAGAATATATATATAAACGCATGATATTTTTCTATTCATACACTATTCACTTAAATACAAATCATTATTTATGCATTATGATATTTTAAAAAAAATTTATTGGTTTTAAGGTTTTTATTAGAAAACGTTTTTCATGTTTTGTATTGATTTTGGAGGTCTTTATTTGTTGGTATTTTGAAAGTTTTAGATTGGTTTTAAGAGTTTTTATTTGTTGTTTTTACATATTAGACTCTATTTTTATAACATTTATGTTTAAGTAATAATATTTTATTTGCTTTGTATTTTGGTCCTTCACAGGTGAGAGGAAAGACAATTAAGGAGAGATAACGCCTTTATTATTTAAGAGATTTGGTTGATAGTATTGGTGAGTTCTGACATGCTTTAAAAAAAAAAAAAAAAAAGAATCGTAATCCAAGAAAACAACACCTCATCCACTTAGTGTTTTTTTTTTTTTTTTTTAAAAAATTATTAGAAGGCCAAGTTCTCAGGCCTCTCCGACCAAGCCCAAATGTGCATGGGAGTGACTTCATGGCCCATAATCTTTATATATATATATATATATATATATTTTTGAAATTCTAAATTTGATTTCCGGTCTTCTCTTTTGTTGCATTAGTAAAGGAGTTTTTTTTTTTTGACAGTCTACATATTCTGATGATATTTTCGATCAGTTGGTGGATGATTTTCAGCCGACATTATCCTAACTGATGGAAGGAGGTAGTTTTTGTTGGTAGCAAATATCTGCCCCTGTAAGTAGTTCTGGACAGCCGAAAAAGAAACCTATTGAGCCCAAGGCCTTTTGTAGTGGACGATCAATACCTGCCAAGTAGAGTTTGTGGAACCAATCCATGGACAACAAAGGCCGCTACTGAGATGGTATAGAATTTTTCCTGATGATTTGGTCCGATGCTAGACCACTTCAACGCAGCATTTGCTTTTAGTCTTCGTGATTGTTGAGGATTTTGCTGGGCTTTAATAAGGTCGAAAGTTACATGTGTGACTCTTAGGTTTTTTTTTTTTTTTTTGGAGGAAATCTTGACAATGATTACCTTGTTGACTGTTTAGAACTGCTACCATGACATGATTCGAGTCAAGCTGGTGGGCTTCATTGACGTTTCCATATATATATGTCAGATTTTGACGTTGAAAGTGGTGATTATGTGACGTTTTGTGTTAAAATATGATATTATGTGGAGGGAGAGAATGATTGATGATGGGTCGTTGATGATTTGGAGAAATAATTGGGGCACAGTAATATATGTTAGTATAAAAACTAACAAGAGCTAGAAGCTCCAATTTTGAGCTTTGCTGGGGGAGAGGAGAGCGTTTGTGAAAAATTTAAAACCAAATTGCGATGACTCTACTACTCTTAATTTTATTGATATGTGAAAGGCATTGGTTATTCATACGGATCCAATAAGATGTATGTACCTAAGTCTTCCCTTTTAAATTATCCATTCCTCTCTGCTTCAGCTGGCTTTTACACTAACATATATATTAGAGTGCCCAATTATTTCTCCAAATCACCAACAATCCATCATCAATAATTCTCTTTATCCATAAAATCTCATATTTTAATATGGAACGTCAGAAATATAACTATAATTATAACTTTTAGATCCACATAGGTCTTTCGACAGTTGTTTAATATTAGAGGCAAGCATGCAGTATGGTCCTTATGTAATTTGAATTGTTGCTAGGGAATCCAGCATATGACCTTCATACCCAGCAATACAGGTGACGCCAAATGTGGTGGTGAAGGTGGGAGAGGAGGGAGGGAGGGAGAGAGGTGGTAGTGGTGGCGGAAGGAAAGAGTGTGAAGGAAAAGAAATATAGAGAGGAAGAAAGAAATGAGATCACCAAGGAGAGAGGGTGGTTAAATGATTTAGAGTTTTTTCAAAATCTCATCCTTTGTTTTAATACAGAGATGACCGTAATTTATAATTTCACTGCATCAAGTTGGGCGGCAAAAACGATAAAATCTATGTATCTTTTATTTATTGAACCACTCACTGTCACGTGTAAAAAATATATTCAAATTTTAGTCAACGAAATCAGTCGATTCGATTATAAATTAAAAAATAATTGTTGTATTTGAATTAGAAATATTAAGGTTCAGATATTAGTCTTTGTTTGATCGATAGTATAGGATACCATAAAAACAATAGCTAAAATTAAATCATATTGGAGTTTCTTTGCCGCTGTATCAATAAATTTGTTTTATTACAAAAAAAAAGGGCCAAATAATGTAATTGTTTAAATCCCAAGTATTCACTATATCTTACCAAGAAAAGATTGCTCTTAGCCTCTGCTTATTACTGGCAAAGCTTAGGGAACTCTGGAAAGTTATAGGTATGTGCATGCATATGCAGACGATATAAAAGAAGGAACTGATTGTTATAAATCAAAATTAAAGGCAATCAAGTTCTTTTTCTTCTATTCTTAACAATAAAATAAATAAATAAATTTCTACACGCTGTCGCTGTTCATGCAATGACTAGAAAATGTTGTGAATCTTGCTTTGTAATACTTCGTATGTATAACTTGCTAGGCTATAGAAATTTCAGTTAGTTGCAGCTTCTTCTATCTCCAATTCCAAGTAAACATAATTGAAATTTTAGCCCTTTACAAAAGCGTTACCAAATTGGACTATTATGGGCTTTCTTTTTATAGATTTATAGCTATCCAGCCCAACATACTAAAAATATGCTTTATATCCTTTTTTTTTTTTTTTTCCGCTACAAATGAAGGCTTTCCTCTCCTCTTCATAAATAATATATATACAAGATCCAACACAACGTCAAAAATATAATACAAGATCCACACAAGGCTAACAAAGGCCAACGTTTATTCTCCATACTTGATGGACTCCAGAGGGCACCATGACTATTTTTTAAACTATCTCAAGAAGATTGAATATCAACAACAAATTAACTCTAAAGCACGAAATCCATGGTATCATCACCAAACTTCCAAGTTAGCAGACAATAATTTGAGAAAATCACTAGCCATAAATCTATAACTTGTTCATGATGCTATTTGGGAGATTGAACGTTCCAGATTTTAAATACTATCAGTGTAGTTCTCAATCTCAAATGATATCACAGTTTGTGAATGATTCACGGAAGGACTTGCATTGTTGCAGAAAGATTGTGATGATTCGCCTAACAAGTGCTCAGTCTCATCGCTATTTTGCTGAGCCCATGATTTCTGATGAAGGGCTTTCAGCTTAGCAAGCTCATCAGACACTTCCTTCATGGTTGGCCGGTTTACTCCCATGCTATTCAGACATCCTTTTGCAAGCTCAGCTACAGCTTCGATCTCATCTATTTCGCTTTCATCAGCTGCCTGAAAATCCAAAATTCCTGACAGATGATTATTTTCCAATGCTGAGATGAAGTGCTGAATAATGTTCCGTTTCTCTCCATTCTTGGCATTTGAGTTTGGCTTCTCTCCTGTGAGAAGCTCCACAAGGACAACTCCAAAGCTATAAACATCACTTTGCACGGTTAAACTACCCGTCATAAGATACTCAGGATCCAGGTAGCCAAAAGTGCCCTGTATTTTTGTCGCTATGATATTGTTTTGGCCTGGAGGAATCAACGCTGAAGCTCCAAAATCTGCTACTTTTGCCGTGTAATTATCGTCTAATAGTATATTCACCGACTTGACATCTCCATGAATAACTGGAGGATCTGCTAGAGAGTGCAAATAATCAAGTGCAAGCGCAGCCTCTGATGCTAGCCTCAGACGATTGCTCCAGGAAGCTAGTATCTGTGACTTTTTGTCATGGATGTGTTTGAAAAGAGTTCCATTTGAGACGAACTCATAAACTAATAATGGCACTTTGGTCTCCAAACACAAGCCCAAGAGCTTGACCACATTCTTGTGGTTAACCTGTGAAACAATGCAGATTTCTTGTTGGAAATCCTCACTCATCTGAGCTTTGTCCACCGCCTTGGACTTCTTGACAGCAACTGGTGTATTATCTGCTAAAACTCCTTTGTAAACTGAACCGAAACCACCTTCCCCAAGTTTTTTATCATCATCATAGTTGTTGGTTGCTTTTGCCAGCTCTGCCTCAGTGAAAATCCTTACTCTTTGATGCTTTAAAATAGTTCCCCCATTTTCTCTGAAGTTCCTGTCCTTCCTTCTTTTCCTGAAGATTATGTAGAGCAATAGACAAATAATCACAAGGGAAATAGCTGCTCCAATAGCTGCATACAAATGTCAAAGAAAGATGTTACTTGAATCAGGATAAAACATTTCTTTACTAACATTTTACCAAGTGATGGCCAATAGGATCCTCCGAAGAACATGAGAGGACCCAAATCCGAGTCTTTTTGTTTTTTTTTTTTTCAATTTTGTTATTATAGTTCTCAGATTGTTTTTTGTACACTGAGACTAAGTCTACTTTTCCAGTCCAGTCAAAGGTGTTTGGCCCAGAAGATTTATCAATTCTCGTTATATATGGTGGTCTTAATTAACTCCTTATTGGAAATTAGAAATAAATAAATGAAAAGCTTATAGGAACATGCCTAGTTATAAATAGTCATGCTTGTTCTTGTTTAACTGCTTATAAAGCTGAGGCTAGGGAATTACAGACAACCCAACTAATGGCTACGATGCCTTATAACTGAGAAACTCATAAGCACATGCGAAGGGCATTTATTTACCTGCAATAATGGTGCTGATACCAAACCCTTGACAACCTTTTTTACCATCACCATGCATGCCAAGTGGACAGAGACACTTGTAATTTCCAATAGTGTTCTTGCAAGTTCCTTCACAAGGGTATTTTATTGGATCCTGGCACTCATCGATATCTATTATCAATGTTAAAAAAGTAGTGAATAAAACCAGAATATAAATTCAAACAAATAAACTCTACACATGACAAGAGATAACAGGGAAAGAACATGACCTGCGTAAGCATATGGAACTCGATAACTATTAGTAAATCACACCGGAAAGCAATAACTACTTTACCTTGGCATCCTTCTTGGAGATAGGGATTTCCTTCGAACCCTTCATTGCATAAGCAACGATATCCAACACCATTCTGAGGGTAAGTACAATTTGCATTAGTGCCGCAAGCATAATAACTTGCATTAGCTCTAGCCTGTTCGCACGTCTCATTTTTAACTCCCCATTCAACCACGATATCTGATGTATCATTTACATAATTTGGAATACGAGAGAGCAGCCAATCTGAAAGCTTCAAGGAGCTTTTGTCCGCCAAAAATGCAAATCCACAGAGATTGAAATCTGAAACTTTCGTGTAGTTGTAATAACTTGAAAGGGAAATATCAAGTGACTTGAGGCCCTTGGGAATTGAGGTTTGGCAGCATCCAGAACCTGAGCAGGGATTCGCATCTGACATGTTCACATATTCGGTGCATAAGGACATACAGGCAGCTCCATATGTAGACTCTTCGTTGGTCACCGCAGCAACGGTATCACAACCAATGGCTGTGAATATGTTTCGGGTGTCAGAGAACATGAAGGGGCCTGATCCAAGAGAGACTGACTGCGAGAAACTGTGTGTTTTCTCCTCTATTTTGTTATAGTAGTCGAATGCTGTGAAGATGCTGACGGTTATTGTGCCTTCCAGCACTGATATATTGCGAGCCAGTATGTTACGACCAAGCCACAGTTCAGGATGACCCTCAGTATTGTTCGTGCAATTTAGAAAGAAGTGCGTATTCATGGCACATTTGGATACCCCAATCCCAAACGGGTAAGGCACACTGACATTCCCACACTTTTCTTGGCAGCCAGGTTTTACATCTGGTCCTGCTGTTGCTGCTGTTATGGGCCACGATAAGAACAACATCATCAGCCAAGACACCTGCATGATCTGGAGGATCATTTTTTATGCACAGCCCAACTTGATTAGTAGCAATTAAACCCTAGAAGGTTTATATAAAGAAGCTCCAAACCAAGATCTCTCTCCCACAGATTTCAGCAACTTCTTTTCCTTGTAGGGAATATATATATCTAAGACAGACTATCACAAAACATTAGTAAATTCAAAGAGGAACAAGTAGATGAAGTCTTGAGAATACTTTCTTTGATCCTTCCTTTTGGAAGAACAGGTCAAATAGTTGGACTTGAGCTATCCTACCTACACCACGTGCCTGAATTGAATTGGTAAGGAACATTTAATTATGTGAAAAAACGGAATAGGCAATTATACGTGATTTGTTCTCATTGTCAAATAAAAATGTCAAGATATCTGGTTTTTCTCCTCCTATTCTAATTAACTAGATCTAATAGGTGGTAGTTTGGTAATTATTGGAAAGCTCTTGAAAATGACTGGTTAATTCGGTAAAATTATTTGCATTATTATAATCAATAATTAATCCCAATCATATGGTTTGGTCAACACTAATTAATTTTTTTTCCGAATTAAGATGTGTTTTTTTAATTACATTCAGGAAAAAATTAGTTTTGAAATACATAAAAACTGATTCAAAGACATATTTATTATTAAATAAAAAAAATTAAAATCCCTTTCATATGGCCTTCCAACTTGCAAAGATTGAAGGAGTATATCAAATGTGTGCAAGTTGAGGGAGTACATCACATGTGGTGATAAATGTGAATATAATTTTGCACGTAGTGCCATCAATAGAAACACGTTCTATTTTTCTTATTATTAAAAAAAAAAAAAAAATCATCAATAGAGATTAACACGGTTGGGTGGGGTCAGGTACATAGTACATTTTGAGCTTTGTAATCAATATGCCTATAAATAGTGAAATATGAATGAAATAGGCCTATGTTACATAGTACAAGTTCGAATACACTCCTTACATGTAATTAAAAATAATGATTTCTCATGGTCAGTCTGACATGGGGTGTTTTTTTGGGTTTTTGGTTTCGGTTTGTAATAATTCGGTTTGGTTAAACGAATTTTTAAAATTTAAAATCAAATTCAAACTGAAAAGTAATTTTGGTTTTTGGTTAACAAAACTAAAATTTTAGTTTTTGGTTTCGGTTTTGATTTTTTTTTTTTTGTTTAAACCAAATTTTAAAAAACAAAATTTTAATTTTTTTTTAATTTTTTTAATTTTTAAAAGAACATAAATAGACAAAAACACTTTCAATCCATCATTTATTTATAATAGTGTTAAGGTATTGAGTTTTTTTATTTATTTTCATTATTTTAAAAATTTTAAGAACTAAAACTAAAAATAAACAATATTTGGTTTTCGGGTTAAACCAAACCCAAAATCAAACTAAAACCAAAAAAATTTAATTCATTTTATTTTATTTTATTTTAGAGTTAGAAACCAAATCAAAATTGATATTTCGATTTGATTTATTTTTTTAATTTAAATCAAATAATAAACACGCTTAGTCAAAATAAATTTTCATTTACTAGATTCAGTTTTGTCAATATCCTACTTCATTTATTTGATATAAATTATAGGATTGAGAGCTAAATTTATTCTTGTATAACATAATAATTTTTTCAATCCATCTTTATATTTCTTAGGTTTTTCTTCACATTTGGACCATATATTTTTTAATTTTTTTTAATTGAGACTCTATTTTTTTTAACTTGATTGAAATCCTTTATTTTTAAAGATTTCTTACTTCAAACCTTTTGTTATTAACACCACCAATAAGTGATCGACACGTGGTATTGTAACATAAAAAAATTTGAAAAATAGAAGTGACTTGTCAAAGAATAATAGGTTTCAATAAAAAAAATTCGAAGAGTACATAATCCAAATATGAGAAAACCCATATCTCTAGTTCAACCAATTTATCCTTAAACATGCACTAATTAAGAGTCTAATTTATCATTCTCACAAGATTTTCAGGCTAAATTATATAAATTAATCACATAATTTGTACGTAAATTTTTTTTATTTGACTTACTTGTAAGTACATATATATTTAAGGTGATTTGATAAAAAAAAATTAAAAACTTAACTATATTCAATGATAAAATTAATTCAATTAAAGATACAATTACAAGTTAAAAAAAAATCTTATTATATAAAAATAAATTGAGCCATTAATCTCAAATTATATATCAATCCATCAAGTTTTTTTTGTTTTCGTTTCGACATGTTGCAGTTTGTTGAGCAATTTAAGTGAAGATATTCGACTTTTATTTTTCTGATCTATTTACTTTGAAGTCAACAAAGGCAAGCCTTATTAGATTGTCCACTAGAAAGTGGTTGCTTGGTTGCTTCCTTACAAATTGCAAATGGAAATCATGTCATATTGTCATGTGTAACATACTTCACCAGCTTGACTTTGTTATTTTGATAATCCTTAATTTTATTAGATGACTTATCAATATCACTAGGTTAATATACTCAAATTTTTCTTACTTGCCTAGGTACAGATAGCCATACCATGCTTTTCGGGCGCTAAATTAGTTCCTAGGTTAATATTGACTTATTGAGAGAAGCTGTACTAACATACCTTCGAGCTGTTTTGAGAAAGAGTTATTACACTAATAAGGAACATTTATTTCTTTTGTTTCAGAAATGAGGCAATTCAATAAATGGAGGAGTTATTACAACATAGGAAACCTATCTAGGAGCCACACACACGCATTCAGCTTTTTAAGTCCAGCAATTAAGTCCTCAACAATCAGAAAGAGTAAAGTAAATGCTGCGTTGAAGGAGTCTATCACATCTCAGGAGTGGCCTTTGGGTCCATGGATTGATTCCACAAAATCTACTTGCCAACCTATTCATCACTCCCTACAAAAGGCCTTTAGGCCAATGGATCTATCTAATCATGCAAAAGAAGGCTGGGGTCGCAAAGACTTGAGAGTCAACAGGACACATGATACATCTAGTTCCTTCCTCAACGTTCTCTTCTTTCTTTTTTCTTCTTACATGCAAGTAATTCTTTTACGATACTCAAGTAGTAACGTACAAAAAAAAAAAAACCAACAGAAAGAGAGATTTTTTTAAAAAAGAAAGCAATAGAAAGAGGAAATTAAAATATTTAAATTTAAAGGAAAATGTTCTCATCATTTTTTTCAGATTCAAAAAGTGATTCTCTCTCTTTTTGTCCGTCACTTTTCTAAACCTAGATCTCTTCTAAAATTATATTCATAAAATAAATATTAATAATTACGCATTAAGTATTTTAAAATTTCTTGAAGTTTCATCGTCTACCGCTCAAACCTTTCTTTCTCGTCGTAATTTCCCAAGTGGAAAGTCAGGAGATATTTCGTAGCCATATTTGTATTTAATCTATTATAGCTTAAATTCCCTTTATTTTAGCAGACTTAATTAAATCCATGCTGAAAGATCAAAACAACAGCTACTTACTAGATTAAGTGTAAACGAGCTTGACTTTGTCATTTTGCTAATCCTTTTATTTGATGACTTATCAATATCACTAAGTTTTATTTACTCAATTTTTTCTTAAATTTATCGAAAAGTAATTGAACTGCTGAAGGTAGCATGAAGATTGTGGAGTACTGAGTTTATTTATTTTTATTTTTTTAGGAACGAGCAAGTAGTCTTATAAATTTGAAGTAAATTATAAATTAATCTCTCTAATTTTAAGAAATGAATGAATTAATCTACTTTATTTAAAAAATTAAAATGATGTTTAATAAAACAAAAAATGAAGTACTGAATATGTTAAAATATTGACCCTTAGTATTGTTGGTATAATTTAGAAAGAAGTGTGTATTCATGGCACAGTTGGGTACCCCATCCCAAACGGGTAAGGTATACTGACATTCCCACACTTCTCTTGGCAGCCAGGCTTTACATCTAGTCGTGCTGTTGCTGCTGTTATGGGCCATGTAATAACCCAAAATTTTCTTATTTTCTTATTTTTTATTTTATTTTTACTTTTTATTTTTATTTTATTTATTTATTTATTTTCATTTATTTATTATTTATTATTATTTTTTTTTTGGTTTTTAATTTGAAGTTCATTAAGGGAAAAAAAGAAAGAAAATGATGAAAAAAAATAATTTAGGGGTGCAATTGAAGTAATTAGAGGTGTAATCGAGTCAATTAAGAAGTTTAGGCCTTAAATTGCACCTCTAGGGACCTAATTGTTGAGATTGTACTGAAATTATTTCGCAAAGGGGCGTAATTGCTGAAATTGAAACGCGAGGATCAAACCGAAAGTTTGGAACGAACGATAGGACCGAAATGGAGCAAACGACTCGTCGTTCACTCCAAGGCAGATTCTCTCCAAAAATCTTTGGGAGAATCTGCCCAAATCCTCCATGAATTTCTTATTTTTGATTATGTATTAATTATGGATTTTGTTGCCAAAACCAACGCTAATAGAAATCAATGAGAATTTCCTGTTTTGATTTCACAATTAATCTTGAATTAAAGAGGAAAATTTTTGATAGAAAATTCGGGGATTTCAATTCAATTTTAGGAAATTTTTTGGCTATAAAACGTTTGAATTTCACAAAAAGAGGGGGGATTTTTCTTTGGCGAACAATTCGGGAAGAGAGAGTTCAAAAATCGAAAGTAAGAGATTTAATTTTAATTTTTGGTAGCTGAGTTTTTTTGGGTTTCGGGTTCCGGGTTGAAAGTTCTTATTCGGGTTTGTGTTCTTCAACCTATAACAAGTTTGAGACGTCTTTAGTGTTGATTTGAGGAAGCTTTTGGTTTATTAAGGTAGAGGAAAAGAAATCAAGAGCAAGGTTTCAATCAATTCGTGAGAAACAAGCACTCGTGGTGCTACATTTCGGGTTTTTCATTGAATTTTTTTGGGTTCATCTTACTCGTTCTTTGGAAGTTTTCCGTGTGAGTCCCTAAATTCGATTCCCTCGTTCTTTTTTATTTCGTTGTTTGTTTTAATTTCGGATGTTTAATTGCTATTTATTTCTTGTCTTGAATTGTGGTGTGTGTGATTGAATTTGTTGTTTGAAAAGGGAGTCTTTAAATTTCAAAAAACTTGAAGAACTAGAGAGAGAAAATGAAGAAAACGAAGAATAGGAGAGAGAAAGTTTAAAACCGAGGAACTTTTGATTTGATTTGAAAAGTAAAAAAAAGGTTTACGTGAGCTCGTTTCGGGCTTAAGCCCGACGAAGAAAAAGGGAAAAGAAAACGCGCCGGGCTTGACCGATTTCGATCCAGACTCCAGCCCGATGCCAAAAACAAAAAAAAAGAAAAAAGAAAAAGGGGCTGGGCTGAAATTCTCCCAAAAAAAAAAAAAGGGGAGGCCCGGCCCGTAGCCCACCTTCCAAAAAAAAAAAACAAAAAAAACAAAAAAAATAACAAAAAATAGAATTAGGGAATAAAAAAAATAGGTGAAAAGAAAAACAAGGAAAAAGGGGGATGGGTAAAAAAAAAAAAAAAGAGTAAAAGTGGTAGGTTAATATTTTAGGTATATAATTTTTTTTATTTACTTTTATCGTCGATTATTTTGTTTTTACCCGCTTACATAGGATTATTTTTTTATTATTTTGTATTTTATATTTATTTAACTTTTAGTCTATTTATTTTACTTCTTGTAGTTTTCTTTATTAATTTAGAACTTTTATTTTGGTTTTTTTTTTTAATATGTATTGCTAGAAAATTATATATCTATAAAATTTTGACAAAGTCTCCTATCCGATAGGGACCGACGTCGCAAAAAAAATATGCCTAAAAAAAAATGGCGAAGTCTCCTATTTGATAGGGACCGACGCCATACGAAAAAAAATTACCTTTTAATCAAGACGTCCTCCGACACGCCGGTTGTGTCAAGGCTTTTAGTGGATCCGATATTTGAATCGACATGTCACCCAACGTAGGGGACCAACGATCGTTTCAATATGATGCCACGCCCAAAACTAAAAATTTATTTAGTCTAAAAAAATAGGAGTTTAAAAATTAGAAAATATCTTGACATGGATTTCTAGGAGGTAATTTATGACTAAACCGTGCATAGTACCTTTTTTCGAAAAGGACACTTTTAGGTGATTAAAAATCTTCCTAAAAGCATAACCAATTTCTTACCTTAGGAATCTCTCGAACCAGTGCTACTTTTAGATTCCTAGTTTCGAAATACTAGATGGCGACTCCAAAACTCTATAAATAATCTTGTAATTAATTAACGTCCGAACTCTTAATTTTTCTTTTGGGGGGTCCCGTCCGACGTCGTGTAGCGACAAAGCCACAATAAGAACAACATCATCAACCAAGACACCGCATCCGGAGGATCATTGTTTTATGCACTCGTCGAACTTAATTAGTTGATAATCTTGATTTTGTAAACCAACATATTTATTTGAATAATTTATGGCCAAAAGATAGGTAAATAACATGTATATCTTCCAAAAAGTTATAACTATTTTTTCATCAAAAGTTTCATGGTTTTTGGATTACATAACGAGTATAATCTAAATAGATGAAAAACACTTACAATCCATCCTATATTTATAATAGTGTTAAGGTATTAAGTTTTTTATTTATTTTCATATTTTAAAAATTTTAAAAAATAAAAATAAAAATAAATAATGTTTGGTTTTTAAGTTAAACCAAACCCAAAATCTCAAAAATCGAACCAAAACCCAAAAAAAAAAAAAAAAATTCGGTATGATTTTTTTAATTTTATTTTTGAGTTAAAACCAAATCAAAGTTGATTGATAGCTTAATTTGTTCTTATATAAATTAATAATTTTTCATTCCGTCCTTATATCTCTTAGGGTTTTTTTTTTTTTTACATTTAGATCATGTATTTTTTAAATTTTTTTTAATTAAGACTCTCTATTCTTTTTTAAGTTGATTGAAACTTTTTACTTTTTGAGATTCCTTACTTTAAATCCTGTATTATAACACCATCAATCGAGTGATAGATATATGATATTGCAAAGCAAAATTTTTTTTTAAAATAGAGGAGACCTAAAGATACTAATTGGTGGCATTATAATTGAATGTCTAAAACAAAAAATCTCAAAGTGTAATGGGTTTTAATGAAAAAAAATTCAAAGAGTACATTATCCAAATATGAGGAAAACTCATATCTCTAGTTGAATCAATTTATCCTTAACATGCATTAAGTAAGTGTCTAATTTATCATTCTAACAAGATTTTCAAGCTAAATTATAGACATTAATCACATAATTTATACGTAAAAGTTTTTTATTTGACTTGTTTGTAAGGACGTGTATCTTTGAGATGATTTGACCTGAAAATCTTAATAAAAAAATAGATTGAAAACTGAACCATATTCAAGTATAAAATTAATTCAAATAAAGATATAAGTACAAGTTAAAAAAAATCTTATTACTTAAAGATAGAATTAGCTATTAATCTTAAATTATATATCAATCCATGAAGATTTTTTTTTCATTTCGACATGTTCCAATTTGTTGAGCAATTTAAGTGAAGATTGCAGAATTTTTTTATTTTTGAGTTATACTAATGACTAATGATTGCTCACATGACATTAATAAAGAACATTTATTTCTTTTCTTTCATAAATGAGGGAATTCAATAAAGGAAGGAGTTACTACAACGTAGGATGGGAGCCACACATATACCTGTTGAAGTCCAGCAAGTCCTCGACAATCACAAAGACGAAAGGGAATGCTGCGTTGAAGAAGAAGCGTAGCATCGTACTAACTCACATGTCAGGAGTGGCCTTTGGGTCCATGCATTGGTTCAACAAAATCTGCTTGGCAACGTGTTCATCACTGGATCTATCTAATCATGCAAAGAAGGCAAGACTTGAGAGTCAACAGGACAAATGATGCACGTAGTTCCTTTCTTGAACCTTCTTTCTTTCTTTTCTTCTTACCGACGAGAAATTCTTAAAAGCTTCGCCAGAAATTAATCCCTTTAATTTTGAGAAATTTTAATTTTGAGAAATGAATTAGTTAATTTATTTTTTTCAAAAGTTATTTATGTAATCTCTATATTTTGAAATTTCACTGCAACTTAACTTTTTTCATTCTCTTTAATTTAATTTTAATTTTAATTTTTTAATGAAAAATAAGAACAATTGACGAAAAAAATATTTTTTAAACTAATATTATCAAATTAAATACAATCAATACTAGTTAAAAGATTTAAATAATTAATTTTTAAATAAAAAATTAATTAATTTGTTTTTTTTGGAACTAAAGACTCATTTTGTGATGATCATGAAGCACTTGGTCGCCCCAATCAAGCTCAAATATGATTTCAGCAAAGCGGAGAAGCTTGTTCAAAACAATAAGGTGTAGAAAAGGCTTCCGTATGTCTTCCAAAAACTGCAATGCCATGTTCTTCTCGTTGCCCCCTGCATACAAAAAAACAAGCTACAGAGGGTTTTTAAAATGAGGAAGAGACCATAGTTTTAAATCGAAGATGCAGTACTTACAAAAAACGATTGTGATCGCAAGTCGTTGCTCATGTTGTATATATGACTTATAGATAGGGTGGATGGGATTACGTGTTATAGCCATTAGGTAAAAAAAGAAGAAAAGAAGAAGAAGAAGATGTGAGCTGCAATATAATGATTTGGAATAAATAGTACTCTATTTTCTTGTTATCATTTTTTATTTCCATCAAGGTGAGGATGTTTATAATAAAAATGAAGATGCATGTATATTTAAAATCATTCAGAGAAAAAATTTAATTTAATTAACGTATAACCATATTAGAAAATATCTCTTTTCCCAGGGCGATTTGCTTGGAAAGAAAATCAGTTTTTTTTGGCACTAAATATGACCTGCGCTGTCATTGTAGGCTCCTGCATTTCCTGTTTCCACCGAACATCTCCTCATAACTTGGAAATCAGAACGAGTATGACCTGCGGCAATGTCATTCTGGGCGTATGCTTGTCCATCAAAGGTTTACTCGTGACTTTGAATAGTCACAAATGGCACGCGGTTCCATCAAAGGTTTACTCAAGACTTTGAATAGTCACAAGTGGCGTGTGATTCTTGTCTTGTGTTTATATATCTATTTCTATTTCTCTCTTCAAATGTTGTATATATACAATAAATATTCTTTATGTATTATAAAAATTTTCATGTGGTTTGTAGGTTATTTTGAGTCAATTCTCAATTTAATTTAACAATAATTGAAATAAGTATTGCTAAAAATTTTAATGGCTTAAATTTAGGAGCACAAAAATATTAAAATGAAAAAAATCACTTCTCTCTAAAATATTATAAAATCTTTTTTAAAAAAAACTTTATTAAACCTGATGATATTGTAACATATTTAAAATTTTAAAATAAAAGAGAATATTTTTGATAAAACCTTAAATTATATGTAAATCAAAAAAGATTTTTTTTTTTTTCATTTCTACGTGTTGCAGTTTGTTGAGCAATTTAACTGAAGATATTAGAATTTTCTTTTTCTTGGGTAATGTTAATGACTAATGATACATTAATAAGGAACATTTATTTCTTTTCTTTCATAAATGAGGCAATTCAATAAATGAAGGAGTTATTAGAACATAGGAAACCTAGGTAGGAGCATCCAAGTTTGAAAAATATTTTTGTCTAACGAAACATCTAAGTTTTCTACAGGTGACATGCGTGTATATACATAGATTATTGGTGGTTATATTTTCTTCGTATTTTATTTTCTTATGCAAAATGTGGAAGTTTTTGAGTCTGACCGACCAGATTTTTTTTATATATACAATGTATATAGATAATGTTTTCTTACGCACAAGTTAATACGCATGAATCATAAGTAGATTTGTTTCTTAGGTTACAAAACAAAAACAAAGTTGATTCATACGACCTGAACTACCATTTTCTATGCACCACCCAACTTAACTAGTAGTTAAGCCCTAGAAGATTTATATAAAGAAGCTCCAAACCTATTCACTTTCCCACTGATTTCTGCAACTTCTTTTCCGTGTAGGGAATATATATAGCTAAGAGAGACTATCACAAAAAATTAATAAATTCAAAGACGACCGAGTAGACGAAGTCTTGAGAGTATTTTCTTTGATCTTTCTTTTCAGAAGATTCATATATAGTGCTCAAAACAAGTCAAGTAGTTGGACTTGAGCTATCCAACGCCATTAATGTCTTCCATTATAATCGCAAGGTAGGGTATACAAAGATATTAGAACTTGTACTGATGCTATTGATTTTTTGTGGTTTAAATTTGGACAATTAGGTCTGGTTTGGTCCGTTAAGAAGTCATGGTCCCTTCATCTGTAGTCGATCCGATTTTTCCTTAATTTTATCTTTTAAAGAGAAGGAGAAACATATGTAGTTTTCTATTAGTTCCATTTTTTTATTCAACGACAGGAAAATTTGATTGCAAATTCGAAAAGAATATTAAAATCTCAATAAAAAAAATTGCCAACTTTTTATTTATTTATTGCAAGAAATTATTTTTTGGATTTTTTTATTTACATTGGCTTTTTTAAAACTTTTTTTAAAGACAAAAAAGGCAATATCCTGCATTTATTTTATATAAATTACAAGGTTGTTGGTTTAGGACTTTGTTTTTACCTAATAAAATTAATTTTTTAATTTATCTTTATCTTTATATTTTTAATTAAATCAATTATATCTTTTAATATATATTAAGTGTCCAACATTTACTTTTAGTAAGAATTTAAAGCTAATTATCCTACCAGAGTTGATCATGCCCACGATCTATACATAAAAATTAATCTATACTTTATTTAACTGCCTTACAATAGTATTTTAAAAATAAAAATTAATAATGTACAAATCACATATATAATTCAAGTAATTTAACCTGAAAAATTTGACAAAAACATAGATCCAAAATTTAAAGTGTATTCAAGAATATAAATACAAATTAAAAAATCACATTATCATATGAGGATAAATTAAGCTACTAACCTTACACTATTTATCAATCTATCAAGATTTTTACAAAACAAGTATTTTGAAAAACATATAAATGGAAATGAAAAATAATCTTTTTAGAACAGAAAAAATATGTCAATCCACCAGGATATTTTATTTTCATTTCGACATATTGGAGCAATTTAACTGAAGATATTTTCATTAAATGAAGGATTTATTACAACATAGGAAACTTTGGTGGGAGCCACACACATACCTGTTCAAGTCCTCAACTATCAGAAAGAGTGAAGTAAATTTTGCGTTGACGAAGTCGCCTTTGGGTCCACAAAATGTCAAAATCTACTTGGTTACGTATTCATCACTCCCTACAAAAGGACTTTAGGTCAATGCACATCTCAGGAGTGATCTTTGGGTGCATGGATTGGTTCCACAAAATTTACTTGCCAACGTACTCATCACTCCCTACAAAAGGCCTTTAGGTACACGCGAGTAGTTCTTAGAAGCTTCACGAAAAATTTCACGATACTCAAATAGTAATAGATTAGAGAGACAGAGAGCAATGGAAAGAGAATTTTTTTTAAAAAAAAAAAATCTAAACATATATGTTCTCATCATTTTTTTAAGTATTCAAATGTGTTTTTTTTTTTCCGTCTGTCTCTTTTCTAAGACTAAACCTCTTCTAAAATTAGATTTATAAAATAAATATTAATAATTAGTCGTTGAATATTTTAAAATTTTTGAAGCTTCACCATCTAACACTCAAATCTTCTTTTCTCATTGTAATTTTCCAAGTGGAAACACAAGAGATATTTCTTAGCCATGCTTATTTTTTCTATCTAATAATGCAAAGAAGGCTGGTGTCGCCAAGACTTGAGAGTCAACAGGACAATTGATACATCTAGTTCCTTCCTTAACGTTCTCTTCTTTCTTTTTCTTCGTACATGCGAGTAATTCTTAGAAGCTTCACGGGAAATTTCAACCAAAAAAAAAAAAAAAAGGCAATAGAAAGAGGAAATTAAAAGAAGTGAATTTAAACGAAAATGTTCTCATCATTTTTTACAGATTCAAAAGCGATTCCCCCTCTTTTTTGTCTGTCACTTTTCTAAAACTCTCTCTTTTTTAAAATTATATTCATAAAATAAATATTAATAATTAAATATTGAGTATTTTAAAATTTTTTGAAGTTTCACCGTCTCACGCTCAAACCTTACTTTCTCATTGTAATTTCCCAAGTGGAAAGTCAGGAGATATTTCTTAGCCGTGTTTGTATTTAATCTATTATAACTTATATTTGCTTTATTTTAGCAGACTTAATTAGCTCCCTGGAGAAAGATCAAAACAACAGCTTCTTACTAGATTAAGTGAAAACGAGCTCGACTTTGTTATTTTGCTAATCCTTTGGTTCCACAAAATTTACTTGCCAACGTATTCATCACTCCCTACAAAAGGCCTTTAGGTACACGCGAGTAATTCTTAGAAGCTTCACGAAAAATCAAGAGAGAGAGAAATAGAAAGAGAAATTTTTTTTTTTTAAAAAAAAAATCTAAGCAGATATGTTCTCATCATTTTTTTAAGTATTCAAATGTGATTTTTTTTTCGTCCGTCTCTTTTCTAAGACTAAACCTCTTTTAAAATTAGATTTATAAAATAAATATTAATAATTATTCGTTGAATATTATAAAACTTTTGAAGCTTCACCATCTAACACTCAAATCTTCTTTTCTTCTTGTAATTTTCCAAGTGGAAACACAAGAGATATTTCTTAGCCGTGCTTATGTTTTCTATCTAATAATGCAAAGAAGGATGGTGTCGCCAAGACTTGAGAGTCAACGGGACAATTGATTCATCTAGTTCCTTCCTTGACGTTCTCTTCTTTCTTTTTCTTCGTACATGCGAGTCATTCTTAGAAGCTTCACGGGAAATTTCAACCAAAAAAAAAAAAAAAAGGCAAGAGAAAGAGAATTTTTTTTCAAAAAAAAAAAAAAAGCAATAGAAAGAGGAAATTGAAAGAATTGAATTCAAACGAAAATGTTCTCATCATTTTTTACAGATTCAAAAGCGATTCTCTCTCTTTTTTGTCTCTCACTTTTCTAAAACTCTCTCTTTTAAAATTATATTCATAAAATAAATATTAATAATTACACATTGAGCATTTTAAATTTTTTTTGAAGTTTCACCGTCTAACACTCAAACCTTCCTTTCTCATTGTAATTTCCCAAGTGGAAAGTCAAGAGATATTTCTTAGCCGTGTTTGTATTTAATCTATTATAACTTACATTTGCTTTATTTTAGCAGACTTAATTAACTCCATGGAGAAAGATCAAAACAACTGCTAATCCTTTGATTTGATGACTTATCAATATCACTAAATTAATATACTCAATTTTTTTCTTAAATTTAAAAAAGCAATTCAACTGCTGAAGGTGGCAGGAAGACTGTGGAGTAAATTATACCTTAATCCCTCTAATTTTGAGAAATGAATTATTTAACCCACCTTATTTTAAAAACTAATTTTTTAATCCCTACATTTTAAAATTTTTCTGCAACTTAATCTTTTCCATTCTTTTTAATTTATTTTTTATGTTTTATTTTAAAAAATAAAAGAAGTAGAAAATATGGAAGGATGGATGAAAAAAAATATTCTTTTTCTTAGACTAATTAAGCATTATTAGTTTTATAAAATAAGAGTAATTAATTTGTTTCTCGAAACTAGAGAAACTAATTTTATGCCGAAGCACTTGGTCGTCCCAGTCAAGCTCGAAAACCACCACTAACGAAGACAGACGTTGGGATATTATTTTGCTGATCCGTTCATTTGATGACATGCATCAAAATATGATTTCAGCGAAGTGGAGAAGACTGCTCAAAACAGTAAGGTGTAGAAAAGGCTTCCATGTCTCTTCGAAAACCTGCAGTGCCATGTTCTTCAAGTTGCTCCTTCATCAAGAACACAAGCTCGACAAGTTTCTTCGAAGAGGGAAGAGACAGCGGGAAAAAGTTGATCGAGGAATATTGACTTCCTAACAAAAGGAACACTTGTGCATGAATTTTAATTGAGAGAATGCATCGGTAAATGGCATGAAGGAAGCAAGAAACCCAATCGGCAGCATTAAGCAACAGTACCAAGAAAGAAAAATTTCCAATATGTAAATAACAGGAGAATATATTGAAAGGCATAATTTTCGTACTTGCCTAGGTACAGATCAGCACAGTTGTCAGCCCCAAGTTTTTCATTAACTTTGACAACCATACCATGTTTTTGGCGCACTAAATTAGTTCTTAGGTTAATATTGTGTATGAAGAAAGACATGAGAAGCTGTACTAACATACCTTGGAGCTGTTTAGCATCTATTTACAATCTTGAAATTCCATCGAACAAAATATAGTACAAGGTAACAGCAAAGAAATATATCGCAGCATCCTCATATAGATCGATTCATAGATCATCCACCAGAGTTTGGCTGCATCGGGGAAAAAGATTAATTAATTAGTTCATTTTGGTAATGGTTTATCCCTAGCAAACAATTCACACTTAAAAGTCCAAGAATGGATATAAAATTGGCAGATCCCATTTATGTCAATAGTAAATACCAAGTAAAAAAAATGCTAATGTTAATAATATTCTTACATTATTCTGCATTATGAGATTGGTCGTGCTCAATAAAATCAAGTGCATCTTCCTTAGAGATAACATTGACACGGCTCACCCTGTTCTTGTGTGTCACCCCATATAACTTGTCAGCAACCTTCACAAGTTCTGGCCTGAAAGTCGTGGTTATAAATTGTGTATTTGCCATATCAGCCAGGCGACGGATCATGTCTAACAAACAAAGTAATTAAGGATCTCCTCCAAAGGATACATCAAATGAATAAACAATAGATAAATACACTACAGAGCACACATAACTACACACCTACAGCATTTAGATTTTCTTTACAGATTTGACATTCTTATTTTCATTGCAGGCAGATACAATGCCAATTTCTTGCCATATGCAGGGACTGACATTATCAAATGAGCAGTAGTCTCAAAATCTCACCGTTGGTTAAATTATTCAAATCCAGTAGTAGCTTAAATGGACAATTCCCTATCGAACAATAACCCTCATCACATCTAAACACGTGGAAGATATCACACTGGGATAGAGAAAAAAAAAAAAAAATCGCTAAGCAGATATCTGCATATATACAAGCAAGTATTCAATTATGCATGAGTAGCATGCATGTCAATATAACCAGTTTCCTGTTAGATATAAATAACTACTTCCAATCCCGGAAGCTAAATGTCAACTCCCTGAAATGGATGGCAGCAATAGGGGAAGGGCATGGCGGGAATGCAAAATTTACATCAGACTCAATACCAATAGCCAAAAGAACACAAAAAAGAAACCATTAATGCTTGAGAGAGAAGGCAAAGAAGTAACACATAGAAATAGGATACTTCCAACAGCAGTCCTGTACTGTGGATCTAGAGCTGCGTCTATCTCATCAAAAAGATAAAAGGGAGCAGGATCACATCGTTGTATGGCAAATATCAATGTCAGGGCCACAACAGTTTTCTGACCCCCTGATAACTGTTTCATTGATTGTGTTTCCCCTTGCCCTGTAAACGAAACCTACATAGCAAAACCAACTTGAGAAGGAGATTTAAATTTGAGCATGGCCATATTCTCAAGCATTGAAGAAGATGCCGTGGGCAAAATACTTTTGCTCAGCCTATTTACCAAAAAGGCAAATTTCAGAGAGTATTGTTTTTACCAAGACTAGCTGAATTCATAATTTTACCACCTTTTCAATGTCAATAAACAAAAAGTGCACTAAAAGGCTATTTACTATCTAATTTGTGACATCTAATCCATCCTATTTTTTTATTTCCATCTCCATGTTTCTGCAAAAAATAAACACATATAACAGAAGGACAACAAATACATACCTTCACTTTCACACCAATGTATTTCTCAACCCTTCCCTCCACATCCACCTCGCGAGGTCCATCATCATCGTAATCATCATCTCCATGATCACCATCCTGTCAAGATACCATGAAATTCACAGAAAAGTTTCAAAGACTATCTAGATTGACCACAATGTAAACCATTACATTTTCAAAATGCACTCAGTACAATTATCTCAAAATTTCAACATCAAAGACCAAAAAGAATACTGATTAAACTTGAAAAACAACAAAAAAAGCCAAAGGAAGAATAAAAAGGCATTGTAGAAGAGTAACAACGAAAAAAAAATGATTTTGACTAGTTAGTTTGTCAACATTTCACCAAAAAAAAAAAAAAAAAAAAAAAAACAGTGCAACAGTTAGATTTTGAGCAATAAAAATATGCTTATGGGACACTAAGGAAGGAAGGGATGTATAGACTATGAACCAACTTATTAATTTAGAATAGTGAATAAAAAGTTAAACAGTAGCAAGAGATAGAAAGAAAAAATGAAAAATCAGGCTTAAAATGCTCCTTTAACTAACCTTTTTCTTCATCATGACCAGATGGCCATGACCACCTTGCACAAGTTCAGAGAATACTTCACGGAAGTGTCGAGCAACACCTTTGAAAGTACGTTCTATCGATTCGTCCTTCCGCTGATCTAAAACAGATATAAGTTCTCTGATTTTCTGCACAAAGGCATTGTAGTAAAGATACAGAAATCATAAATTCATGTTAAAAACAGTAAGTACAACAGGAGATTTAAATATAAAATTCAGTTCAATAATACCTCGTCGCCTGCATCAAGTTCAGCTTGCCTTTTCTGGAGTTCCTCCCGTTGCTCGGTGAAATTTACATATTGATCTAGTGCCTTCTTGTTTACATGGCTGAACTGCTGAAGTTGCTCATTGCACCTATGAAGCATTTTATGCAACTCTTTCACGCTCCTCCGCTTATACCTATATGTTCCAATATAAGAGAGCATGTCGTTTATGAAAAGAAAGAATATGTAAGTGGAAAGCATGCAAACATTACCCGTCTCAATAAGTACCGAGTACATGCCAAGGCAAGACCAAAAACATCTTCTTTCAAGATTTCAACATAAATATTAGCCAGTCAAAGAGGCAGGATAAATCAATTAAAACCTCAGGGGTTTAAGTTGATTACAAGACATAGTTTAGCAGTACATTAATAGCCAAGCACGAGAAAACTGAAGCTCAGATTGAAGTCATTTACATGAAACAATAAGGAAAATTTGAAGTTTGGAGAGAAGCTATACATTTCAAAAGCATCTGATGACAGGGGGCCCAATTCCCTAATTTTGTTCGAGTATTCCTCCTGTTTAGCAAGAAAAATACTTCTTTTACTCAATAGCTGTTCCAATTCTTTGGCTTCATCTTGAAGTGTTTTTTCATATTTGTCTTCCAAAACCTGGAAACACAAGTTGTCACCTTAGTTGCAGCAACAAACCCTAAAGATAAACAGTCTGCAAAAGATGACATACCTTTAATTCTGTCTTTTTATCTTTTTTCTCCTTTAGTTCCTCCTTTAGTCTATCTATACTGTCAGAAACTCCTGAGAAGAATAACCAGTCAAAAAATTTCTCGTGTCTAAAGCTTAAAATCGAGTTTTTAGAAACAAATCAAAGCTCACTGTTGAGTTCCTCTGTCGTGACTTCGGCCAATGATTTAGCATCATTCAGTTCCTGCCTCTTCAGTTCAGCTTCACCATGTAAGGTGTCAGAGTCAGCAGATGATATTATGGCTTCCAACTCTTGCTTCCGACGTTTCAGGTTGGTTGTAAGATTAGTCTCTAGCTCTGCTTTTCTCGTTTCAGTCTGTAATGAAAATTGCACATTCATGTGAAACAGAACACGTACCGCTAAGGACACTACAATTAACAAGTCGACAAGGTTGAGATTTCTAACCTCAATGCGATCTGTTCTACAGGTAATAAGCTTCTCTTTAAGCTCTTTTATTTCAGGGTTCAGTTGGGATAGTTCATATTTTTCCTCTGGTGTTAAGTGATCAATGAGCTCTGTGCCCATCTCAGCTTGTTTCATGGCCATACTGGCTTTAAGCTGATCTATTTGATTCCGAACATCTGCCAGTGATTTTTCCTATTAATGGAACCCAATGAAAGAGGAATAAGAATAATGACAACAATAACGTAATGGACGCTAAAGAAGGAATAATCTGCCAGTAGTCAAGAGTCACTGAACGTCTAAATGTACCTTATTTTCAAGAGCCTTAGAAATGAATTGTTTCTGCTTATTAGCATTAGCTATGTCCTGCTTAAGCTGTTCCAACTCTGATTTATCATGAGCCCGCTTGGCATCAATTTTCTGCTGCTCGGTGACTCGTTCAGTTATTCTCTGGTCTACATGTGAGATCAATTAAGCGAACACAAGGTAGAAAATAATAGATAGATATAATTTAAGCTAAGGAAGAAAGGAAACATCTGAGAAACTCTTCAACAGATATCTTAGCAATCAAGAGTTCTACTTTTCAACAATCAAACACCAAGCGTTATTTATTAACTAAGATTTTAGGAGTAAGAAAGCTTGAGGAATGTATATATGCATTTTTCATGACTTCAGACAAGAAATCATACCCCAGTTTTACCATTGAATGAAAGCGTAAATTAAAAGCATTTATTCAAACTGAAATTTAAAATAATAATAATAATAATAAAGGATATCTTGTAGCATGAATCTGACTTTTTCAAGTTCTTCTTCCTTAATGTTGATAGATTTTGTATTCTGCATAATCATGTTCATAAACTTCAACTTTGAGCGTCGATGGTCATAAAAGCCCCCTGTCATACCACCTTTCTTGCTTACTTGATCACCTGATCAGTATTAAGCTGTTAAGGCATCACAAAAATGTATGAAATTCATCATGTAAAAATAACATCAAAGATTTCTATGCTAACCATCCACAGTTATGCAGTCCAAACCATCAGTTCGGGCAACTCTCGTGGCCACATCCAAATCTCGACAGATCACAGTTCTAGCAAATACCTGGGAGAACAAGAAGAATATATAGCAATATAAGCATGCAGTACATCCCACACCACTCCAGGAATCAAATCAATATCATTATCAGTTTTAGCTCATGCAAACTTTCAAAAGGTGCCAACACATTTATACACAAGCCCAATGGCTTCAATAACGTTTCACCAATATCCAAGAACATGGCAGTCAAATAATTGAAGTATGCACAAATATCACATCAGGGAAAAAGCGTTTCACTTCACAAGTCATATAATTTCCCAGTAGCCTTGTGGTTGGGGTTAGACAACATTGCTTGCTTTTTACAATTAGTGCCAGTCACCCACCATTATCAAATCAAAACTTTTTATCATCACTATCCATCCTTAGATTCCCAAAGCAATCACTACAAACTCTTGAAAACATCAGCAATCAATTGATAGAACATGTAGAGAAATAACCTCCTAGAACAAAATAGCACAAGAAATTACTGATTTTTCAGTTATGCGTAGGCCAATTTATAAGTTTATAATAACAAAACTCACATCAATGTTTCTGCTGGATCAATACCGTTTCAGTAAGAACAAAGATGAGGGAGAACTAACCTGAGCAAATGCTGGGGTAAAATTTGGAGAGAACTTCAACTTCTTTAGCAAAGGTACCACATCAGAACTCTGTGGATAAGTTACACGGGGAGCTTTTACCCTGTTCAGTGGAATGAAAGTGACTCGACCTCCTTTCAATGCATTAAGGTGCCTAATTATCTGAGTCGATATGTTATCATCCTCAACCACCACATGAAATAAGCTGCTCAATAGACAAACAGATATGAAGTACATCATTCAAACGATGAATGACCAAAGCAGAAGGTGAAAGACTGGTGGCAATTATACCAGCCGGTCAAGCAGATTGAGACACAGCTCCAAGTGAGAAAACATTTTACATAATAGAACAGATTACAGATACCTGTTTCCAGCGGTAACTTCAACAGCAGTAAAATATTTCTCATCACAATCAAGCAACTCTATTATTGGACCAAAAACTCCATTAATTTTGTAATCTCTGCATATACGCCGAATAGAATTGAGCCCTCTCCTCACATCCTGATATCATAACATAGGCAAGTTGCCAGAAACACGAAGGGTTCAGATAGCAAATAAAAACTAACTTCTACCAAATGATCACTGTTGTTTCCAGCCATCAAACAAGCAGGATACTGGCTGTTATGAATGCCTACTGCGTTTTAAAATCCACCGATCGCAATGGAGCACATATTGCTTGTAACCTGAATATTTTGGAAGATATGTTGAACCAAGTAGCTTAAACTTTCCTTCTATGAGAAGGATTTTTAAGCTAAGTTTGAATGTGATTTATGTTCAGATATAGCTTTGCTGTTTAGCAAACTTACAACTTCTCAAGCTTGGCCCAGACACTCAGTTCAGTCAAAAATGACTGATGGCCACATAGCAAGTGATTTTATCAGTGTTGAGACTAAAACAGAGAAGTCAGAGAAATGTAAAAGGTAACTAAAAAGAAGAAGAATATAGTCAGATTTGGTTTGATCAAACTACTAACCATTTTTACTCATATTCCAAAAATATTACACAAGGATCTTAAGTAAATTAAGGTCAGTGGAGTAGACCTGAAAATTCATGTTCATGGGCCCATTCAAGGCAAGCATGGGCCTGCTTGGTCTTGGCTTTATCACAAACAGCCTCACTATGATGCTTGAACTTGGTTATAATGAAACAATCAAAGCTCAAAAAAGCTTTTCATCAAGCTCAATTCAAGCTGTTTATAATCATTCAGGCATTTTGATAACTAAATTTGTAAAATTAAAAGCTAAAGAAATTGAGGAAGCAATTACTCACACCAGGAGTTGCATGATCCAGGCTCTTCTCTGCCTTCTCAACTTCTGTTCTTAGCTTATCAATTTCAGCAGTCAGTTCACTTTCCTTTTTCCACAATGATCTACCAGGAAAAAAACAAAAAAAAAAGAGTCAAACAGAGCAATTTCAGGAACTAACCAAAATAAAAAGAGAACAAGAACTATACTTCCGCTCATCTTGCAGCTTGTCTCTCTGTGCTTTATGATTATTGAATCCTTCACATGACTGGAAAATGAGAGAGTCTAAGGTTGCAATTTCAGCTTTGCGACTCTCAATGTAGGCATCTCGCTCTTTAAAGTCTGCATTCAGCCTATAAATTTCTTCCTGGAGTTTTTGCTCCTGGGATATACACAAGCAGACAACTTACTTAACATCAAAAATTCAGAATATTGAGAAAACAACAAGAATGGCACATGGACTTGCAGCAACAGAGGTAAGAAGTTCAACTGCATTCACAAACCAACTAACAACACATCTTCAATTAATCCAAACAGTCATGCACAAATCTTGCAGACAATTTAAAATAGAAGTAGAAATTCTCTAAGGGCTTTGTTTTTCATTTAATGGTGGCATCTATTACTTACAGCTATAGACCTAGACGCCATAGCCAAGAGACAAAAAACCCATAGATTGCACCAAAGCAGAATAAATCCTGAACAATTGTAACAAGGACAGCATATGGAAAGTGTGACAACTTTCTCCTTGAAGTGTCCAGTTACTGCAGATATTAATTATTTCTAATAACATGATGGTTTCAGTTCCTTGGTCCATTTTACCAAGGGCTAAAACGAAAAAATCACCCAACAAGGAATGAAGGGGGGAAAAACCAAGAAATCCACAAGAAGCTTCCTTGAATCTACAAGGAAAGTAGTTGATATCCACAAGAGCAAGAAATTATGCAAAATTGCAAGAACATGCATCTAGCATTAAGACTCAAAAACGTACATGCTTAAATAGGTGCCCCAAATCCTACAAGGTCAAACCAAACCAGGAATAAAATCCCCCAACAAATTAATCAAAGTAGCAAAATACACAAATAATTCCTAAATAATGATGTTCTAATTACTTATTAGCAATTCTTCATCTAATGTAAGTTATATTATTATGTGCATGTCAGCTCTATGCATTAGTTTATTGACAGTAAAGAACAAAACCTAACATGAGGCACTTTCAGCTGAAATTATAGCTTATATAGTAATTTATGGAAACTTTTAGTCGAGGAGAGACCTTACACTAGTCAAGAAGTGTTACGAATGACCTTTTCACACCTAAGTTTACTCAAGAGAAACCTCCAAAGACTTGCATATCCTAGAACAAAAGAAAAGGAGGAAAAAGACAGGACAGCTTGCCTGTAAAGGTTGTAATCTTTGGATTGGATAAAGGATACAAGAAATTGAACAAACAATATACAAGAGAGGTTAATCATAGCTCCTGTTAGTCCAATTTACTAAAGATGCCTTGCACTATTCAAAAAAAAAAAAAAAGTTACAATTTGTTTTGATCATTAAATTGTCTGATAAGAGGCCTGGTCCTTTCCTAATTAAATGATGATGAACATGGGATAAGAAGGTGCCTCCTAATCTATCCGCTAGGAAGATTCTGACAACACCATCATTCAACTGAGATGATGTTCAAGTATCAGAAGAGATTAACGTAAACTCTTGCCTGGGCCAAATTTGAAGAAAGAACACGTTGTAAATCATCAATTTCCTTTTGAAGCCATTTGTCACGAGCAGTTTTGCTGGAAAATTGGGTAGCACGACCCTGTTTTTGATAAAGGATACTAAGCTGCTTTTCACGCTCCATTATTCTGCAAGTTGCCAAAACCGTTTATGAAAGAAAGATACTGCACATAGCGCAAGCTCATCTCCCAAATAAATGTGCTATTTTGGCATAGACAGAACCATCAAAGGTCAAGAAAGAAAATACACTTCAGGAGTCAGGAAAAAAAAAAGAAATTTGGAAAAAGAAAACAAACGAAAACTTTTTACTGAATAAATTTATCAGCAACGTTTTTTACTGACTTATCATGACTGATCTAAGGCCTCATTCACATGTCCGAAGTAATGGAAAAGCACATACCCTGGATACTATCTGAATGCAGCCTGAACTTTAGCATGTTCACTTTAATTACCAATCAAAACTAAAACCCATACACTAGCACCAAGCAATCTTAATTATAGGAGTAGATAAAACAATAGCACCTGGTCCATGTGCAACAAACAAAAGCATGAACAAACTTGCGAATTCTCAGTTTACCTCTTTGTGATATCCTTTTCCTTTGAAAGGTTTTCTTCATAGATGGGGCTAATTTTGTTGAGCTCCTTCATAGAGTCCTGTATTTCTTTCTGTAGAATATCAAGTTGCTTCATAGCATCTTCCTGAAAGCATGTACATACATTAAATAAAACATTCATCATTCTTTATCCTCAAAAAATAATTAACATTTTTCTCTTTGTTAGAGTTTGATACTTTGGCTTGGATATTTCCAGAAAATCTCTCTTGCATGTCTTTCACATCAAGCTCAAGCTCTGTCTGCTTCTTTATTGCTTCTGTTTGTCGTTTCTCTGCTGCCTCTTTCTCTTTGTTCAGTGCTTGAACTTCTTTTGTAAGATCTTTGAGCACCTTCTCCAAGTCTTTGGACTCTTCATGGGCATTCAACACCTCATTATACATCTTCGCTGATTTTTCAGAAACCTTGCTTCGAGCCTCTTCCACCTGAGAAGGGAACAAATAAATATATAAAGGCACTACCTCACCTCAGAAAAAAAAAATAATGAAACAATAAAGTTTAGCTAAGGTCAAGACAATTAACATTGCCACCATGCCTCCCCGCCAACCACCCCCCCCCACCCCCCACCCCCAAAAAAAAAAAAAGAAAAACCAATAATGAGTAGGAACAGAGAATACTAGCACCAAATCTTTCTGCAGCTGTCATTGGATGACAACTAGCAATTCACAGCATGCTACAATCAAGATTATCACATGCTAATTACTGATCCAACAGTTTCCAAAAGCAGTCTAGAAACAAGACCCTGACAAAGATTACTATAACTGTCAAAACATTTTATTTTTCACTTAAGAACTAAGCTCAACTCTCAGTTCCCCATTCAAAACTACAAAGTTATCTCATAATATATAGGCACATAAAGAACAAGCTACAAGAACCAGTGGAAGAAATGAAAGAGTTAGTACATCTAAAATAATGAGTTTGATCACGTTTATTTTCCTCTTTGTCAGCTAATTTTTGAGCAGCAAATCCTAATTATGTTTAGTCAGTGAAATGTCTGTCCTTTACATACTTTAAAGTAGCAATTTGGTGTAACATTCTTCAAGATTCATAAAAGCAATACATGAAGAAACCTTTACGCATGTCCAAGCATCTAACAGGTACTGACCTCCAATAATTTCTGCCGAGCATCATGGAGTTCCTTATCATAAATAGTATATTCTAGAGATTTTCGCTGCTTGTCAAGCTGCTGATATTTTCTCAGCTCCTCTTTCTCTTCATCCAGTTCCTTCAGCCTCTCATCCAAGTACTGAACAACTTGAATTATCTGTTTTCTTTTGTTCCCTGGTTAACAGAAAACATAAAATTATACACACGCTGAAAAGCATCTGCACAACAAAACCCAACTCAACTATCCCTTCCTTGCCTGTTTCCTGCATAATTTTCAAACTTTCACGCCGTCTCTCTTCATAAACTCGAGTGCCACCGATTTCTTTCAGTAAATCAAGACGCTCAGAGTCCTTCATCAACGTCAATGATGCTATCTATGAAGTATCACAAGAAACAAAACAGAAATTAAAAAACGAGCAAGAAAAGAATATACATAAATTTTAAGAAGATTGAGCCATAAGGAAAGGTTCAGAGTATCAAACCTTCCCTTGCTGCACTACATAATATGGATTAGAGCGAGAGAACCCAGCACTTTCCAGTAAATTCAAAACTTCAGTTTTCCTACAAATTATCAGACTTTCTATCATTGAGCTTACAGATACAAATCAAAAGGCAGTGAGATATAAAGTTCATAAAGAACATAGATTTCCTTTCTAAAAAGGACAGAGACTCACGTAATGTGCTTTCCATCCAAAAAATACTCATCCTTTTTCAAACTGATTGTTCTTCGGAGACGCACTTCCTCCTTATCAACCTGTTGATAGGTGAAAAGGCATGCTTATCATGTGAAAGGACAAGAAGAATAAGACAAATTAATGGACACCATATGTAACAATATCTCTTATGAGGTAAATGAAACATGGATCCAGGGGGGCATTGTGTAAAGCATTTTGCAGCCATATTGATATAATATAGCAAAAAAGAAGCGCCGACCAATTTTTTTTCTCCTCTTCCACAATTCTCTCATGAGGCACACATAACTACAACAACAAGTTAATCCACAAAAGTGTAGCAACCATTCTATTTTCTATAACAAAGATAGCCATGCCACTAGCTTGCCCTTTGAGGTGGCCATCAACAGTAACAGAGTTGGTTCCGGGTGGTTGATGAAGGGACCACATAGTTGAAATACAGACTTCCAATCGAAACACTCAGGAAGCCAGGAGTACAAGGACTTGGCATGATGGTAGTCATGTTTAGAGGTAGTAATTGAAGACAACCGCCTAATAAAATAATAACCAATCTGGGTTGATCTATATGAAAAAAGATTTCACAAAGAATGCAATGGAGATTGAGCACTTTCGAAGAAGAAAAGAATGATCAGGTTCTCTTCATCTTTTGAAGGTTAGGAGGGATGAAAAAAATGGAACAAAAAGAAAATTGCATGGCAGCATATATTGAGCACTTTCTCTGTTTTTTGTTTTTTTCCCTAGTTCTTCCGTAAAGCATTACAAGGTTGCCAATTTTATGCATGGCTGCAAGGATAGTGGCAGAAGCCTTGATTATTGTCCAAACTGATGGAAGCAAAATTTTGTCTTTATGAACTTCTCAAATAAAATTATGCCCTTATCAGAGAACAACTAATTCAAAAGAAGTTCTGGAGCACAGTGGGAAAAGTATATAATGATAAAGATAAAGAAGAAAAAGGTGAACATAAAAATGAGTATCTTTCCCCTTTTGTTAGAAGATCTGGACCATTACTTAGCCTCTATACCACAGTAAAGAAAACAGAGTAGCTTAAGAAGTATTACCGGGATGCGATTGTCAGAATTATCAAATACAATCTCCACGAAAGCTGATAAAACTTGATGTCCAGCACCTTCCTGTTCAATAACACAAATAAGAAAAATTCAAACTTAAAAGCGTGACAATGAAAAATACCTCTCATAGATTGGAATTGAGATAGTATGCGATAAAACATACATGGAGTAGTTGATGCCTGTCATCATTGCGCAGGTTTTGGAAGAGATCACTCAACAAAAAACGAATGGCTACAAAAGAAACATATTGTAAGCCCATAATAGAAGTTTGATATCAATGAACTTCAATAAAAGTTTGTCAAAAAAGACAAAAACAAATGAAAATCAAGGGCACGATCACTCACCGTGGAAAAAGTTTGTCTTCCCAGATCCATTAGCGCCAACTGCAGAAGACATATAGGACTTTGAGAAGAATTCACAGGACAGCGCATTTTAAATGGATCAAGCCAAAGTCAAATAAATTGACAGAAAAAAGAAAGCACAATAGAAAAATGAATTATTTAACCAAGAAATCACACATTAACCAAGATCCAATCAGTTTCTTAAAACAAGGAACTGCAACAAATATATGCATTTCTCATAACTGTCATGATCCTGGCTCCCCCACTTTTAAAACACCCTCAGGTGCTCTTTTCGACCTCCCAACCTCTCTGAGTACATAACTCTCCATGCCTTCACACTTACAGTTTTAAGATTTCCAGAATTTCATGATTTCAAAAGGATTCCACACACACATGTAAGATGGCAAAGTGATGATATGCTTATTAAATGGTGATGCTTCTAATAGATGGCAAAGTCATGGAACTACCATACTTTCTTGGCACGATTCTTGGTGCACTACATTACTAGATGAACAAATTCTGGTCTCTTTCTACAAGCTGTGGGAATTCTACATTTCATGACACTTTGTGGGAAGTAGTTTCTGATCATGTTACATTTCTCTGGTGCTTACGATGTACCTGTACAGACCCCCATAAAGACTTGGAAAACTATTATTAGGGACACTGCATAGAAATGCCCTAATCTAGGTAGGTTTCCATACAGAATTAACTGGAGTGGGAAAATTGAGGACAGTTGAGGGGACTTGAAAAACAGGTCCTAGGCTTGCATTTTTTTAGTTGGGTAGCAATACAAAAGGTAGATTTGACTAATCACAGCCATCAAACAAGGGATAATCCTTCGGTCCAGAAATTATTACTACTCATCACTCAATATATTATAACCCAAAAAACAAAAATAACAATAGTAATAATAATTAAAAAAAAAATCACAAGGGAAAAAAAAATTACCAACACAATTAACTTTCGAGCTGAAAGGCTCGGTAGCAATTTGTTCTCGATAGCTCTTAAAACCCTCGATTATCACCTATATCCAAACAAAATCAAATTCAGTTTTCTAATTTCTAAAAATAAAAATAAATTCACAAAAAAAAAAAAATTCTGCAAGGCATTACCTGCTTTATATGCATCCTGAAATTACAAAATTATCCAGCCTCTGTCAAAGATATCACAGAATAACACCATTAGTGGATTCAGTACTATTTTTCTTGCTGTTATTTCAAAGAAAGAATAAATAAATAAATTTAACTTTTCAAATACCAAACATGCCTATCTCTATCAAAATTGAGAATCTCTAAAACATTTTTAAGCAGGAATAAAATCTAGAAAAACAAATACAGCTTCCAAATTCAAAAACAAAAAAGTACTTCAAGAACTAAAACCTAACAACGGCTAGCTGATTCATTTCCATTGAAGCACAAAAAAAAACCACGAAAACTAGGGTTTCAACTTCCAAAAATTTACAGAAAGTACCAGAATCGAAGTCTCAAACCCTAGCCACTAAATAACATGTACATACACTAAAACCACAGCTTAGCGAAGCTAAATTAGCAAGAAAACTTACAAACTTGTTACTTCATGAGCTGAAGAGAGGGATTTGACTCGGCGAAGAAAAATGGAGGACTGAGTTTGAGCGAACAAGCGAGTTAATGGTTTAGGTGTTTGGTTCCGGTGCGCAGGTTAAGCCGTTGAGCAGAGTGCTCTAGCGGTGTATTTTAGCGCTAAGCTTGCGGGTTTGAGCGAGGGAATGAAAAAATTAAGGGCGGGCAATGCGTGTGCGAAATTTTAGAGAATGGAGTGGAAATGAGGGAGGGCCTCTGCTATTATGCGCTTGAAGCGTATTGTGCAAGACTGGGAATGGGAGAAACGATGTTTGCTGTGGCGGTTTGGGCTATCCAAACTGTGGATAAGGAAATCCTTGTCTTTCTTAGCGGACCTTAAAAAGTTTCCATATTTTTTCAATATACAACATTTTTGCAAATCTTTAACAAAAAAAAAAAAAATCAAAATTTTCAACCTAATTTTCCAACTAACTTATTGTTACACCATGAAATGTATACTGCTTTGTTCATTATATTACAAAAATAATAATATGTAATATATAGATTTTATAATTTAACGAATTATCTATTAATTGTAAATATCAATTATATTTTAATTCATATAATAATACCGACGTTATATATCTAACACATAAATCATATTATTGTAATAATATATATAGAATGAATTGATATATGAATTTATTGTAAATTTAATATTGAATTTTTGAATCAAAAGTATATGATGAAAAAAAAAACTTTTTTTGGTCAGCCAATAAGTAATTCCCCCAACGGGCCAACCCCACCTAATTCAGACTAGAAGTATTGGGCCTGCAATCTGGTATGCTTGGGCTCTTTAACCAAATGCGTGCTCATAAATAAGGCTTGTTTGTTCGTTTGGGCTCTTCAAGGGCATACTTATCTCCTATCTATTATTTAACTCTCAATTCAGTCCCCATTTGAATAACTTTTCAATTGGGTACCCATATCTATGATTATTACCCAATTAACCCTAGCTTAAGAAATGTTTCCTTTTAAAAGATATAAGAGGGAACCCATTTTGTCTTAAATAAAGCCATTTTTTTCCATAAATTTCAATAACAGAGATTAATTACGTATTTCCTAATAGATCATGAGGATCACATTAGAAATTGTTTTTGTTTGGGTACCTACTCGAGAATCAAGTGACAAATATATCCCGAAAAAAAAAAAAAAAAAAAGACTTCCCTGTTTCAATTTCTAGGGCGGACAGGAATCAAACCGACCTTGCAGTCCTAATTCTTTCAGGAAAAGAATCGCTGCCTACAAAAGCAGCCCACCTGCAGCACTTCCTCTTCATTGATTTTAATTTACAGTACACGAAAAATAATTTCTTGCTCTTCAAGTTTCTCTCTGTTTCGTATCTGTTAATTTCTTCAACAACAATGGAGTTCCACAAAGGAGAGAAAGTAGAAGTATGCAGCAAACACGAAGGCTTCCTGGGGTCATATTATACAGCGACTGTGGTCAAGAAACTTGACACCAACTCTTATGCAGTGCAGTACGAGAACTTAGTGGAAGAGGAAGATATCTCTAAGTTGCTGATAGAGACTGCGTCTGGTGACGAGGTGAGACCAGTGCCACCGAGGATCAAATTCGGAATTGGGTTTTCTATGTTTGATAAGGTTGATGTTTTTGACAATGATGGGTGGTGGGTTGGCAAGGTTACTGGACGGAGAGGGTCTCTGTATTTTGTGTACTTTGAGACTACAAGGGAGGAGATTGCCTACCATGTTTCAAAGTTGAGGATTCACCTGGATTGGGTTAATGACAAGTGGGTTTCTTCAAAGAGAATGGTTTCTTGATTATCTACTGGGTTTCTTTCTCGACAAGGATACATTAATGTTTTGCAAGATTGGGATTTGTTTTGTAGATGAAGTAGTTGAATTGCTCTGTTCATTGTGCTCATTAGGAAAACATTGTTGAGATTATTGGTTATTCTTTGTAACTCTTTGATCAATACATGTTTAATTGTTTCAAATCATCTTCTCCTCGTATCTTGCGGTTTCCAAAATTATAAGATTATGATACATTTAATACAAAAAAATGTATTGGTTAGAATTGGCTAAAACGTTGTTGCTTGCCTTTACAATCATCAGCATCATCCTCTGCCTCAAGTGAGAACAGAGAAGACTGAGGCAGTGACCACGGAAGTTTGCTATTGGAGAGAGATCACCGAACCCAAATATAAATTGTTGGAAGTTAAAAGGAGGTCACAGAGCCTAATGATGTAAAGGGTGTGGAAATTTATCAGGAAGGGTAGCAATTTCTTCAATTATAACCTAAAACAATGATTTTCTGATAAATAAAAATAAAATTAAAAACCACGGTTTTACTTATGCCTGCTTCGTGTACATGGCGAAGCTACCAAATTATCCAGTCTCTGTCAAAGAAATAGAAGAATCACAACAATGCAACTTTTTAAATCAAAAAGTCCCCAAAATAGTAACCAAACAAAACCCTAAAAAGAGAATTTATTTTAGCAGGAAGAACTAACAACTGAAGAACAAAATGGTAAGAGTTTTGGAAGCAGTTTTTGAAAAATAGAAAATGAAAAAAAATATATTTCATCAGATTTATTTCCTCTAAAACCACCAATAAAACGTAAACAAAATCAAATCCTGACTATGTAGTGAGAGAGCTTACAAAATTGATGGAGTAAAAAGAAAAATGCAGATCACCGAAAGTTGTAGATGGAGTGATAAGAAGAGTATTTCTAACTTACGAGATTAGAGTTTCGATTTTCATTTTTGAAAAGTTCATCCCTCTCCCTTGCATGCATGTATTGCTGGTGGACTCAAAAAATTCGGCTTTCAAAATCGATTAAAGGTTAAATATGATTAATGCTGCGAAAGCCAAAAAGAGAGAAATGGAGGACTGAGGTGATCAGAGTAAAAGACTTTATTTGCTAGGGAAAGCTAAAATTATTGGCGGGCAAAAGAGAGGAGAAAGGAACTGTATTTTTTCCTCTTACTGCAATAGACCTCAAACTATAAATCCTATGTCAATTGTGCCCTTATTATTTGCAATTATTCGCTTATTTCTAAAGTTGGTAAAAATTTTCAATGAAAAATGTCTAAATTATTTCAAAATCCGGTCGTCTTTTTAGTGGAAAATAAACAAATTTGATAAATCTAGATAGAAGGAGGTATATCATTAAGAATAGTGGATACTTTTGGGGTCTAATTGAAATACTTTTTCCAAAGAATAAAATCTTTTAAAAAAAAACACCTGTTTTCAAACCGACCTTCCTATTAATCCTACTTCCCTTAGGATAAAGAATCACCTATATAAACATGAAAGACCTACCTGCAAACCCACAATTTCGTTTCTTGCTTTTCAAGTTTCTCTCTGTTTCCTTGGATTATCTATTTCTTGATAACACATTGATTCTCTGTTAAGGTCATTAACAACAATGGAGTTTCACAAAGGAGAGAAAGTAGAAGTATGCAGCAAACAACAAGGCTTTCTCGGGTCATATTATGCGGCGACTGTGGTCAAGAAACTTGACACCGATTCTTATGCAGTGCAGTACGAGAACTTAGTGGAAGAGGAAGATATGTCTAAGTTGCTGATAGAGAGAGTGTCTGCTGATGAGGTGAGGCCAGTGCCACCGAGGATCAAATTTGGAAGTGGGTTTTCTATGTTTGATAAGGTTGATGTTTTTGACAATGATGGGTGGTGGGTTGGCAAGGTTACTGGACGGAGAGGGTCTCTGTATTTTGTGTACTTTGATACTACAGGGGAGGAGATTGCCTACCATGTTTCAAAGTTGAGGATTCACCTGGATTGGGTTAATGACAGTTGGGTTTCTTCAAAGAGGATGGTTTCTTGATTATCTGCTGGCCTGGTTTCTTTCTCGACAAGGGAATATTAATGTTTTGCAACACTAGGGTTCGTTTTGTAAATCAAGTAGTTGAATTGCTCTGTTCATTAGGAAACATTGTTGAGATTATTGGTTCTTTGTTATAATTATTTGATCAGTACTTGTTTAACTGTTTCAAATCATGTTTTGCGCGTATCATGTGGTTTCAAATATTATAAGATCATAATTCTGGTTTAGCAAGTCAGGTTTTTGTTTTCAAGGTTCTGTATTCTAAGCAACACTTTTTACCTATGCCAATGTCTTGCCTGTTTCTTATTGCGAAATTGAAAGGAGTAATTAATGGTTCAGGCTCATTCATAGCAAGCAGAGCACACTCCTAATAACCTAAAGGGGCTACCTCCTCTGTTTTGGTATTTGTCTTAGTAGTGTATTAAGGCACTAATTCTATCGTTAGCACACTAATCCATCACTATATATATTCACCTTAGGTTTCTCTTTCGTAAGATCTGGCAGTACAAGATGATTTATTATTAATCAAGTAGATGCAACCCACAAGGGTGAGGGGTGGGATAAGAACTTGTATGGCCATGGTTCAAGCCCTCCCTTCCTCCATAGATGCAAGGTCCTGGAGGTGAAGGCCTCTAGCTCATACAATGTTTGATTATGGGCACAAAGAGAAGACCATTCAAAAAGAAAGAACTAAGCTTTGCCATTTAAGGCATCTTTTACAACTACACTTCAAGCAACCTCATAGCTCATCTCAGTCATTGATTGAGGTCTAAGGGCTTGAAATATTTGCCATCTATGAGATAAGTGCCAATAGCAAGACGAACTGCCCACACATCCTTCGGCTTTCTTGACACAATTCTGCACATAATACATATCGAATCATACATACTTTAATAACCAGGCAATTAAAATCAGCCACACACAAACAACTTCAAGAGAGAAAGAGAGGGGTTAACAAATCGCATGGATATAGTCTTCATTTTCTCGTAAATTCTATTGTGCTTACTTATAGATAGACCTCAACTCTGTAATCTTGCCAGTCGGTAACTTTCTTATCAAATTAATCTAATCTCAGTTTTCATCCAAAAATGAAAAAGAAAACGAGGGGCTCACCTTCCAACATCGCCAGGCTTAACCAAGCCAGTATTGACCCGGAGGCAGGGCATTGCTGTTGCTGTCTTGATCATTTGGGGAGCCTCAATAACAACTACAGGAGACCCTATCCCAAGTTTTGTAGTATTTTTTGCGGGCAAACTTGTCTCTGATGATGATTCGTTAGATTCACATTTAGTAACCACATTGAATCTTAGGTTTCGAACATCATTTATGCTGCTATGATTAGATTGCAAGGTCGGGGTTGTGCATGGGATTCTGGAGGTAGCTGAGAAAGATAGTGCCATGAGAAATTTAGCCAAGGCAAGCAGAATTCTATGCTATCGGGATAATATTTGTGTGGTTCTAACAGGGTGGTGTCTCTTTCGATGGACTGCTAGCTCTTGGTTTTATTTCAACATTTGCCTCTCTGTTTATATGGCAGGCTCAAACACAACTTGATCACTAGAAAACATAAGAGATGGACGTTAGTTTTTTTGATATGTACATTAGAGTTTTTTGCAGGTTTTTTTATTTTAACAAACAGAGAAAGAGAAAATAAATTAAAAAATATATGAAAAATTAATGAGAAAAGACTTCATTGTTTTGAAACAAAATAATATTAAATTAGCTATGGCCAAAACTAGTCAAATGACTAATTAATTAATTTTTGAAACAAGATGAACTATATAATTCATTTTGTAAAACTAAAAGGACTAATTTATAATTTACTCCTGATTGCTCAGTTGCCTTCTTTGATGCAAAGACTGGTATCATTTGAAGCTGTTGGTGAAATATAATTCTCTAGCAAGGAAACTCACTTCTTAACAGAAAGCAAAGCAAAGGTTTTGGCAGAAAACCAAGCTTGCCTACTGACCAGTTCGTCGAGTTAAATCGAGTTACTATATATTTCATTTTCTTTTCTTGAGGTGGAAACGATATAGGCACCAATTACAACAAACAAAACAAAAATGAACTCGGAAAAAAAGGAGGGGCCGGGGGATGCAGGTGCCTATACTGTTACCTAGAAATAGCACGGGAAAAAGTTTGAAATCTTTACAACCTATACAAAATTCCAAGCTGGGACTGCAATAACTTTCTTTCCAGCTTGGCCAAAGGAAACTCTCCAACTCCCCGCCCTCTCCAAATCTTTAATCTGTGACTTTGTACACTCTTACTTCTTTACGTATGTAAGATATGGATCTTGTGCAGTGGTCAGAACATCTGGTCTATCTGCTTGGTTATAGGTTAGACATCGACGGATCAAATCCTGCAATCCATCAGAGAAGCATACGAAAATCATCATCCAGTCAGTGCACTGTAGAATAAGAAGACCTAAGCAAACAAGCAGTGAGAACTGCCGAATTACAAAATCACACTCATACTCACCTTCGCCTCATTTGAGATAGTAGGCTTGGAAGGGAATTCAACCCTGCGAGCTTTGATAATTGTATCTTCGCGTAGTATCCGTTCTTGAGTTTGGTCATGCCCGAAAGGGCGTCTGCCAAAGAGCATTTGGTAAAATAGAACTCCAGCTGACCAGACATCAACCTGTATCCCAAGAGCATTTCAAAGAAGGTTAACTACGTGAAGCTTAAGCAGTTAATTGTCTTTGGTGATGACCAACTCTTCAGAAATCCTTGTAAAGGACTAAACAGACTCCATCATTTGACAGATGAACACAATTCGGAGGAGCATGAGGCAAAAAAAATATGAGAATCCCTCATTTCAGTAAAATGAAATTATCCTATTGGCTCTGGCTGTAACTAAATGTCCTCAATGGGGAGAAAATAGAGTTCACTTGCCTTTGATGATATTAAAGGGGTCTTGCTGAGCTCAAAGCATTCTGGTGGTAAATACCTAAAATTACAAAAGAGGAAAGCAGAATCAAAATGCTGCCCAAGTAAGCCAAGCTGGAGAAGATTATTTATCACAATTACAAGTGAATGAAATAACTGTCTAGTAAATTAGTGGAAGTACATTCATGCCATGGCAAAAAACGAAAAAGAAAAAAGAATAGAACATTTACAACATCCAGGATAAATCATAAATGATAAACTGCAGCGCTACTCACCAATATGTTCCAGCTCCCTGAGATGTAAGTTCCATTCCCTGGGATCCAACATCTTCCTCCACTATCTTGCTAAGACCAAAATCAGTAACTTTTGCAATACCAAATTCATCAAAAAGAACATTCCCAGGCTTCAAATCATAATGGATAATCTTCTGTGCTCTCTTATTCAAGTATACAAGGCCTTGAAATATCTGGACAATAATAATCCTAGCTTCTCTCTCGGGTAATACAGGTGTAGCTTTAAGAACAGCATCAAGATCTTTACCTGAGAAAAGAAAATGGGTAGACGAAAAAGAAAAAAAACCTGATTAGAGGCAAAACTATAAATTCAAATGTTTGGGTACTGAAACAGATTTGAGAGTTTTTAGTCTACTGTACATAAAACTATAAAAATACCGAAAGTTGTCAAGAAATTGAATGTCATACCACTACAGTACTCTAAGACAGTGCAGAACGTATTCTGGTCAATTTCAAAAATGTCCCATAGTCGAACAATGTGATTATGCACCAAGGTCTTGTGAATATTGTACTCCCGCAATGCGTGCCGTATGTAGCTTTGCTTCTTATCCTCACTCCACTGAGCATTCAGACCATGAAGCTTACATGCAACATATCTATGGTCCACCAAATCATAAGCCTGCTGGAAATTTCTCACTTCAAATCACTGCAAAAAGATATGCTTTTACAATTGCCAATAATGGCAACAGAAAGATCTAGACTTTTGTCATGGTAAGTAGGAACCTTGATCAAACAAATATTAGTTAATATTTCTATCATCAAATGAAATGACCTGCTGAAGTTCTGACCTTGTAAACCTCACTAAATCCTCCTTTACCAAGAAGATTTAGAAGGGCATATCGGTGATTTAAAATCTGAAAATTATTAAAACGGGAACCATCCTCATCTCGTATCCGTTTCATTTCACGTATAAGCCGTCCCTTTTCCAGTTCATAGCGATCTCTCTCACGCAAAACAGTCTCTTCCTCCTGTAGCAAACCAACAACTCAATTATAAGGGATGCATGTATAAATGAACACATAATGAGAAAATCTCATCCTGTATGATAAAATCTTAATCCTTACTAACTGCAGCATGGAGATGACAGAATGACTTACCCGCTTAATGCTCACTAGACGAGATTTAAAAATCTCGTCCTGGATGAGAAAATCTTCTTCTTGTACTCCCGATTCTGCATCTGTACCATCACCCTTGTCTTCATAGCAACAGCAACTACTGTTAATACTCAGAAGGTGGCTCCATAAACTAAAAGTAACAGATAGACATAGTAAAAAGTGGGGAAAATACTACTAAGCGTGCATTTCTTTTCATTTACTCATTCTTGAGGGATAGGTTACATTATTTGCTGGTGTTTTGAGGCCATGGCACCTCAGTGCAACATCAGTCTGTCACCCTATAGTGCAGTGTGTGGCAATAACAACCATTTAGCACCAATAAGTCAAACAAACATCCACCTGAGTTAGTAAAGCATATACACAGGAAAACATTTGGCCAATATATTATCATACAGATAATGGCATATAGGCATGCATGACAGCAAGCAAGAGCCCTATCAGGAAGTAGATCATAAATATGGGGGTAACTTGGAAAGCCACAAAAGTTTGTGATAGTTTCTCATGGCAAGAGGCGCATGCCAACAGCTGTCAGCCTGTCATGCCCTTGTGACTGAAGATCACATAAGATACTTTGTAGGTTTGTATACGCCTTAATCATAGTCTGAAAGTGCCAAAAGTATGCCAATATTACAAGAAATATGTTTTACCAGATTGTCGTTTCTTCAATGATTTCCGCTGCCTCTCAATAGCCTCCTTAGTTTCTAATAACTGTCTCTGAAAATTAAATCATGAAAAAAAAAATTACAACCACAAATATAGAGCTCGTTAAGAAATTCATTAAAACTGGATTTATTGCCTAATCAAACTAAAGACTGAAAAGAACGCAATAGAAAATGATTTCAATAAAACATGAAAAGCTGCAGTATAAAAGATGAAAAACCCTATAATGTGTTTAGTGGAATCGTGGCCAATCAACTAAGTGAAAATAGAAAGCAGCAAGTTATTAGTAGACAACATTTAAAACAATGTATTTCCAGACCTGTCAAAGCATAAGATGGGCACTTAACATTTGATATGAAAAAAGGAACATCTGTAATTAAAAATAGCAGAATAGCAAAAAACGTTCAGAAGGATGATTGTTGTATGAACTGAAAAGAAAATTACCAAAACAAGAACATTAAAGATACGTGTATACATAAACACATACATACATGTGTCTGTGCATGTGTGTGTGGCATTTAACCAAAAACAACATCTAGTAGTTTTTATTTAAAATTCAAGATATGCCTCAATCCTTTTCTTCTATGTCCAGCTCTGCTTCATGTGTTCTAAAATGCAATGTGATTTAAAATATTAGGGGAAAAAATTTAGTTCATAAGGACACAAAATTGAAAATACATAAAAAAAAAAAAAAAAAAAAGAAGCTCATTGTGAAGAAAAATTGAGCTACATGAAAGCAAATGAAATAGGGAGGGGGAGGGGAGAGAGAGAGAGAGAGAGAGATCCGACTACAACATACAAGATGAATATTCAGGTCTTTCAGCATTTGCCCATCCTCCCATGTCTCAGATATGATAGTTCCAGCTCTGAAAAGGACAAAAGAAAATAAGCACTCCCACGTGAACAAGACAAAACAAGGAAAAGGGTTTTTTCTCTTAAAAGAAAAACCAACAAATTAAGTGAAGGATATAAGGAGCTCGCAAATGTTATAGATCCAAAACTTGGTGGTATTATAGATTTTACTTAGAAGTAACTTATCACCTTGGAGGTATTATAGATTTTGTTTTTCCAAGTAGATTGTATTGACCTTGTGTCAAACAAATATAATCATTCTGGAGCCTATGAAAATGTTGTAGAATCCAAAACTTCACCTAGGGGTAATACACAGTTCAAGAGACCATGGTTCCAGTTTGTCTGAGCTCTCTGCCATCCCGATTGCTGTTTACATTTGGTGGTCTTTTTCATTATTTTTTTCTTCTTCTTTTAAATCACTCAGACAGGGCACCAAGAGAGAGAGAAGATTCATTCAAGCACATTTGGTAGAAGCTTAAAAGATGTAGATATACCTGATAACACCCACACTGCCAAGTCTTAAAGAATCCTGGCGAACTTTCATTCTAGCTTCTTGTCTCTCTGCTTTTGAAACAGATATCAGCAGATCCGATATAATTTTGGTCCTCTGCATCGAGAAGGAAATGGACGTTAGAAAATGGTTAGAACTAATCATAAACTTACTAAAACATTCCATCAGTGGATATCTTGCCTGTAGTCAGTTACACAACAAAGAGAGAATTAAGCAAGCAGGTTAATTGCCCAGTGAAAAATGAAAATATCAGTATCAGGATTTCAAAATGAGCCATGTGCAAATGGTATTAACAGACTATTTCAAATCAGGCCAGTCAACAAGCATAGAAGTCTTCACCAATGAATTGCAAGAGTGCATGCCTTAAACTGCAGAGTTGATAAGAACTGCAAAGATTGGTTGAATTCTTCAACAATTTACCAGAAAACAACTTCAATCACAAAGCATAAGTACACTATGCCACTACGAAACTGCCATACAAATGCATCTCATAAATCTATGGCAGCCTCCATAACAGTTAGTGTATTACCATAGAGCAAAGGAAAACCCACCCACTACCAAGTCTACCATAACATAGCATACCTGCCTCATTATTGTTATATTTGGCTCACAAATTCTATTTTGCAGGGGATGACATAAGATGATTGAAATTGGAAAATGTAAAATGTAAAATCTAAGAAGAAAATTTTCAGTGCTTTTCTGCTGAAAAAACGTTAAAAGTCTAGTTCTTTCCAAGCTCCATTGTCTCCAGAACTTTCCTGAACCATTTAAATATTCCTTATTAAGCAAAAATATTTAATCTCTTTGTCACCTTTAATCTGTTCCCAATTTAAAAGAAGCGAGTCTTTAGTAAATTTCACAAAATATGAGACACAAACAGATTAACCAATTTGTTAAGAATCATACGGTGTCATAGCATGCAAAGAAACTTATAACATTGGGTAATTTCATTACTATAGACTAATTAATCTTCATGAGAGAAAAAAATAGATAAAGACCAAACTCCCAAAAGCATACCTTTGGCTTCATTTGTTGTTCATAATCTTTGAGTTCCTTCAATTCCTGTGCAGACAAAATAAAAGAGTATTAGTCATAGTGAATAACCAAAATCCACAAAGTAATGGCAAAAATATACCTTTTCTAACTGGTGACAGAGATCATGATTAGTAGAGGCCTCTTGACGAGATTTACGAAGATCTTCCTCTAGCGTGGCAACTTTTGCACGTAGAGATGAAAGCTCCTCCTAAATTAAGTTGAAAAAAAAGGGATCAGAACTGCAGTATTGAAGCATGCTGAACCTCAGGGAAAGCATCTGAAAATTGCAAAGGCTACAACAACAAAAACAATAATAAAATCTGAAAAAATGCAGGAATTATATGAATAGAAACAATTCAATACCAAATCACCTAACTGATACCTCTAAGGATGTGCAATCATCATTTCTGAAGTGCTCTTTGGGCCTGCTATCCTGCATAGTGAATACATACCTGTCATTCTCAATAAATTTCTATAGACTGCATCCTACATTTCTCACCATTAAGCTTCAGAGTAGGAGGTCAGTATGTTTGACAAAATGTTTCTGGCTGTGACCTTTTAGTGGCCTTTGCACTCAAAAGTATAATGGGTCTGCCGATAATTTTAGTTCCTTACAGTCAATTACCAAAAAAAAAAATCAATGCAAGAAACAACTCAAATGGATTCACCACCTAGAGCTTAACCAGAGGAACAGTGAGAAGCATTAAATGCAAACATTAAAAATTTCTTCCTTAAATACTTCTCAGACACCAATCAATGGATCTAAAAGATTAAATGCACACATAACGACATACAATTTAAGTAGCATTAGCACAATCATACAAGCAATTCATTAAATGGCACGATCAGAAAATTGACTCATAGGGTCATCTGCATCTCAACCACTGCAATCACATTTTTGCAGTTTCCAACACCCCATGGGCGTGGAAACTCACTCTCACACATTGGGAAGGTACTACTGTCGAGGCATATATACATATTTTTTTGTCCTACACCAAATTAAGAGTAGGTGAACTGAGCTCCTAAAATGAGTAACCCATATCTTTGCTACAATGAAATTAAATCTACAATAAAATTCAATTTTGTTAAATAGAACCAGGATTTGGTGGAATTGGTCAAGAAAGAGCATATACCTTGGGATACGAGTTCTCAAGCTGACCATTTGAAGGTGAGGCTGATGAAACACAAATTTGTGATCTCATCTGATCATTAGCTCTGGAACCACGACCTCTACCAGAATTAGACTGACCCCTGCCACGACCTTGTTTTCTTCTATTTGCATCAGAACTGCCCTTGGTCTCTACGGTTTCCCCCGTCTTTTCCCTTCCATCATTCACTGCCTGTGTCTTTTTTATTGTTTTAAACAGATATTAGTATGCAAATATTTTGCCTAAAATTAAAAGTCAAAAGAAGAATTTATGGTAAAGAAACAGCAATTAGCAACATCTAAACTATGCCTTGAAAAATATATAAGGACATCGTCTTTTAGTTTACCAGCAATCATTACTATTACCTCAAAGTGGTCAAAAAACAAATGGAAAATTAAATTACTAAGAAGAAAAACTACAAAACATAGGCTACAGCACTTCATGGAATCAATTTTACATTTCCGGCCAAAGTAGACTCTCTAACATCAACCTACCTCAAGATGTTCAAAGACGGCTGAATTATCATTTTCTTGTAATCTCTGGCGCTTCTGAGTGTTTGCTTGTATAAGAAATTCCCCTCCGCTCTGCATAAAAGAACAAAAAGATCTCATGGGTCAGAAAAAATGAATAACTGATGAGAGTTACTTTAACAGGACAATTTATGCAAACGAGATGGCCTCGAAGAGAGAACACACAAACACTTTACCAATTGCCAATCCAAAAGAAATTGCAAGTATTTATTTCACAAAAAGGTTTGATCACTTTCTTTAATCGACAAGGTAAGCTTTTCAGCAAATGAATGCATGTGTGGCATTTCTACCCAAGTACAGAGCACAGACTAAAAAATTGCATGTGCGTCATCCCAATCTAACTGCAACAGATCAACAAAGTTTTCATGTGTATAAAGAGAAAAAGAAGTTGCAATCACACTGCCATATCTGATCTATCTATGCTACAATTCATCAATTTCAACATTCTCTCTAAGTTCACCATCGAGAGACAACTTGATTCATCCAGCATTATTTCATAACCTCCTAATATCAATTACACTAGAGTAAAATCCTATAAATGCATAATTCAGCAATGCCAGAAAGCAACATGAATCTTTTAGTAACCACTTGTTTACCTTGCTAAAATGTTGTTTACAGAAGAAACATTCCAACTTGAATATCCATCCATTGCGAATTTTATATAATGCATCAAACAGCAGAATGCTTACACATGCCATCCTCCTAAACTCCCACGCATAGAAACCACAAATACCAAAACATAATAAACCATGTTCCGGAAATAAAGAAAACCACATTTCAAGTCAAATCATCACCCACTTCATCCCTTTAAGAACACATATTATCAATGCATAAAAATTCCACTTACATCTAGAGGCTCCTTACAATGTCCGAACGAAAGAAGACCAAGTAATCAATTCAACTTTCAACCAAAGTTTGGCGAAGTACAAGCACACGTGGAATGAATATAAAAAAAACTAAACCCTATGAAGTATCACCAAACAAGATATATAATGATTCATAACTCAATCAAAAATATCAAACAAGAGATATAATGATTCATAACTCGATCAAAAAAATCTATCAACAAAAACGTAAATAAAAACAATGACACTAAAAAAGCTTACATCGTCATCAGAATCACTAGACTCTGCCAATTCCTCAGGAGGCCCAAATTTCGGACCCGGAGAAACAGAAGACCAAATGGGTTGTTGTTGTTGTTGTTGCTGTTGGAGCTGCGGCTGCTGTTGTTGCTGTAGCTGAACGGTGGGGGCAGAAGAGACAGAAGATACCTTGCCAGCCATACGTGCTTCGAGTTTAGCAATTTTAGTAGGCAAAGACTGGTCTGATTGGTTTGAAGAGTTTGAAGAGAAATGCATTAACATATCATCAGACATTGTGTGTAGAAAAATGGGCTAGGTTTGGAATTCCAAAATAAACCCTAAAATGCTAGCTTTTTCTGAAGAGAAGAATCAAGGGTTTTGAAAAAGGTCTGGTTTTTATAACAAAACAACAAAGACATGATCAAAGAAGAGACTAAAGCAGGTTCTTTTAAACTTTTCTTTTTAGGGTTTTGAAGATTAGTAAAGAAAAGAGGAATCAAAGAGGGAGTGAGGGAATTGGTCAGGACAGGAATAACCTGAGAAGGACAGGAATGAATGATGAGGTTCTGGTTTGGTTTGTTTTTCTCTTTTTTTTTTTGGAAAAGTTTCCTTTTGTGTATTTTTGGGCAAAGGAAGGGAAAGGAGAAAAATGAGTGTCAATGGGGTATGTGGGTGTGTGCTGGGTTTGATTTGGTCATGGGATATGGTGTGTAGATGGGTTTTGTTCAATGGTTTTGGATTGGAAAATAACGAGAGAGGCTGACTCTTGCCTCTTGGAGATTTTTGTTTTGTTCTATAGACTTAGAGACAGATGTGGGGGCTAAAGAATTTGAACAAGCTAGGAAGAAAAAGGGTTAATGAGATCTGTCCAATGTCTTTGATAACAAGGCATGTCATTGATGAGAGCAAAACCCACTAGTTTTAACTCTATTCTTTTAAGAAAAGAGAAGGTGACACAAACAATCTTCTTTGTTTTTTTTTTTTTTTTTTTGATAATACAGGTGTCGGGCCAAGCTTATACGCACCTCGATTAATCCAACGGACTCGAAGTCAACCACCATGTAAGCTTCCAGGTGGCCACCAAGAGGAGCAATCGGGACTCAAACCCGAGACCACGGGAAAAGCAAACCCTTTGGTATCAAGTTTTTTACCGCTGCACCACCCCCTAATAGTTAATTTTCTTTTTTTTTGTTTTATTGATTGTGCATTCGATAATTTTTTTGTTATGAAAAAAAATTTGAATTTTAATAACTCTAATTTGATTTAGTGTATAGTTTAGGATTCAACGAACCTTTACATGAATTAAAAAATAGAAAAGGAGAAGAGAGAATAAATAGGTTAATCAAAGAAATAAGTCAAAGAAAACCTTCAAAATTCTATTGATTTCAGTCCATTTGTTGTATAATTATTGTGATATTGTTGGTGGGGACAACTTGAATACATTGTAATTTTATAAGCTTGATTAGTAAAGGGGTCAGAAATTTGAATTCATGGGACGGGAAATAGACGGCCAGTTCATAGGAAACAAAGGCCTCGTAAAGTGAGAGCTATGCTTGGGACACCATGTAAAAGAATTGGTGCATTGGGTTGGACTAAGGCTTCATGGCATCTGGGCTGGTAGTAAATCTGTGATAGGACTTGTCATTTGTGCCTAATTTTGACCATGGCTAGTTGCATTGATTAAAATATTAAATTCATTTAAATTTGAATGAATCGTATCGATATAAAAGTATATTGTTAAAGTCATTCAAAATATATATATATATATATATATATATATATATATATATATATATATATATATATATATGTTTTATTGACGTGTAAATTGGAACAAAAATGCTATATATCTATAGAGTTTCAATCTATGCATGCTCTTGGAGTTGAAAAAGCAGACAAAAACGTTGTGATGGCTATAAATAGCGTGGGAAATAGGATTTGAACTTTAAACTTCATGTTGAAAGTCCAAAACTTCTACTGCTGAGTTATTTTTTGCCGTTGTTTTGATAGGCATTAAGGCTATAGTCTATAACCCTAGCAGAGTTCAATTCTTTAATACAAAATTTAGAAAGTGATATACTTAAAAATATACATAAATCTCCAACATAAATAAATTTGTGTTTGTTTATAAAGAAAAAATATAAATTTAGAATTAGAATATGTAAACACTCACATCATGATTGATGGCTCAAATTTAGAATTGAATTACGTAAACACGGTAAATTACGACTAATGGCTTCTAACTTGTTTACACTCCCCATTAAAATAGATTATAAGTTAGTTCTTATTCTTAATGTGATAATTAGATTAATTTTTTATCCCTTGATATTAAATTTGGTTTCTCCTTTTTTTTTTTCTAGGTATTTCTATCATATATTGGAGATATAACTAATTATATTTGAACGAAACTATAAGATTTAATTTATTTCAATAAATGTGATTTTAAAATTCAAACTCGCACATTAATAAGTAATTTTTATTTTATATTGAAGATAAGATTAATCATGTTTGAAGTCGGAATGACAAGATTTAATTTTTTACAAGAAGTGCGATTTTAGAATTCAAACTTGCACATTAACAAGAAATTCTCATCTTATATTAAAGATAAAACTAATTAAGTTTGGAGTGAGAGCGATAAAATTTTACTCATTTCGATAAGTGTCATCTCAAGATTTGAACTTGCACATTAACGGAAAATCTACCTCGAGATTAGCTCGTTTACTATTGGATCAATAACTTATTGGATCAGTTGATTTCACTTTTTTTTTTTTAATACCATCAACTAAGCATCACCTTTTAAGCAAATGATTGGCAAATTATAAAATAATATTTGATGAACAAATAATTTGGAACTCTAAGGCATGCTCCATGCCTAGTGTGAACATAAATCATCTCTAGGATCTGCTCAAAGCTTACAAGTTCATATTTTATTCACCTAGAAAACGCAAAATCACACACAGTGTGAAAGGCATCGAAGCTCAAATGTTCAAAGAGGGAAACCCCCAGTTGGGACCTATAGGTTGTATCTTATGGTCTCCACGGACTGTTAATTGTTTTATATTTGACAAAATAGGAAAAGAGAACTTCAAATAGGATCTTGTTTTTTGTTTCATCATACGGCATGGAGCAGCACGGTTCTTCTTGACCATGTAAGATTTTCTGCATATTAACATCATTTTCATGTACTAATTTATCACCATTCATGATTCTAAATTGAATTATTGTCCAAAACCTCCTAAATAAATAACAAATATAGGCGATATAGGCAATGTTCAGCCTCTCCTATAAATACTTGGAATGTAAGGCCTTTCCATACGACCAACACACTCTAACCTATCGACTTAGTTTGTACAATAGCATCAGATATTTCAAAGTAATCATCAACAATGGCTGCCCTCCAAATCTCCAACCCTGAAAGCCAAATCTCTTCTGAGCTCCTCGTATCTCGGATAATGCAAATCCATGCTAGCATATCCAAGCTTGGCTCCTTAAGGCCTTCTAAGCAAGTCAATGGCCTCTTCTCTAACCTCGTGAAGCTATGCATCCCCCCATCATCCATAGACATTACTGCCTTGCCTGAAGAAGTGCAAGCAATGCGAGAAAGCCTCATCAATCTAAGTGGCCATGCCGAAGGCCTATTGGAGCTTGAATTCGCAACGTTCTTGATCAAAACGACTCGACCTATGGACAACCTTAATCTCTACCCTTACTATGGAAACTATGTCAAGCTAGCCAACATTGAAAATAGGATCCTAAATGAAAGTATGGTGGTGCAACCAAAGAAGGTGGCTTTTGTGGGTTCAGGTCCAATGCCTCTCACTTCTTTTATAATGGCTAAACATCATATGAAATCCACTCACTTTGATAACTTTGACATCAACAAAGCTGCCAATGATGTCGCTCGTCAAATCGTTGCTTCTGATGCTGAACTCGAGAAGAGAATGAAATTTGAAACATGTGACATAATGGAAGTTAAAGAGGCGCTGCGGGAATATGATTGCATCTTCTTGGCTGCTTTGGTTGGCATGAGCAAAGTACACAAAGTGAAGGTTCTAGGCCATATAAGGAAGTACATGAAGGAGGGCGGGGTTCTGCTGGTGAGGAGTGCAAAAGGGGCTAGAGCCTTTCTTTACCCTGTTGTTGAAGAGCAGGATTTTCTTGGCTTTGAGCTTCTCTCCATCTTCCACCCTACTGATGAAGTGATCAATTCTGTTGTTCTCCTCCGCAAGCCTGTCTTTTAAAGTATAAAAGGTTCCTTCTGCTTTGCATGGCTGGTCCTGGAGGCAGTTTTCTCATTTCTTGCTGCTAAAATAGCTTCTCTTGGCCGTTGTCTGTGTTTGGTTTTTCAGTTTCTCAGCAAAGATTTTCCGTTCTGCTATGTTTTTCTTTTATATGCAATCTTAGCCTTATCTGCCACCACCAATTTTAATAAGCTGAAGCGAAGTGGTGTTCCTGATGAGGAAAAAGAGGGGGTGATTATTATTTTTTTTTTTTCAGTACTTTTAAATGAATGCAATGCATTTTAGTAGCATTAGAGTATCTTGTGAGAACACAAAGCATTTTACTGAGTACTGATCTATATATTCTACTAAAGTTAAGAACATTGTTTCAGTAAATATTGATCCAGTGGTAAAAAAATTGAAAGCTCATATTTTTGAATGTTGGATGCACAAATTCATATACTCTCCACTTTAAAATATCACAAAAAAAAAAATACATTAATTATTAACTTGGACACAACTATAGTTTTAAATAATGATTGTTATCGTTTTTCATTGTTATATTTGGCATTTCTTTAATTCACACAAATATCGACAAAAACAACATCATATAATCACAATAGACATTATTTAGACCGTTATTTCCTTAAATTATTGTTTCAAAAAATCAAAACTAAATTTGATTCTTTACTTTATGAAAAAATTTATGATCAACAACTAATACATTCACAATATCCATTACCATAACTATCATTATAGTATTGTAATAAATTGTAACTATTTTTACCAGAACATTCAAAATTTAAAACTATGAGCACAACATGGATGAAACTTTTTTCTTCGTGTTAAATATTTTAAATTTTGAGGTAATGTAAAAATTCATATTAGAAAAAAAAAAACCACTAACCTCAAACATTGAACAATCCAGAATTTCAATTTTAGAAGTAATGTTTTGGAACTCTTGAGATTCAAGAAATGACGATGATACCTTCAGAAATTTCTATCCTTGCATATATAAATCACCGACTTTTTTCCAAAAGAATGGGGTAAAAATAAATGCTTTCAACTTAAACCACTATCTATCCTTCAAAGATTACAATAAAGTGTGTGGACAGATGCATTGAGAAAAGATGGTAAATCACAATAACGAGAGCATCCAAGTATGAAAAAAATGATTTATTAATAACTTAAGCACTACAAAAGGGATTAAAAAATTACACAGGTAAGATGAATAGGGGAAAAGAATTTGAGTTCCCCTCTCCGGTAGTTTGAATATAATTCTCATTTCTACCACCAACCATTGTTTCTCCTCATCCCAGCACTGCCAGGGCTCCCAAATGCATAGCCAGAGTTGCCATATGGATGGCCATAGTTGTTCCGAGCATACCCCGAGTTGTTGTATTCGTGCCCTGAGTTGTTATATGCATACCCAGAGTTGTTGCATGCATGCCCCGGGCTGATGTGAGGATGCCCAGTATTGTTATATGCATGCCTGGAGTTGCTGTATGCATGCCCAGAGGAGTTGTATCCATGGCCGGAGTGACTGTATAGATGCCCAGAGGAGTTGTATCCATGGCCAGAGTGACTGTATGCATGGCCAGAGTTTTCGAAAGCATTCCCAGGGTTGCCAAACCTGGATGCTGAATATCTGTGCTGATAAGGTGTTGCCGACCCTTGGAATGCTGAAGTTCCTGAATGACTCCAGTTATTATTCTTAGAAGTTTGAGAACTTGACATATGACTGCCAGAAGTCATGGGAGAACTCTTGTGACCCTTGAAGGGAGGTGTTGAAGCAGACTTGAAATGGTTCTTCTTGGAATTTGACTGGAATACATCTCCAGGATCCTCTGTAATCTGTCCACCTTTGTGTTTTGATTTTTTTGGTGTTGAATTAGATACATGTCCAGGATCCTCTGTAATCCTTTCACCTCTGTGCTTCGATTTTTTTGGTGTTGGCTTAGACACATCTCCAGGATCCTCCGTAATCCATCCGCCTCTGTGTTTCGATTTTTTTGGTGTTGACTTAGACACATCTCCAGGATCCTCCGTAATCCATCCGCATCTGTGTTTCGATTTTTTTGGTGTTGACTGGGATAAATTTCCTCGATCTTCTGCAATGTGCCGACCTTTGTGTTTTGATTTTAGCGGTGTTGTAGTGCCTTTCTCTTCAGACTTGGTTTTTCTCTTTTTACGAGCCTTACCAAGATCATGAGGAGCAGATTTAATTCCCAAGCTTTCTTTATTTCCTCTATGAGCTTTTAGAGTTGGGGTTGATAACTCACGGTTCCTCTTCCCACCCTGCTTATGGTAAACAAGTACTCACTTTACTGTTATTTCTAGGAAATATACACAATATTCCACAAAGGGGAACAGAATCTTTTGATGCTGAAGTAACAAGATATGATCAAGTAGCATATAAATGGAATTAGTACATTGATACATATATTTGCTGAAGAAACCTACCTTAGCAGAACTGGTGCACTCACGTGCAAAATGCCCCCCTTCCCCACACCTGTAGCATGAAAGAGGTGATTCTGTCATAGAGGCTTCCTCCTGCAACCTTCCACACTCCTACATAAATATATCCCAATGCATTGAAAGAAGGCTAGTTACCAACCAGAAAATTTTGAGGGAAAAAAAGAGTTCAAAACATATCAGGATCAGTTGGGTGAACAGAAACAATGTTACAATTAACAGATGTCAATGTCAAATGATTTGTCAAGTTACAATAACAGAGATTCCAAAGCATGGGCAGTGTCAAAGTAACCACAAGAGATATCTTGCACAAAGAAGTATAAAATCATGTGTAACAAGGATGTTAATGTCATGTATAGGTGGTAACAATAATGCACAGCTCCAGACCATATATTATCAAAAACCAATTTATCAAGTAAACCACATTGTATGTATCGAAATGTGATATAATGCGCAGCACTTGCAACTTTAACAACGAGAGAGAGAGAGATTTAAAAGCCAAGACAATTGGAGAGAAAAGACACATCAGCAAAAGAAAGTGCCACCAGAGTTGGTGCACAAGCTATAATTCTAAACCACCATGGCTTGGGCATCTCCTGAGGTCATGAAAGGATAACTATCAGCAATCGAAACAATAAAACAATACAGTCAGTGGCGAACCAAATCATGGACAGGAAACACAAGGATATTAATATCGCAACTATTGTATTGACAGGCCTGAACCTAAAATCACATAATACAGTACCATTCTTTTCCACACATCAACATGTCAGTATGCACTCAATCCATGAAAGTATCATGCACATCTATAGATGAAATTTTGTCCTTAACCATAAGCAGGAAAGGATATGGACAATGCACAAAGAGACTGAAGTGGATGGCACTTACCAAACCAGTATGACCCAGTTCACCACATCTGTAGCAAGAAACTTGTCTTGGACTATCATGACCAGAGGTAACACAACATAAATGGCCAAAACTCTTGCAGATGTAGCATTGTATTTCCTGAATGATAAAAAAAAATTAAAAAAATAAGAAATAATAAAGATAATGATTCATATTACTATAAGACCATGGACTTGTAGGTAAGCAGAAAGGGAAAAAACAGACAAACACTGATGAAAAAAGTGGAACAACCTTGAGATCATCAAGAGAATAATCATTCATGCAGTAGAACATCTCATGCCCGGATTCCCCACATTTCAAACATATTTTTGAACTCTGAGGAGTGACCTTATATTTATCTGGACAATCTTTTGCACGGTGACCACCTTTTTTGCAAATAAAGCAATCTTGTCCCTACAGAAAAAGCCAAGCACAACAAATAACCAGATTAAGTAGGTTCTTCAAGTCCCCAAACCATTCACGTGGAATCTCAAAGCAAACATAGACATAAAGACAAAATATTTAGTCATTCCAGTACTCTTCTGTTCAGGTAAAGTTTCTTTTTCTCTAATAATTTGCTCATTTACAAATCACATGAAGGAGCCAAGTTATCCATCCTTTCATAAAGAGAAGGTAAAGGTCCTTGTGATTCTCATTGAAATGGGAAGCAACTGCAAACAAGTACACCCAATGGTTACTTACTACACATGTCTAAATCAAATAACTCAAATACCACATGTGTAACATTTGAGAATAACAACAGGATAAAGCATCCCCAAGCAAAGTCGAATGCATCAACACAGAAACACAGGTGGTCAGCCAAATAAAATGAGTCGAAACTTTTCAACAAAGTTTCTTCTTATCCAAAACACTCTCTAACAATATCGTCGAAGAAAAAAAGAACAAACAAGTCCACGCAAAACTTTTTGATACAATCAAAGTCAATAAATAAATAACAAGGCATCAACTTCTGATTAATTATATATTCACAAACCTTAGTGCATTGCTTAGCACCATGCTCCAAACTCCCACAAACAAAGCATGGCTTAATCTTCTTTGTAAATGTTGGACAATTCACTGCCATATGACCTTCCTCGCCACAATTATAGCAATTTGACCAGCCGCTATCTGGTGGATCAAAGTACCTTGGCCCCCGCTGACAGAATAAATATAACAGAGATACCAATCTAAGCCTTCGCATGGGAATAGTATTTCTTTCAAAATTGCATATCACAACAAATATTTTAACTCACAAGAAGCTTTCGGAGCACAATATTAACAGGCTCCTCAACTGCATTCGCACCACCAGATTCCACCAATTCTGCAGCCTCATCAGCCTCTACCTTCTCGCTCGTCTCTGCCTTCTCAATTATCTCCGCATTCTCAACTGTTTCCACCTCTTCAGTTGTTTCTACCTTCTCGTCTCCCTTCGCAATACCAACCTAATTACACATAATTAAGTACCCAAACGTTCAAAACAAAGCTAACAAATCCTTAATACCAAAACTAATCAATTTTCAAGCTCTAATAAAAATAAATAATCAACTGAATTAAGAAAAATAAAACAATCAAGCTCTAAGAGACTAAACTCACTGAAACTTCCGTCTTCTTCTCAACCTTCTTTTTCTTTTTCCTCTTTTTAACACCACTGGGTCCCGCACCCGCCGCCTCGCCCTCCATCGACGACGTCGAAGCTACCTCCACCACGCCACGGTCTCCACCACCACCGCTTCCATCACCATCGTCGTCATCGTCATCCAAAACAATAAGACCGTTGCCGTTTCCGGCCGACTTCGCCGCTTGCATTAACAGCGATTTCTCTACGATCTTCAAGCTCAGATCTTCATTCGCCTCTTCATCATCGCTACTAAGTTCCACTAAAAATTTCTTTGATTGCTTCTCTTCTTCTTCTTCGATTAATTCGATTTTCGCTTTCTGCTTCCCTTTCTTTGCCATTCAATTAATTAATTTAACAAACCCTAATTTTGAAAAAAAAAAAAAAAAAAAACTTCCCTAATTTGATTTTTACGGGCACGCACGACCGCAGGCAGAGAGAGTTGCAGTCGGCTAGGGTTTGTGTCGGCACGTTTATTCAAATCGGTTCCATCCGGCTCTGATTCTGGTTTAATTTTTTAAGACATCTCAAATTAGTCCCTAATATATATTATCTATTCATAATGGTTTAGAAATTCTTCAATTAAGTCCTTATTTCCAAGTATGATATTTTGTATGTTAAATTTTATTCAAAACGATGACGTTGAAATGCACAAATTATGAAAAATGGATGAAAAATATTGACAAGCACTAACCGAAGTACCTAATTGAGAATAGGTATACATGTTATGTTAAGGACTAAATTGATGTTTCCCCTGATTTTTGCCTGACTCGGTGAACTTGGGCCGGGCTAGAGAAGTATTCGGCGGTAAATTATGAAGGCCCATGTCCAGGATCATATTTAAAATTACACTTGGGAATTGTTAAGCAAATTATCGTTTTTTTTTTATTGTAATATTTTTAAAGGTTAACTGTTTAATCCACCCTTATATAATAAAATAATTTGTCCACATATCTTTTTGTCATTAATTTAATTGAGTCAGATTTATCTTTAAATATACTTTAAGTTTTTAATCTATTCTTTTATTAAAATTTTTAGGCCAAATTATTATATTATTCAAGTAATTTGAATAGGATTAATTTTTATTTTTAAAATATTCTTGTAAACCAGTCAAATATAAGGTTTTATATGCAAATTTATGACCAATTATGACATTTTAGTTCAAAAATCTTACCAAAAAAATAGATTAAATACTTAGTATATATTCAATAGTAAAATTGGTTCAATTATAAATATAAACGCATATTTTAAAATTATCATATTATATAATAACATATTGAAACATTCACTTTTTTTTTAATTACTGTTTAAGCAATTGGATAAGAAAAATAATTATTGAGAAATGAGAAAAATTATTTAAATATGTATAATAAAAGTTCATCGGTGAAGAACCGAGTATCTTAAATTGTTTGAACATTTTACTCTGTATTTTTTTAATATATATTTACAACATTTTCTAACATTTTTATTCTTGCAAGTAAAAGCAATAAAAAAGAAAAGCAAGTTAGCAAGTTAGCAAGTAGCAATTATGATTTTTCCTTATATATATATATATATATGATTTCACTTTGATTGTCATATAATAAATCAGTCACATATGATGAAAAAAATAAATATCAAAGAACTTAGGTGTTGTTTGGTAATCGGGAATAAAGTGATGGGAATGGGAATGCGGGAATCGGAATGGTATTTGTATTCCAATACCGTGTTTGGAATACTAATAAGGAATCGGAATGCGATTTAAATTTTTTAATATATGATTTTGTATACAAATATAAATAATGATTAAAAAATAATTTTATTAAACTATAATAGTTATAAAAATAATAAAGGTAATGATAGTGATTGTGGTGGTTTTAGCGGCGGTGGTGGTGGCGGTAATGATTGCGGTAGTGATTGTGACGGTGGTGGTGGTGGTGGTGGTTATGATGGTGATTGTGGTGGTTACGGTGATGGTCATGGTGGTGGTTGTAGTTGTGATGGTGATGATAATGACGGTGGTTGTGGTGGTTGTGATGGTGGTGATGAAGATAGTGGTGGTGGTGGTTGTGGTTGTTGTAATAGTGGTGGTGGTGTTGGTGGCAAAAATAGTTAATGGATAATAAATAAATAAAATATATTATTATTTTGAAAAAAAAATTCATTCTCGTTCCTTGTTTTTTATTCTCACATCTTATGTGGGGATGAAGTTATGTGTAAATTTTCATTCCCATTCCCACTTCATTTCTTTTAACCAAACGGCTATAATGTGAGAATCAAACGTTCATTCTCATTCCTATCACTCTATTCTTTATTACCAAACGAGCACCTTAAAGAAATTACTTTTACGGAATACAAAGCTAAAAAGCTAATGAGTTCAATCTAGGAAGAAAAACAGATTTGGCACTCTTTTTTTCCTTTTTCCAAATCTTTTTTCACATGAATTGTTTAAGCCTTGACAATTTAAACTTCGCACATAATTCGCCACCTCAATCGAGGATTTGCCACCGGCCTTAACTAAATTACATATTTTAACAACCGAATCGAAATGACATGATTAAAATTAATTTAGTTTTAATAATTTAAATAAAAACTGAATCGAATTGGTATTTTGGTTTGGATTCGAGTTCATTTAATCAATTTTAATCAAATACGATCATCTTTAATACTAGAGAAGCAAAATAAGAGAAATATATGGATATGTAGTGAATAAATCAATTAAGAGAGATCCTCGAGAAATCATTGAACAAACAACAAAAGAAAAATGAACAAAATTTTAATATATATATTTAGACAACACAAGTTAAATATATTTGGAATGAGTTTTGATGTGTGGAGTTTGTTGGGTCACAAAAGTTTGAACCGAGAATCTAAGAGAGAGCACCAATTGTTTCATTAATTTGAAACTGAAATTACTCTTTTGATTACTCATAAATTGACCAAAATAATTTAGGGTAACAAGCAATCCACTCCAATAAACGAATTTAAATGCTATAGCTATACTTAAAACGATATAGTTAAATTCACAAATAATTTTGTTGTTTTTACTACTTGTTTTTCTTATAATGACAAATGTTATCTTCTTTTCTAATGTTTATTACATTCTAATTTAAGATGCTTTTTTTCATCAATGATGATATGCAGATAACAATGTTTAAAGTGAATTTAGCATCATCCTATTTAAAATTATGAGATACATGTCCATGTTAATATGTAATCAAGAATTAACAGAAAATTGAAATAACGTTAATGATATATATATATTATTAATGTTCATTATATTCCAACTTGAAATACCCTTTTCATTAATGATAGACGAAGCTAACAATTTTTTTTCTTTTTTCAAAAACACATGAATTTGATAAATAAAGTTGGGTTTTTTTTAGTTTATTTCACCAAATATGTAAAATAAAATAAAAATTATAGCCCTCTCGTTTTTGGTCATTCATTAATTGTAGGAAACAATGACGGGATTCACAATTATAACCTACAGGCACGTGATGGACGAGGAAAATAACAGATCTAGCACGTGATAGCATTAAAGAATCAAACCAGCATTTAAATTCAAGCTATAGTTCTTCAAAATTTTATAAATTTTCAGTAAATAAACAAGAGGAAATTGATAGGATGTTAATATAGTTCATACACAATCTTAAAAAGAAAAAAAGGCATGTCATTCTGTAAGGAAAAGTGAAAAGAAATGGGCTTTTGAAGGAATTTATTAAATTTATCTGAAACCAAACTAGTTTCAACTATTCTCGAGGGATTAGTCGGCTAGTAGTTAAGAAAATTTGTTTTCTTTCGTAACTTTTTAGATTTAAACTTTAGAGCCAACGTTTGGAGGAATTTATTAAATGCATTTAAATTTACTGAGAAAAGAATGATTTAGTCTTAGTTAATATACAGTCTGATCAAATGATAAAACCGGAATGGGAGATCATATTAAGAAATTTTATGGAGACCAGAGGGACCATGATAACAAAATATCAAAAAGTAATTTCCAAAGATAAACGAAGACAAAACTCATTTCCACTGACCTCCACAAATTCTTGTCCTCTTTTTTCTTTCTATCTATGGCTTCTCTCTCTTCTTGCTCCACTCTCTACCCTCTCTCTTCTCTCTCTCCTTCTTCTTCCTCTTCAAACACTCATTACTTTCTTCCACAATTATCCCCATCAAAACCTGAAATCCCCTCTCTCTCCCGCTTCTCTTCTATCAACCTTCATAGCAACAATAAACTCTATCACCGCCAAGCCACAACAAGTCTTCTTTTTCAGCCAATATTTTTGCTCAGTGGCGTCGATACTCCTTTGGATACCCAAGCTGCCATCTCTATTTTCAGTGTCTTTGCAGCAATTGCTCTTTCTCTCTTCTTAGGCCTCAAGGTAATTTCCTTTCCCTTTTGTTTTTCATTTTTTCCTTCGTTGCTTGCATTTATATTTTGTAAGTGCTGAAAAAGTTTATATTTTGAGTCATTATTTTCAATGGGCTTTGCAGGGAGATCCTGTGCCATGTGAAAGGTGTGCAGGAAATGGTAACTTGGTTTTCTTTTTCTTTTTTTTTAGCTTTTTGGGTTTTGATGATTATGTTTAATGAAAGCTTTAAGCTTTACTTGTAATTGTTTTATATGGAAATGTTACAATGAGTGAATGAATTATACCACCAAATTGAAGAAAGAAATGTTGAATAGTTTAGTAGCTAGCTCAGGATTCAGAAATTTGAAGATTTAGGACTACTAATATTGAGAAAGTTGGAGTTCTATTACTGCAATGAAGGCACCGAATTTCGATGCTTATTGTGGGAATTTGGGTTGGTGATGGTGTTTTTTTGTTTTTTCTTGACAGCAATGTCCATTTTTTTGGTTTGTGTTTTAATATATCTTTTACTCCTTAGTTTAAGTCAATGTGTTAAATAATTATTCTGTTTCTGAAAGGGATCGTTTCTGTGTAATTATCGAGTTAGACAGGTTCGTTTCATCCTATGTTTTGGGTTTTTCTACTTAATTCAGTGTGGTGTTTTGAGTTGTGTAATTTTGTCATTATTGAAATCACTATCTATCATCATGGCAAGTCCTTGATAATCTCTGTTCCTGGTCAAATTGTTGATGGTATGATTCTTCAAGATTGATTCTTTTTCGGTCTGATGAGAGGAGAGACAATTGGATCATATTTGACATGGTGGAATTTAATGAAGTATGATTTTGAAAATTAACTTAGTTTGAAGCGGGCTATAATTTGCCCAAGTCCTCTTGTTTCTTGGATTCTGGCAATGATGTATACCTGCATTTTAACTCAAGAAGCTAAAGAAATATGGTTATTATGAACAACCCTGGATGTGAGTTACTAATTCCCACTTCTATTTTGAACCACACTTTACCATGAGACAGTGAATTGTTAACAGTGGTGAGATTCCACCATGCATCAGAAGTTGTTATTATTCTAAGTGCTAACCTTTTCATCCTGGATGCTCAGAAACTGATTCTCTTGGAATTTTTGTTGGACCTTGAGACTTTACCACAGATGCTATGCACTGCCATAAGTACATGCACGCATACAAAAAAAAAAAAAAGGATGTTGTCTACTGTAGCTTCATCACAAATTGGTTAACTTGATCTGCATGTTTAGGCATGGATGTCTACTTCCCCTTCCCTTCTTGCTTTCGGGGTTGGGTGGGGGTGATCAAGTGGCTTCTTGATTCATTATTGCAACATAGTTTGACAAAGTGTTAATGGAAACCTGCACGGGAAGCTTGGCAGTGAGACCTGAATTTGAGCGGGAGGGAAAGCTACTGAATTACCTTATTTTTAGCTCAATTATCAGTTAGATGAGTTAGAAGCACTACTTTCAAAACTGATTATTATGTAGAGTCTTCTCTTGCTGTTATCAGACCTATTAATTTTGCAATTTTGGTGGATTATAGCTGGAAAGAGTATGTCTTAACTGAACTCATTATGATGGATAGGTGGCACAAAATGTGTGTTTTGCAATGATGGCAAGATGAAAAAAGAAACAGGCTTGGTGGATTGCAGGGTGTGCAAGGGTGCAGGTATAGCGTCTCACATTCAGATAGCAGTTATTAGAACCAATGGCGTTTTTGATATCTAGGTTTTTAAAATCAAATTGGTTGAGTATATGATTGATGACCTCACTTGTGTTCTTGATTATCATTACAGAGCATCATGAGTTAACTCTACATAACGAGTTATTATTACATTCAAATGCAAAAATATAACTTTCCAACTCCATACATGGAAAAAAATTTCAAGTGGATATTATTTCACTCTTGATTGTTAAGCTATGTTAGTTTTAGGCGCTATCTAATTTGATTCAATTTCTAAATTCACATTGTCAGGGACATATTAAATCACACTATTTGATCTGTTCGCTCCCATTTGCTCTTACGTCTCAACAACATGCTGATTGTCTTTGTAGGATTGATACTCTGCAAGAAGTGTGCAGGTACTGGCTATTCCACACGCTTATGAACTTGATTCGCGTTCTGCACGAATCACATATTTTTGGCCTGTAAGACAACTTCACTGAAGATTTAATTCTTTTTTCCAGATCCTAACTTTTTTTTAATATATATTTATTTTTCCATATTTTGTAAATTATGTTCCTTCTTCTCTCAGATCCAACTTTATTATGTAATTGCAATGAGGTGGGAATAACAGAAATGTAAATACTAATGTAATTCTCTTTTAATTTTGAGATCATTTGATTCTTTAAGCCATCTTTAGCTGGCCTGATGACTTTCTCAAAACAGGGAGTTCATTGGGTTTCTTTCTTCTGTTCTTTTGTCCTTTGGCTTTGTTCTTTGAATGTGAGCAATCCTTAAATTATTTGGCACCATGGAAGGAAAAAAATAAAAAAAAATAACTATTGCATGACGCAAGCAGGGCCTATGGATATGAAATTTGTCAACATATTCTTGTAAATTTCCCACCTGAAATATCCCCTTTAGGTCTCAAAACATCAGTTGATAGTGCATACTTCATAGATTATAGGTATTTTTAAACTTTCAAGGCAATCTTTAGGTCACAAAATCCTATTGCATGACGCAAGCAGGGCATATGCATATGAAATTTGTCAACATATTCTTGTGAATTTCCCACCTCAGATATCCCATTTAGGTCACAAAACATCAGTTGATAGTGCATACTTGATGGATTATAGTTATTTTTAAACTTTCAACCCAGTCCTTCGTTTTAACAGGGGTAACGTTTTTGAGAATGCATCCCAACTTTGGCACACCTATATTTTTACCAAAAATAACTGTCGCAGGAATATCTAGCACAGGGCATTGGAAATTATTCTAGCATGATCAGAAAATACTACTATGTAAAGAATTTCCCGGTTGCAGCAAGTTTCTTGTCTTGTTACTGGATTTTGTTAGTCTTTCCAATTGGCAAGTAATTACTAAAACTGCAGTTATACTTTTGATAAGTCTATTTATCATTCAGGTTAGATGTTTGCAGTTTTCAATTAGAGTCCAAACGCCCTCACGTAATCACAGAATGGTAGTTTAGTATTCCCTGTAGGCAGTATGTGACAAACATAATCAGTAGAAAAGAGAGGAATCCAAGTCTTTGTCCTGCCCAACCAAGCCATATAAAGATAGCCATCTGTCTAATAAAGATATGACAAGACCGAACCCAAAGCCATCTCTTTTTGGCTCTTTCCTTGTTCTTACTCTGTCCTTCTATCCCTACTCTCCTCTTCTTAATCTCCACTTCCTCAAGTCTTTACTCACTATCACAGAAAGATGTCTAACACAACTACCAGTGCCGCTTCTGCTGAGCAACCATATGAGTTTGATGAATGCCGGGGAGTCCTTCGCGTGTACAGCGATGGCTCAATCTGGCGTTCTTCTGAACCAAGCTTCAAAGTTCCTGTCCATGATGATGGTTCTGTTGTGTGGAAAGATGCTCTCTTTGATCCCACGCATGATCTTCACCTGCGGCTCTACAAACCGGCTTCCCCTGCTTCAACCAAGCTCCCAATATTCTACTACATCCATGGCGGTGGCTTTTGCATTGGCTCCCGTACTTGGCCTAACTGTCAAAACTACTGCTTCAAGCTTGCCTTGGACCTTCAAGCTGTGATCATCGCACCTGACTATCGCCTGGCTCCAGAGAACCGGCTCCCAGCTGCTATTGAGGATGGTTACATGGCCATGAAATGGCTCCAATCTCAAGCTGTGTCTGAAGAGCCGGACACCTGGTTGACTGATGTTGCTGATTTCAGCAAGGTTTTCATTTCTGGTGACTCAGCTGGTGGGAACATCGCTCATAATTTGGCAGTTAGTTTAGGAGCTGGTTCAGCAGAGTTGGCTCCGGTTCTTGTCAAGGGTTATGTCCTCTTGGCACCCTTTTTTGGTGGGACAGTTTTAAGCAAATCAGAGGCTGAGGGGCCAAAAGAAGCATTCCTGAATTGGGAGCTTATCGACAGGTTTGAACAACATTTTTCACTGAGTACTTTTATTCCTCGATTACTATTTGGTTTCATGAGAATTAAGTTACTTTTTTTTTATCTAATTGTGCTAGGTTTTGGAGACTATCTATTCCCATAGGAGATACAACTGATCATCCACTAGTGAACCCATTTGGACCAAAAAGCCGAGTTCTTGAACCATTGGATCTTGATCCAATCCTGGTAGTGGTGGGAGGGAGTGATCTGCTCAAAGATCGAGCCAAGGACTATGCAGAGAGACTCAAAAACTGGGGAAAAGATGTACACTGTGTTGAGTTCGAAGAACAACAACATGGGTTCTTTACCATAAATCCTAACTCAGAAGCATCAATTAAATTGATGCTAATCATCAAAAGTTTTATCATTGAAAAATCTACCTGATATGTGTTTGCCTTCTCTACTATAAGAAATAATTCTTTCTTTTCTTTTGTTTTTTTTTTTTTTTTGTTTTTTTTTGTTTTTTTTTTCCCTTAATGTGTTGCAGATGTTATTTTTCTACCAACTTATAGGAATTCTAATTATATCAATTTTCCACCCTTTTCCGCAAATAATATGTTTTCTTTTATGGTTTCTAATTTTTATTACATTCGGCCTGACTCAAAAGAGGAAAGAAAACCGGATTAAAATAGTTAAACTCAACAAGAAAAAATAAAATAAAATCTGGGAGATGTATGTATAGGAATTGAAAACATAACAGTATAAATGTGCTAATTGATGATCCTAATATATATATATATATATATATATATTCCCTTTTCACCCATAAGTAATATAAAATTTTGCCATGTGCGACAAACTTAAGCAGCACCGCAATAGAAAAACATCTAACGTACCTTGGCCGGCCCAACCAAACAAACCATCGGCTCTTTTGACTCTTGGATTAGAAAAAACATCTGATTAAAGTACTCCAATAAAAAAACTTTGAGCAATATATATTATTACCATATAGATTCCAAGTTTCTCCTCACTGTCACAGAAAGATGTCTAACAAAACTACCACTGCAACTGCTGCTGAGCAGCCATATGAGGTTGATGAATGCCTAGGAGTCCTTCGCGTGTACAGCGATGGATCAATCTGGCGTTCTTCCGAACCTGCCATCAAAGTTCCTGCCCAAGATGACAGTTCTGTTGTGTGGAAAGATGCTCTCTTTGATCCCACTCATGATCTTCACCTCCGGCTCTACAAGCCTGCTTCCCCCTCTTCAACCAAGCTCCCAGTCTTCTACTTCTTCCATGGTGGAGGTTTTTGCATTGGCTCCCGTACTTGGCCTAACGATCAAAACTGCTGCTTCAAGCTCGCCTTGGACCTTCAAGCGGTAATCATTTCGCCTGATTATCGCCTGGCTCCAGAGAACCGGCTCCCGGTTGCCATTGAGGATGGTTACATGGCCGTGAAATGGCTGCAAGCTCAAGCCGTGTCTGAAGAGACGGATACCTGGTTGACTGATGTTGCTGATTTCAGCAAGGTGTTCATTTCTGGTGACTCAGCTGGAGGAAACATTGCTCATAATTTGGCAGTTCGGTTAGGAGCTGGTTCCCCAGAGCTGGCTCCGGTTCTTGTCAAGGGTTATGTCTTTTTCGCACCCTTTTTTGGTGGGACAGTTTTGAGTAAATCAGAGGTTGAGGGGCCAAAAGAGGCATTCCTGAATTGGGAGCTCATGGACAGGTTTGTACAACATTTTTCACCTACCCTTTTAATTCTCGATTGCTATTTGGTTTCTTGAGAAGTGGCTTTTTTATTTAATGGTACTAGGCTTTGGAGACTATCCATTCCCGTAGGAGATACAACCGATCATCCACTGGTGAACCCATTTGGACCAGAGAGCCGAAATCTTGAACCATTGGATCTTGATCCAATCCTGGTAGTGATGGGTGGTAGTGATCTGCTCAAAGATCGAGTCAAGGACTATGCAGAAAGACTCAAAAATTGGGGAAAAGATATCCAGTATGTTGAATTTGAAGAACAACAGCATGGGTTCTTTTCCATGAATCCTAACTCAGAAGCATCAATTAAAATGATGCTAATCATCAAAAGTTTCGTTATTGAAAAATCTACCTAGCATGTGCTTGTCTTCTCTACTATAATAATAATAATAATAATTTTTTTTTTTTTTTTTTTTTTAATGTCTTTGAGTTGTTATTTTTCTACCAACTTGTATGAATTCTAATGATATCAATTTCCCACCCTTGTCTGCAAATAATATATTTTTTTATGGTATATTGGGATGATAGATCTATATGTCAAAGTGCAACTTGGTGAGATGACTCCTGTAATTAAGATGCGATCGTCAATGGCGGCCCAATAGCTTAAGCAAGAACGTGCAGTTCTTTGGATGTGTTGGAGCCATAAAAAACTCGAAAAGTCGTTGAAATTTTTTTGAATCTGGAGAGGGAGAGATAGAAATAATTTTAAAGTCTTTTAGATTTCGAAAATCCAAAATAAGGCTTATTTTGGATTTTAATTACAATTTAGTTTTTTTCAAAATTTATTTCATTTATTGTAAATTTAAATGAAATAAATTAATTTTAGTTAAATTTTTTTTCAAAACAAGTGTCATTTTTTTAGGTACATGTTCATAACATAGGTTATGTTTCTAAATCATCACATAACCTCGATCAAGTGTGGTCAAAATTGACAGAAAAATTAAAGATTTAATTTAATTTGACCAAAAATTCAAGATGTTTTTGGATCATTTAACCAAACTTGTCTAGAGAATAATAATTTACTCTTATCATCTAACTATGCTTGTTTTAGGTTCCTATCTACTTTGATCCAATATATAAATTCACATTGACGAGGTTCAATATCTAAATTTATGTTACTCTAGCTGTAATGAATAATTCGATAAAAAAGAGCTAAACACAAAGAGAAAAAACAATAAAAAAATAATAATAATTGAGTTTAGGTGGAAATTGGATCCGATATGACTTTTTTTTTTTTTTTTATCTATTTCTCTTTAAAGTATACTTATAAAATAATTATTGTTAATTATTTTTTAAGTATTTTAAAATTTCTCGCATAGACCAGGATACTTACGTTAGAGAGTTCGAATTTTATCTGGGCACTCAATTTACTCTCGTGTCTCTCCAATATGCTGACTGTCTTCTTAGGATTCATACTCTGCAAGAAGTGTGGAGGGAAGTGGCTCTTCCAAACACTTATGAACTTGAGTTTTGTTCTGCATGAATCACATATTTGTGGTCTGTATGACAAATCTACTGAAGGTTTTATTCTTTTTTCCAGATCCTCGTTTCTTTTTTCTTTCTTTTTTATTATATATTTTACCATATTCTGTAAATTTACTGAAGGTTCAATTCATTAATTATTTATTGCATGATGCAAGCAGGCCTTTGGGTATGAAATTTGTCTGCAGATTCTTGGAATTTTCCACCTTGAATATTCCCTTTAGGTTTGGTAGTGGCTTAATTTGACTTTTGAGAATGCATCCCAACCTTAGAAGTCTTATATTCTTGCAGAAACTAATCATCCTAGGAACATCTACCACAAGACATGGAAATTATTCTAAATGATCAGAAGATACGAACGTCCCAGTTGTAGAGTTTCTTGTCGTGTTTTTGGATTTTGTTAATCTTTCCAATTGGCATGTAATTGCTAAAATCGCAGTTCTACTTCCATTGTGACCTTGGTATTTTGCTTGCAATAGAGCATTTTTTAAACAACAAACTACCCTTTTTAGGGTAGATATTTGCAGTTCTAAATCAGAGGTCAAATGCCCTCAGCGGTTATCATTCGGTTTTTCGATTTGATTTTTTTTTTATTAACTGAATTGGCTAAAACAAAAACCAATATCGAACCGAATTGAGGTTCGGTTTTTTGGGTTAAAAACTGTATTTTTCTGTTCGGTTTTCGGTCAAAAACCTTTTTTTTTCTTTTTTCTTCTAAAAATCGAATTATTTTGCTTTTAAAAAATATCAAACTTGCATTATCAAAGATTGCATATTTCACATTTGATTTTATAAGAAAATTATGTATGATTATTATTATTTTTCTATACTAAATTTGTTTCTATTTATATTATAAACTAAATTAGTTGGGCTTCTCATTATTTTTCAATCACAATAATTGGTTTTTTTTATTAATTTTTTATATTCTTTTTTAAAATCTATTTATTTTGTGCATATTTTATTGTTGAATATATAATATGAAAAATCTAATTTTTAATTTATGTTTGTGCCAATTTTAATACAAGGAGACAATTTTTTTTCATGAGGTTTTAGGATTCACCCACACATAAATTTGTATATGTAAAAAGAATTTCTTTATCACGAGTCTTTTTTTTTATTTTTTTGTGAGTCAATATAATATAATTAATTATTTTATTATTTCAATAAATAATTAATGAAAAATATTTCTATATTAAGGAGAAAAAAATCATTAAAGCTATTGTTCTTTTAGTTAAACCCATAGGTGCCTCTTTGATTTTAAAAAAAAGAGTTTGGGTATGTGTTAAAAAATAATAATAATAATTCGGTTTTCGGTGGAAACCGAATTTGAAAAAAAAAAACCGAACCGAACTAAAATAAATTCGGTTTTTTTTTCAATTTTTTTTAAAAACGAACCGAAATTGTTAATTCGGTTCGGTTTGGTTCGATTTTTCGATTTTAACCGAATAATACTCACCCCTACCCTCGGGTACTCAACAAAGAATAGTCGAATAGGATTCTCTGGAGGCACTATGTGACAAACATAATCAGTATTGCAATAGCAAAACATCTAGGCGTCGTTTAGTTATAAATAATGAAAGGTTCGGAATGAGAATGCGGGAATTGAAATAAAAATTAACGAATCGAAATGACATTTGTATTCTCATACTGTGTTTGAAATACTAATGAGAAATCGGAATATAATTTAAATTTTTTAATATCTGATTTTTTTATACAAATAAAAATAATGATTAAAAAAATAATTTTATCAAAATATAATAGTTGTAAAAATAATAAAGGTGATGGTAGTGGTGGTGGTGGTGATGATGATGGTGGTAGTAGTGGTGGTAATGGTTATAGTGGTGGTGATGATAGTTGCGGTTGTGGTGGTGGTGTTAATGGCGTTTGTAATGGTGATAAAAATAGTTAATAAACAATAAATAAATAAAATATATTATTATTTTGAAGAAAAAAATTTCATTCCCATTCCTTATCCTTATTCCCACATTTTATTTGAGAATGAAGTTGTATGTAAATTTTCATTCTCGTTCTCATTTCATTTCTTCTAACCAAACAACTACAATAGATGAATAAAACTTTCATTTTCATTTTCATCACTCTATTTCTAATTATGAAACAGTATTACCGTATAAAGACAAAGCAACAGGCCATAAGCTCTTTTGACTCTTGCCCTGCTGTTGGTCAATCTTTCAATGACCCCTCTCGTACTTTTAATCTACATTTCTTCCAAGTTTTTCCTCACTGTTACAGAAAGATGTCTAACAAAACTACCACTGCCACTGCTGCTGAGCAACCGTATGAGGTTGACGAATGCCTGGGAGTCCTTCGCGTGTACAGCGATGGTTCAATCTGGCGGTCTTCTGAACCTAACATCAAAGTTCCTGTGCATGATGATAGTTCTGTTGTGTGGAAAGATGCTCTCTTTGATTCCACGCATGATCTTCACCTCCGACTCCCTGCTTCCCCCTCTTCAACCAAGCTCCCAGTCTTCTACTACTTCCATGGTGGCGGCTTTTGCATTGGCTTCCGTGCTTGGCCCAGCAGTCAAAACTACTGCATCAAGCTTGCCTTGGACCTTCAAGCTGTGATCATTTCACCTGACCATCGCCTAGCTCCAGAGAACCAGCTTCCAGCTGTCATTGATGATGGTTACATGGCCGTGAAATGGCTCCAAGCTCTAGCCGTGTCTGAAGAGCCGGATACCTGGTTGACTGCTGTTGCTGATTTCAGCAAGGTGTTCATTTCCGATTACTCAGCTGGTGGGAACATTGCTCATAATTTGGCAGTTCGGTTAGGAGCTGGCTCACCAGAGTTGGCTTCGATTCTTGTCAAGGGTTATGTTCTTTTGGTACCCTTTTTTGGTGGGACAACGAAGACTAAATCAGAGGCTGAGGATCTAAAAGAATCACTCCTGAATTGGGAGCTCATTGACAGGTTTGCACAAGATTTTTTTATTAAGCAGTAACTTTCAATTCTTGCTTGCTTACTATTTGGTTTCTTGAAAAGTTACTTACAGAATGATACTACAAATTACGAATTTTTTTATCACAAAAAATACGAATAGGAGACAAATAATTATAAAATTTCATAAAAAATTATATCGCTATCATTAATTCTTATTCCTGATTCGTGTTTAGTGATATGAATCATTACTGGTTATGTTTTTTTTTTTAATCTAATTGTGGCCAGGTTTTGGAGATTATCTATTCCCGTAGGAAATACAACTGATCATCCACTGGTGAACCCATTTGGGGCACAGAGCCAAAGTCTTGAACCATTGGATTTTGATCCAATTCTAGTAGCAATGGGAGGTAGTGATTTAGTTAAAGATCGAGCAAACGACTATGCAAAGAGACTTCAAAATTCGGGGAAAGAGATCCATTATGCTGAATTTGAAGGATGGCAACATTGGTTCTTTACCATTGACCCTAACTCAAAACCAGCAACTAAATTGATGCAAATTATCAAAAGTTTCATTATTGAAAAATCCAGCTAATATGTGTATGACATCTCTAGCATAGTAAATCTATTTTTCTTTTTCTTTTTAATGTGTTTGGGTTGTTAATTTTGGTTCTACCAATTTGTAGAAGCTCTAATGATGTCAATTTCCCACTCTTTGATGCAAATAATTATTTTTTCTTTTTCCTTCCTTGTATGCTATCTAATTTTTGATAAATTTGGCAACTCCATAGAAGATTTGATTTAAAACTATCCCTTAAAAATTGTCTGTTCTGGTACGAAACTGCCACTTCGAAAGTTTCCAATATGCACCAAGGGATGTACCAGAAGATATTGAAGCAATTAGCCATGGTGTCATTGGATCCCTCATGAGGATATCAAGTTGTGTAAAGAGCATTTAGAAGGCACCAATGGTCGCTTTCCTATACTTGTGAAGAGAAACCAAGTTGCATGGCAATTTATTAAGATTGCATCTATGCTCACATACCTTCTTGAAAGGCTTGAGAAGAATATACTAAGCTTAGTAACTAAGGCAGGTTCCTAGCTTCTTCCCCTCCTGGTTTCTTTTTATTACCAGGTTGTCTAATATAAAGAACATGGATTCGTGGTTGAATTCTTATTTAGACAGACTAAAAGGTGGTTTTGTTTGCAAGAGCTACTTCCTACTCTACTACTTTGAACTTGACACATCTTGGCCAGGTCTACAGGAAGGCAAGTTCTGCAGCAGTCATCTTTTAGAGGCCATCTTTGAAGATCATTTACATCGAGCCTCCCTACAATGGAAATGATGGGAGTCAGAATTAGTTATTTAATTATTTTAGTGAATTAGTGAAATACTCAATTGTTTAAAAGCATTAATTGAAAATTATATCCTAAAACATTTGTAGGTTAAAAATCAAATCACTAATTATATCTGCAAAATTAAATCACGATGAAATGCTAATTATTTATGAGGTTCTAATTAAGTTAGGAAGAATACAAACCCTCATACAAAAGTTTCATAGCAAGAAACTATCTCTATGATTGGAAACAAAGCAAAACATCATCATGGCATTTGCATATAAAACCAAAATTTCGAGTTCATTAATAGAGGAGGACATTTAAGAGTTGTCTGGATGAAATTTGAGCCATGTTAAATTAGATATTCAACAAGGGTGTATAAGCAAATAACTTGAACATGTTCCATACTTCAGGAAAGAAAATGGTGCACCTGCCATATTTCAGGAGCAATCTTTGAATGCAATTATTTACTTTAAGCCTCCCTGAAATGCAAATAATGGTAGTCATAATTTGCTAATTAGATAATGAAGATGAAAGTGAGCAGATGATGATTTTCCTATCAACAACTCTAAAGGTTGAGAGAGACGAAACGAAGTCATCGCCGTCTTCGTTTACGTTAAAAACCTACTTGTAGGCACGATGGGGACGAGTTGCCTTTTAAAAGAGCTATCATTTTTCTCGTTGCGGTTAGGGTACCTAGCCGATTAAATTATAAATTAATCACTCTAGTTTTTTAAAACTAAATAAATAGTCCCTCTATTTTTTAAATCAATTAATTAGTCCTTTTATTTTTTAAACTAATTAATTAGTCCTTCTATTTTTAAAAAATCTATTTGCAAATTAATCTTTTTTGTTCTTTTTGTTTTTTTTTTTAAAGAAATAAGTAAAAAACATGGAAAGATAGATGAGAATTTTTTTTTTTGGATCAAACTAATACTAAATTAAACATGATCATTTTTTAAAAGACTAATTCATTAATTTTTGAAATAAAGAAATTATTTAATTCATTTTGAAAAACTAAAAAAACTAATTTATAATTTATCTTACCCTAGTATGATTTGATTTTTTATCATTCCATGTTCTTTTTAACTTTTTTTGTTCTTTTTTCCTTCAAAGATTTACAATTGATATACAAATGGAAAACATTGCAAACTTTGTTGTCATTTACAATAGAATGATGAATCCTTACATAATTTTAATTGCCAAATGAAGAGATCAATCAAGTTAAGTGAGAAGATGGGCATCATCATTTTGGACGGACTAAAAAGTTCTTTTTTGTTTGCAAGAGCTACTTCCTACGCAGTTTTGAACTCAACATATATTCACTATAGTTTATAGGAAAGAAATGGTGCATCCGTCTTATTTTAGGAGCAATCTTTGAATGCGGTTATTTACTTTAAGCCTTCCTAAAATGCAAATAATGGTATTCTGTTAAGAAGAGAAATTTGGGGAAGAAATGCATTACTTTTACATAATATGTACGGTGTTACTTTACGAAGAGATAGAGTTGCCCTTTTATACTAGTGAGCATAGTGAGCTACATTGAGTTATAGTCCTCTACAATGAGCTCTATATACAACTCGTAACTTAAGTGAACCTATATACACTAGACATTTCTAAATACTCCCCATCAAGTTAGGGGTTTATACAAATCATAAACAACAAAGCTGGACAAGAGGTAATGATGAAGCTTGTTGCCTAAAGCTTTGGTAAAAATGTCCGCATACTGCTCTTCTCATCGAATAAAGACAGTAGTAAGAAACCCAAATTGAACCTTGTCTCTAACCAAATGACAATCAATGTCAATGTGTTTGGTTCTCTCATGAAATATTGGGTTTGAGGCAATATGAAAAGCTATTTTGTTGTCATAATGCATAATGGCGGGAGATAAAGATGTGGTCCGCAATTCATCTAAAATTCCAACCAATCAAATCAATTCATAAGTGGTCGAAGCCATAGCCCCGTATTCGACCTTTCGCTGAAGATCGAGATACCGTGTTACGCTTATTAGTCTTCCAAGAGATAAGAGAACTACCAAGAAAGATACAAAAGCTAATTAAGGATCTTCAGACATGGGATAAGAAGCCTAGTCTAAATCATAGTATAGGCGAAGTCGAAGATCATTTGAAGAAGATAATAAAATTCCAAGTCCCGAACTGCTTTTGAGATATTATAACACTCGAAGAGCGGAATTCATGTGAAAAACTTTTGGTTTATGCATAAATTGACTAAGGAGTTGCACAACATAGCAAATATCGGGACGTGTCATAATGAGATAAATTAGTCTTCCCTCTAATCTTTAATACTCGGTGGAGTCCGTCAAGAGAAAATCGAAGTCATGAATCGAAAGTGTTTCATCAAACTAAAACGAAGTCGGTTTTACAATATGTTCAATAGGCATCTCAATAGGTTTGGAAGCAAGTAAACCGACGATCATGTAGCAATTTCATGGTGTATTTTCTTTGACTAAAACATATTCCATGATTGGATTGTGCAACTTCTATACCCATGAAGTATTTCAAATCACCCAAATCCTTAATATAAAAGGTGTCATGTAAGAAAGCTTTTAATTGTTGTATGCCAACCTCGTTATTTCCTATGATGAGTATATCATCAACATAGACTAACAAAATAATAATTTTGCTATGTGTGACTTTGGTAAATATGGAATAATCATGCTTCGATTGAAAGAAACTTGCCGAATCATTTTCTCGATAAACTTAGAGTTTTATTGCCTAGAAGCCTATTTAAGACCATAAAATGACTTAAGCAACTTGCACACTAAACCCTCTCTAGGCATGTTAAGACCAAAAGGTAAATGCATATAAACCTCTTCATGTAAATCTCCTTACAAAAAAGAATTAGTAACATCCATTTAATAAAGGGACCAATTGCAGTGTAGTAGCCAAAGCAATGACAATTTTGACGAGTGACCATTTTCATAACTAGAGAAAAAGTCTCACTATAATCCACCCTTTCGGTTGAGTATATCCTTTGGTCATTAATCTTGCCTTATATCTATCCACACTATCATCAAAATTATATTTCACCTTATAAACTCATTTACGACCAATAGATTTCTTCCCGAGTGGTAAAGGAACTAATTTTCATGTGTGGTTCAATACAAGAGCTTGGAGTTCCTTAGCCATAACATCTATCCACTTAGGATTCCTAATGGCTTTAGAATAAGAAGTAGGTTCTCTATAAGAGGAAATAGAAGCTAGAAAGGCTTAATGATATAAGAAAAAAGAAGCAAATGAAATGTAATCGATTATAGGATAGTGGATAGTGGAAGTGAGGTGAGTAAGATGAGTAATTGTGAGACCAAATAGGTATTTTAGATATTCGGTGGACCTACGAATAGGAATAAGACCGGATATTGCAGGAGAAAGAGAAGAAAGAGAGGACTAATCCGAAACGAGGAGAAGGTAAAATTGATGACTCTTGAGAAAAAACAACAAAATATGCAGAAGAAAGATTAAGGTAAGATGAAGTATCATCATTATAAACCCATTGAGAAACGAGTAGGGTGTGAAAGGTATAAAGTAGGAAAAGAAGGTGTGTTAATTGAAACATAAATAGAATGAAAAGAAAATAATGTTTCTTGAAAAGAGACATCTCTAGACATAAGAACATGTTGAGTATGTAAATTCATGACTTTGTAACCCTTTTGTGAGTAAAGATAGCCCAAAAAAAAGATAAGGTTGAGATCTATAAGCAAATTTATCAAGAATAGGTAATACTTTGGTATAACAAAGACAATTAAACACTTTAAGATGATTAAAGGCGAGAAGATTTATGAAATACTATGTCATATAGAGTTTGCCCTTTAAGTAGACAAGTAGGTGTTCTATTTATGAGATATGAGAAAACTAACACACGGTCTTCCCAAAATCTAATTGGAATATTAGATTGAAACATAAGAGCTCTAAAAATATTTAGAATATGTCTATATTTTCGTTCCATAACAATATTTTGTTGATGTGTGTAGGGGATAATGGTTTCATGAAGAATACCTTTAAAAGAAAGGAATTCTTGACAAGCGAGTTTAAAGAAACTCTAAACCCCTATCTATCCTAATTCGTTTGATGTTACAAGGGAATTATGGTGAAACAAGAACATAAAAATACTGCAGTAGTTGAAGTGCTCGAGATTTGGTTTTCATAAGAAAAGTACAAGTCCTTCTAGAGAAATCATCAACAATAGAAAGAAAGTATTTCTCTTGATTATAGGTGGAATGTTTGTAAGGTCCCTATATGTCAACATGAAGAAGATCAAAAGGAGAATGAGTAAGCGATGTACTCGTGAGGGAAAAGATTTCGTGTTTGTTTGGGAAGAGGACATATCTCACAAAATAATTTAGAATTATGGGATGACATAGAAATGCACGGAATTAATTTGAGTCTAGCAAATGATATGTGTCCAAATCGTTTATGCTAAAGGTTTACATCTCCTAATAGAGTATTAATAGAAGCTTTATTACAAAAAAAAAAAAAAACATGAAACTTAGGAGAATTTTCCGATGAAACATTATTAACAATAGTAAAATTATGAATACAAGATAAAAGAGGTTTGTGGATATCAAATGAAGATGGCAAGACATGATAAAGACCATCTTTAACTTTACCAATCCTTTTTATCCGCCGATCTTGAAGTCCCGAAACAAACGAAGGATGGTTAAAAAAAGGCAAAATAAGAGTTGTCAATGGTGAATTTGGTGATTGACAATAGATTGAACTTGAACTCGGGTAAGTACAACACGTTCTTAAAGGTTATTGATGGAAAAAAAACTAATCCTATATGAGCAATTAAAGTTCTATTACCATTAGGTAATCTAACGAGTAAAACTACATGATAAAAGCCTAGGATTATCCAAGCAATTAAAATGATCAGTCATATTGATATTAGCCCCAGTATCCATAATCTATTAATTAGGAATAGAAACTACATCAACAAGGTTATAGAAAAACTCACTAACCATGTTTGCTTGCGGTATAATTTTGTTGAGCATTCCGCTCCGAAGTTGTATCCTTCAATAACAATTCCAATATTTACCGATATTATGGTCGAGAAAATACTAGAGGTGATATTGATGTTAGCCTATCCGTAATATCAGTCGCATATACTCCCAAACTTTGATTCAAGCTTGGAACGTAATGTCCCATATAACCGAGTAGCATTGTTGGCGGTGTAATTCCTCTCGCCTATCTCCATCAAAATTAACACCTCCACCCCTTCTACCTCTGTTAGGAGAGAAAAACTTCTTAGTAGGATTTGGATATCCATGAAGTTTATAACATGAATCCTTAATATGCCCTAAAATATGACAATAGTCACGAGACAATGTCTTTGTGCCAATTGCTTCGTCATAGAATTACCTACCTTGTGATATGGTCTTAACGAGTAAAATATAACGAAAATCTCATGGTGTGGAGCAATATTTCTCCGTAATTCTTCATTGGACACCATAAAGTATGCTTGAGAATGAATGGGCATTGGACTTATTAACAAAATTTACGACCTCACGATTGAAACCGATCATCTAATCCCACTAGAAATTGCATCATCTTATGTTGTCGTGTATATTCCACAAACGGTTGAGAGACCTCACCGTGGCAAGTCTGAACAAATATAAGTTAATGTAGAAATTAGATAATCATACTGATCCTAAAAATATCTTAGCTTCGAATAGTAAATTGCTACATTGTCATAGGCTTGTACAAGTGAATTTATTACTTTATGTAAATCAAAAATCTTAGCTCCATGATGTTTATCAAAACGTTCCTTCAAATCTTTTCACACTTCTTCAACAAGTTGATAATATACCAATCCATTAAACAATTGAGTAGATACTGAATTTAAAATCTAAGCATGAACCAATGCATTACACTTCTTCTATTGTTTGTATTCGAAAAATGAACATTAGGTTTAGAGAAATTTCCGAGTGACAAACACATATTTGCTTTTAGCTTTAAGTGAAATCATCATTGCCTTACTCCATGAACTATAATCTTCTTCTCCTTTCGGAAAATATGTAATAAGAATTAGGCTCGATGTATCGAAAGAGTGAAGGTACAATGGATCATTCACATCACGTATTGTAGCAGTAGCTTTGAATGAATTGGCAGTTGGATTCTCCATGAAACAGAGGTAATTTCAAAAGAAAAATGCTAGATCTAAAAAGAAATTTATGAAGAACAAGATGAATCAAAAGCAAAATGTGATTTTGCCCGAAGAATCTAGAAGAAAAAATCAATCTCCATGACCTAGCTACGATACCATGTTAAGAAGAGAAATTTAGGGAAGAAATTTGTTACTTTTGCATAATATGTACAGGTGTTACTTTAGAAAGAGACAAGAGTCGCCCTTTTATACTAGTGAGTATAGTGAGCTACATTGAGTAATAATCCTCTACAATGAGCTCGTATACAACTCGTAACTTAAGTGAACCTATATACACTAGACATTTCTTAATATAGTCGAATTTGCTAATTTGCTAACTTCTACATATAATTATTATGATCTATAGCAACAAACTATTAATCTTTACCTTATCTCTCGCCTTTCATTTATATGAGATCCTAAAGATCCTTCGTGATTGATCTTGCCATCCGCCTTATGTTTTTTACAATTGAATTCTACTTTTGTAGATTATAATGCACAAATATAGGATCACGAATGTGGTTTTGTTGAAGTTGATTCTATCCTTTGCTCACCAACTTCTCTCGTCAAACTCCCGTTAAATATAGGTTTACTTGATAACATGATAAAAAGGGTCGAGGCCAACCAAAAAAAAAAAGAAGGACAAGAACGAAAAAGAAAGAGTGGCAACAAAGGTACGTTCTACGGTGGAATGGCATCTCTTTTGACAAAGATATTAAAAAGAAAACTAATGCAAAGATAAGAATTTGTCTTTGCATTATTAATATATGTCTTTGGCAGAAAAATAACTTATAATGTAAAAATTAATTCTAAAAAAATATTTTTAAAAAGTTGTTTTCCAAAAAATATTTTTTGACATTTGAAAATTATATAAAAAAGCTCGTTGGAATATATATATATAGACGGACAAAAACCGAAATACAAAAATAGATTGTGATTGTTACTTCAATGAGTTTTGAGAAAACTTCAACAATCATATTCACGATTTCACAATATAAGATGCATTTAGAAAAATTTAATAAATTTTTATAAATACCGACTCTAATATTTAGATTCAAAAAATAAAATGTACATTTTTAACCATCAAACCAATTTATCAAAACTATTTGAAAAAAAACAAGTCACTATTCACATTTAGAAAAAAAAATTCTAAGTAATCCTAGCATTGTTATTTTGGTAACTTAATTAAAATTTTTTGTTTTTTGAAAATTAAACTGATAATTTAGTCTAAAAAATTATTTTACAAATTATTAGTTATCGTTTGTAGATAATTATTCATTTGGTTTTAAAAGATTAATGTTGGAATAATTTGTAACTAATTATTGACTACAATTATCAATAAAATTTTACAACTTATTCAAGTTAGTCACAAATTATTGATTTAGTTGTAAATGAATAGTGTTAGAAAAATAATGTATTTGTTAATGAATTAATTAGTTTCAAGTTTTTCATGAATGATTGTAGTCTTGTAATAATTATTTTTAATCATTTAAGTATAATTTAGATGGTATTTAGGATCATGATAAAAAAAATAGAGATAAATTATTAAAATATTTATTATAAAAATAATTTTAAGGTGTAAAAATAGTTTTTAAGAATATTTAATGTATCTATAAATCGAAAAATCAAATGTTAGTAGAAATGGAGAAAATACATTTAAATAATTAATAATAATTGATAAGAAAAAAATAAAAATTAATTTAATATATTTTAAATAAAAAAGGGATAGAGAAAAAATTGTTAAAATATATCGAGAGATAAGTAAATAATACGAGAGCGAGATAGTTTGTGAGAGAATGTTTTCTGCTTTTTTTAACTCAAAAAACATTTTTGTAAAAATATTTTATTATTTTTTATTAAATACGAAATAAATATAGAAAAATAAAAAAAAAATAGGGCAAACAAACAAGTTCGAGGAACTTGTTCAAATAAACACAGCCTCGTTTTCTTTCGAAAAGAGGAGGGATGCAGCGAAAAGTTTATCAAATAGAAACAAAAAAGGAGGGACCCTCCTCCCGAGGAGGGGATTCGAAAACAGGAGGGATGCAACGAAAAGTTTATCAAATAGAAACAAAAAAGGGCGGACCTTTTTGTTTCTATTTGATAAACTCTTCGTTGCATCCCTCCTCCTTTTTGGTTTTTATTTGATAAACTTTTCGTTGCATTAGCTTTCTTTTCAATGTCTCTGTTAAGTTATATCCTTCCTATAAATGCTACTAAAAACTTGGGTGTCAGTCATATGTAAGATGGGGAACAACATGGATACTAAACAAGGAGCGCAAAGGCCATCTCTGGGAGCAACTCAAAGGAAGAATCTGGTGTGTATATATTTTTTGGTGACTTTGCATTTGTCATTCCTTCTATCGTTGTTAATTGTTTCTTAATTATATATTTTTTGTACCAAAAAAGAAAACTTATCTATGTATTTTTTAAGTGATTTTCTTATGATTTTTTTTTTTTTTTTTTTGGCAGCGCCGTTGGTTTAGCTGGGAGATAATTTTATCTGGGATGACCCTTGTGATAGAGGCCATTTCAGCCTCACTAGAACAAACCTCTCCATATAAATTGAAAGCTGCAGTATATGGGCTGATTATAGCAACCGTATCTCTTTTACTTTCCTTTGTGCATCTTGCTTTAAAGCACTATAATAAGCACAGCAAAAGTACCGTCAGCAATGAAGGTCGACATAAGCCTGGTCATCACTTGGGGTGGGGATTTGCCGACACTCTTGGCCTCATATTCTCTATGCTGACTCTAAGCTCTGCTTCCCTTCACTATTACTATCTAAGCAATGGCAAGCAACAGCCCATTCGGTTTTCAATGTTGCCTCTTGTCTTCTCTGTTTGTGTTTTCTGCTCATGTCTTTTTCCACGCCCCATTGATAGGTGTAGGTTTCATACTTTGATAGAGAATGGAGAAGACAGACTATTTGCTTGTTCGGTCTGCGGGCATTCACTACACACGTTGTGCTACTATGTCTGATTTTACCGCAGACAGATGCTGCTGTTATGTTTTATAAAGAGAAAAAAATATATATATATATATATATATATATTTTTTTTTTTCTCTTTTTCTTTGGGGATCGTTTTCTTGATGTATTGGAACAGGGTTTTGTGATTAGCACAATAGTGATATTGGAGTGGATTTGAACACAATAGTAAATCCTATGATACAAATATTTATTTTCTGCCAGCCATCCACGGAATACAAATTTCATTACTGACGGACAAGAACTACAATGCCTATATTTTCTGCTTGTCTAAGAACATATCTTCGCACACCTCATATGCTTGCAATAGAACTTCAGCAAAATAGCCAAGCAATGAAGCTGCAGGCTAAGCAATAAAACTTGGAAAACCAACTAATTTTGTACCGACTATACCTTCAAGGCCATCTTGCCCATTGCCTTTCATCCAACAAAGATAGTAAACCTCCCAGTTGTTTTGGCAGACTGGCTTCCACTCTGCTTTTGTCAGGGTACTCTGTTACGCAGATAGCTGCCTGAACCAGCATCAACCATCAGACCTTGCAAAAGGCTAGCCCTAATCATCATTCATGATGAAGTTCTCAAAGTTTCCTCCGGTGCACTCGCGGTTTCCATTAATTATAGTAAAAGTGGAGTATCCTCAATCCAATTTACAAAAAATTCAATAGATTTCATTGCAAGCCATGACATGGTAATTAACGTTGAAGTTTAATTCATACCAATGGACAGATGAATGATCTTCAATACAGTTAAGAAAAATTCAACAGAGATTTCTTTGCAAGCTATGACATCTGCAGCCGGATTACTTATGCGAGGTGCAAAAACAACTTCTCAAATGACAAAAGAGTTCTGAAACTCCAGCATCCTGTGAAAACCATTTCGAAAAATAGACACACACTTGTACTAGTACAACATGAATTCACATTACACAAATAAAACCAGTCAAACTCAACCATGCACCACTTCAGAAAAGCCACGCTCAGCAGCAAAATATTGATCCTCTTTAGCTGCCATGAACTCTCTTAAAGTGCTGAATCCTTCACAAATGACCAATCCCATAGAGTAATACCATACCGGCAAATGAACTTCAACCCATTTTCCAAATATTATTTTTCAATGAAAAAAGAAAAGAAAAGAAAAGAAAAACTCAGAAACAAATCTATCAAGCAAAGAGCAAACAAATTTACTTTCAGGAGCTGGAAAATATATTGAACAGAATAGTTATGTATGCTATCTCCATATGCATACAGCAAGGCAAATGGGATTCTGCAAATAGTAACTTAAAAAAACCCACTTCCATCATTTCATGATTCGTTTCAGAAAATCCATGAAACAAAAGACGATAATCAGTACAACAAAGCAGAAAAAGCATGTAATAACAAAAGCATAGCCTCCCCGTAATTTCTCATGTTGTATATTTGGTCTTTGATGTCAGGCCACATTATAAACGCAAGCAACGCATACCCAATAATTACAATCAGATTCAGAATAAGTGGACGGCCGTTCTCCTCCTTCTTCGTCTTAGTAGCCACAACTCAAGAGGTTGTAGCTGCTGCTGGAAATTGGAATCAGAGACTGTAAAGAAAAGGAGGAATTAGCAGAAGTAGAGTGTTTGACCTATATCAGTTTGAGAGTGTGAAACTGACATAATCATGTTCTATAGCCTCCTGCGTCGCGAATCTCGCGTTGCAGCATTATGCGGCAGAAGATCTAGTACTGATTTGGGGGTTTTTGTGATTTAGATGAAAGGGTTGTGAAGGTAGAGTTTTGGTTCTTTATTTTATTATTTGAGCCTTTTTCCTTTCTAATATCGACATTAAAGTCCTTTAAGGGTTCATATTTTTCGATTTCATCCTACAATAGAGACAATCTCATTTTGTACGAGCGACATATGTTGTATAAATAGAATCAATCTTATGTCTATTTTATTTATAAAAGAAGATAAATGTTTGTATGGCCTCAGAGCAAAAATCCATTGAAAAGCTTTTAAAAAATAAAAGTAAATAGATCCATTTATCATTATATAATATTTTGAATCTTTCATAAATTTATAAATTTTCAATTGCATCTCGTATATTTTTAAAATTTGAATCAGTTAAAATTTTCTAACTATGGACAATTTTTTGCTCAAAATGCCCTTTATTAAAATGAAAAAAAAATTAAAATCACATGACTTGCATGTTTTATTTTTGAAGTCTTTAGAATTTTTTGTTTAACATTTCAATTAGGTACATTTCGATTAAAAAAATTATAACTGAAAAAACTGATCGAATGATATATTAAACAATTTAAATTTTTTTAGAAATAGATAAGATGCAATTGAAAATCTAGAAATAAATAGGAGATTTGATATATCATATAAGAACATATTAATGTATTTAATTAAAAATATATATATATAAAGATTCTATACTTTACAATCTTTTATAAGTTTTTCCTTCTCTCATCCAAGTGTTATAGTCTAGGTGTTTGCGCATTTGCCTAGTAACATTAATTAACAAAAAACACAAAAGCAAAATGAGTTTTTACAATTTATGACACTATTCGGATACTCACGTATTATTATTTTTATTATTATTCATGATATTGCTATAATTTTGAAGATATTTTGAGGCATTTGATATGCAACTTTTGTACTTTTAGAAATATTTAACTTTGATCATAATTTTTTCACATATTTTTTTTCAATTACGAGTTTCATCGATAGGTCACTTATTCACTTTAACAACTCAAAATTAATCAATTTATTTAATATTTTATGTTTAAACAACTTGACTATTAGAAGATAGGTCATTTATTCACTTTAACAACTTGATAAGTGAAAAATAAATTGTCTAACAATTTAATCAGTAGAAAGTAATTCATTTGATAACGTGCTATTCAAATATTTTTTAAGGTGAATTTTCCTCTCAAGATCATAAATGCTGAAAAAAAAAAAAAAACACAAAGACAATACAAGCTTATTTAAAAGAATTTTGAAATCTCAAAGTATTGTAATTTTATAACAACCTAACTAGTAAATGATATGTCATCTAATAACTTGATAAGCAATAAATTATCTACCTAACAACTTGATCAGTAAATATATTGGAGACAAATTTTCTATTTAAAATAATAAATACAGAAATATGAGGAAAGAAAAGAAAAATAAAAGTAATATAAATTTATTTATAAAAATCTCGAAATCTCAAAAGTGCTATAATTTTACGGCAAAATATATGTTTGTAATATACACCAAACATATTTTATCCCATCTAATATTGTATCTACGTATAAATACAGAATTAAGCATCCTAATGCGGTAACTAATAGTTATAGATCACAATCATTAAATTTACTTTCCAGTAATTCACTTAAAACTAAAATACCGACACTAATCTTGAAGGACAGCTGGCTCCACGGTTCGAAATCTTTTCAAACCCTCAAAACTCAAAACGGTCTAAAAAAATTCATATTTTAACACCTCCTAACCGTACATTTAAAACTCTCTCTACCGTCCGATCATTCGCTAAATTCGCACATTTTCCCTCAAAAACTCAATTTTCAAAGAAAAAGAAAACACTCTCTTCTCTGTCGTTGTTTTCTTTCTCGCTCTCTCCAGATTTTCTCACTTCCCAAACACTCTCTCTTATCCCCAAATTCTTGCCCTAGATTTCCCAATCGACTTCAAAGCTCTAAAAGCTTCACTAAACTAGCTTAATTTCCTTGACGAACATTAAAATCCCTTTCTTATCAAATACGGTGAGCGCGGTTAAGAGCTGATTCGGGGTTACATGACCGGTCTGTCTCGAATCCTTGCCGTTTACACCAGATCTTCTGAAATCTGTCTCTCGAGATCACCACCTTGCTTCCACGCAATCTGTGGTTGCCATGTCAGCAGTCCGGAGAATTAGCGACTGGGATGAGTAGGACCACGGTGGCGCTAAGGGATCAGTGATGTCTGTGCCGCCGCATTCACAGAGCTTTGAGTTCTCTGAGGATCCTTCGTTCTGGAAGGACCATAGCGTGCAGATTTGTTTTAGGTTGTGATTTCCGTCCTTGGATTGTAAAACCCTATGATTTAGTCCAAAATATCATATTTTGAGCTAGGGACAGAAGTAGGATCCCATGTTTGTTTGTGGGGGGAAGGGGGGCGGTTTGATTAGTTTTGAAATGCACAAACTATAATTTTTAATAATTTTCAAAGGTTATCGTTCAAAATATTTGCCTACGATTTACAATTGCTACTTACAAGATATCTTCAAATCCATTCGAACATAAAGAGTTAAAGAACTAGGCATTGGTTGATTATTCATGGTTTGTTATTCTGTATGCATTGATTCTCGTCAAATTTTTGTTGTTTTTGCAATACATGTTTCTCACAAAATGTCACATGTTAAATCAAATTTTAGCTATTTTAGTAAAGACTGGTTGTTTAAAAATATTAATTGAAACCGTGTCTTAACATATTAGTAGGGGTTAATCGATGTTATAATAATTAAATAAATTACTATTTATATTTACAAAATTTGATAAAAATTGAGTTTGGATAAAAATTGAGTTATAGTTTTATTAGAACAACGTGATTGTTAAATTAAATAAATTTGAAATTTTTATTGGATTAAAATCAACCAACTAAACCATCTGTTGAGGTCAACTCTCTCTCTTTTTTATGGTTTTGCATATTTATTTTAAAATATTTAAAACAAAAGATGAGAATATGTATAAATGAGTATTTATCAACACTCTTATTTAGATCTAAGTCCTTTTTTCATAAAATTGAATTCAAGGTCAAAATTGATCCTAATAAATCCACTACCAAACTTTAGTAAATTGGATTGAGTGGTATACCAAAATATTTATGTTTAAAATAAAAGATTAATTGAATTTAAAAGATAGTGGAACTAAGAATTTTTTTCTTAAAAAAAAAAGTAATATAAATGGAAAATTCATAGAGATTCAAAGGAAAAGTGATTAAGAGTGTCAAAAGAAAACTTTTTAATCTAGCATTAATCTTTGCTTTTCCCTAACCCTTTTTAAATAATATGAAATTAACAAATCAAAATAGAAATAATGCATTTTCAATTAAGGAAAAAAATCCTACATCATATCAAGATACTCTCAATCAATAACATACATGATACATGCATAAAAAGAAAAAACCTGAAATTATAAAGAAAAATAACATGTTAGCGGTGAAAAATAAAAGATATAAGAAGGGAAAGAAAATTGCAATTACCTATGGTAATGAAGACGAGAATAAAGCAGATATCAATTCTCTATCAACTATTCTTGATTTCTTTGAGTGATACGCATAATAATTACCTTTGTATTCTCATAAAAATACTAAAAAAACTCAATAATTATCAAAAGAAGGAAAAATTATGTGTTTTATTATTTAAAAAATGGTATCAATGTATCAATTTATAAGCACTTCTATACAAAAATAGGGTTTTTTCACCTCTTTTAGATATCTCACCAACTCTCTTATTCAGGTTAAGTTTTCGTTGTTTTTGTGACATTCACTTCTCCTAAAATATAATATGTTAATTTGAATGATGTTAGTAAGTTAATTAAAAACTTATTTGAAAATATAATTGAAAACTGTGTTTTAGGATATTGACATATTAAAGCAATTGTGTATTGAGTCATTGTTTACTTTTATAAAGTTAAATTACAAATACTATGCTAATCACTTGTTATCTTCAAATAACCAAAGGTTATAAATCTTATTAACTGATTTTCATCATAAAGCTATTAATTTATGTAATTTTTATTTTTATTTTTGGCATAAATGACAAAAAAAAAAAAAAGACTAAAGGATGAACTAAATCTTAAAAAAAAAAAAATAAAGTTCAAAAATATCAAAATATAAATAAAAAGTTCAGAAATGGAGAGGTAAAATAATAAATTGATAAAGAAAATGCTAATGTTTGATTCAGCAGATGACGTGTCGTGTGGTGAGTTGGAGGACAACGCACTAGTCTGCCCCATCTATGCTCTAAATTTAACAAAATCCAATTAAACGAAAGTTGAAATCTTTCATCTAATTCTATTGTGTTTGAAATACGAGCATATATGTTTAGCTTTTGTAGCTATTGTAGCACTACACTGTGTTACAAGATTAATTATACTATGTTGGGTTTAAACTAAAATCATCTAGTTGTTTTTTTTTTTAAAAAAAAAAGAGATTCGAACTTAAGATCTTTTAGAGAAATGAAAAGTAAAAGTATTAATTTCAGATGAGTTATATTGTTTGATCATCATTGTTGTGCCTTTTAAATTTAAATTATTATTAAATATGTAACTTAAATTTAAGATTTTTTTAAAATAAATTATTTAAAAACATGTATCTTTTATCGATATTTTTTTTAATAGTATAAATGAAAAAAATGGTAGCAAGGATTAAAACATTAGGTTTTTGAATGTAAACAAAAATATTATATAATTTAATAAATAATTTTGTTGGTACACCAATTTTTTCAAATAATATATGTTAAAAAAAAATAAAGTATGGCATTAGTTTTTTCCTAGGTAATTATATAGTTTAATTGAGATTCATTTATTTACTATTAATACTTTTATTATTAAGAATTTTCTAATATTATTTTGTCATTTAAATTTAAATGAAATCAGCATTCCATCGAAAAAACATAATTTTCCATTTTTTTAAAAAAATTACAAATTTAACACTGAAAGGTATCCTAATTGTATCTCAAATATCTTTTTGTACCTTCAACAAATCCAAAATTGAATCAATTTTTATATCGTTTTCTTATATATATATATATATATATATATATACCCATTAGGTCATATATGTGGTCTTTGTGATGAAATATTGTATCAAAATGGTTCTGATTTTTATTCTCAGCGTGCTCTATGGAACCCCATAACCAACAACTTGAAACCTCTACCTCCGATGACAACTACGCCCGATCTTCCATCCATCGAAGATTTATGGTTCTGGATTACATCCTGTTACAAAAGATTATAAGGTGATTCTTATCAGAATTGATGGATGGAATATCAAGTATCCTTCACCCCGTGCTTATGTGCTCATTAAGGATGATTCTCGAAGATATTGGGGAGATTTGGAACTAGATTATTGTCTAAGTAATTCTAAATGTTACACATATATTAATGGAGTTTATCACTGGTGGGGATCATACGTACATGATGAAAATTATAAAGTTATTCTTTCCTTTAACGTGGCTTTTGATATGTTTTAAGAGTTACGAGTAGAACTAGATCATGTCAAGCAGGCTTGTGAGAGACTTTCGTTATACCGTCACTCCATTGCTATCTCATTTACTCTTCATAAGATGAACAAGTTTCTTAATATATGGACATCGAATGAAAATGAGGGATGTTGGACCAAAAACCTCATCGTCTGACCTCTTTTAGGAATCAAAACTCCAATTACACATTGAAAGAATAGTAACCATCTTTTTGGAAGCTGACAGATGAACTGATCTTATTTGACCTTAATTGGTACGCAGGAAAGGAAAGAGCTTGCATTCGCGAAATATCCTCCATGCCAAGGAATTTTCGTCTACAAGGAGAGCCTAGCTTGTTTAACTCCTCTGTTCAAGAAGAAAAAAGGGTGTTTGCAATATGAAGAAACTGAGGGGCCGTTTCGTATCATTTTTTTGTTTTTTAAAAAATTGAAAATTTGTTGAGTTGGCTAGTTTTTTTTTTTTTAAAAAAAAAGATGCACGTAGTTTTAATTGGATATTTGAGTTATTAGGACTTCATCCCAAATGATTCAACTCTAATTTCAGCTTTGGCCCTAACCTGAGCAACCCAAACTTGGTTTAGTCCTGACAATCGGACCTTTTGGATCAATCTCGACTCAAACATGAGTTCTCTCATAATCCAAATTTTGAGTTATATTTTATTTTTATTTAATTATTTAGTTTAATAAAAAAAATTATTTTTTTATTACTAAAATTTAATTAAAAAAAATCAAAACAAAAGAAAATAGAATAAAAAAAACACAGAAAATTGGATGGATAGATCTAATAAGAGCATAATTGAATTAAATCATTTATAGCACCAAGTAATGTAATAATTAAAGTGGTAATGAAGTATGATACCAAACTTATCTGAATAAATTGAAGATACCCTAATGGGCTCCCCTGGGGTAAATATGTTATATATCAGGTGCATACCAATATTTCCCTGCCTAACAATATGAGCTTTCCCGTATGATCCGCCTTGTTTAATACCTATAGCTCAGTTCAGCTACATAGAGATAATCTATACCTAACATATTTGGTAAGTCCTATAACCTATAGGGAGATACAGAAGAGGTGTACTTATTACCATATAATTCAGTATATGATAATATCAACTTATCAGACATTAATTTGGCAATATAGGAGGATTACTCCTATGTTTGACTAAACTATGCATTATAATGGAGTCAATTTTTTAGAGATATACCGGATAATGGGTCAATTAGGTTATTTTACCTATTTAATATCCCCCTGATACTATAGAGAAGAAAATGTTTCAATATATTAAATATTGGGAGTGGACAGTACCAATTTCTTCAGGCCTTGTTTACGCTAGCAGATAAATACGAGCTGGGATATCATGGTAATAGTATTCTCTAAGGCGTTGGATAGTGGCCTTTATATGTTGTATTCTCACCTAATTTTGGCCAAGGAGGAATCGATATCTATAAAATAGTTCCCCCGTACTCTCGAATAGATGATTATAAGGACTTTCCTTAGTTAGGATGAAAGGGGTGACACAATAAAGAGTCCCTTAGACTTTTTCCAGGTTTCTCAACCAGTCTCTCCTCTATTTATATATTAGGGTAGTACTATAAAAGAATATAATCGATGTAGCACCACTCTTATAGGTATATTGAACAACAAGGACTTTGGCTATGGTTTTTATATGGTTGACTCGAATAATACCTAAATATACCCCGAATAAATGATAGTATCATTTTCTAACTAGGGTATTAACTAGGGTAACTGACTTTTTTGTATTTTAATTGAGTGGGGCATATTGTTACCATATTAATCTTGGTGCTGGACAAAGGTACTTTGTTAGTAAGGTACTATCACCCCAATAAATGATGAAAATAATTATTGCCTTTTCCAAATAGCATATTAGTGCTAAAATATAATTTAATCCCCGAATATTCTCTAGGGGTGAATTCTGAGGTACTAGGAACATAACTGCATTAAATCAAGTCTGAATTGGAAGCTAATAGGGACATGATTGCATTAAATCAAGTCATAAATTGCATAACAGGGACTTTTCTTTGCATATCATTGTCAAGCTATTAATGTATCTTTAAAGGATCAGCGGACCCTTCCTATAAATGTCTTCTGGCAGACCACGAAGGAAACAACAACTGGTATTACCATTCTCAAACCCTAGGAAAAAAAAAAAAAAAGCATCACTTTGCCCACTAAATACTATGCTGTCAGTCACATGTAACATGAGGAACAACATGGATATATACTAAAAAAGTAGCGCAAAGTCCCTCTCTGGTATGTATATATTTTTTGGTGACTTTGCATTTGTCATTCCTTCTATCGTTGTTAATTGTTTCTTAACTATATATTTTTTTGTACCAAAAAAGAAAACTCATCTACGTATTTTTTAAGTGATTTTCTTATGATATATATATATATATATATATATATATATATATATATATATATATATATATATATATAGCGCCGTTGTTTTGGTGGGGAGATAGTTTACTGTGCGAATTTGATTCGCATCGCAGAGTATGCTTTTGCAAAAGTTCCACAAATGTAGGTGCGAGTGCGAGAGACTTTTTGTCTTTTAGATGCACTTTCTACAATGTACATGCAAGTGCGAAAGACTTTTTGTCTTGTAGATGCACTTTCTACAAATGTACATGCGAGTGCGAGAGACTTTTTGTCTTGTAGATGCGAGTGCGAAAGACTTTTTGTCATTCGCATCAACACCAAATTCGCACAGTAAACTAATGTAAATTTCAATGTCTTCGTCAAGCTATTAATGTCTGCGGAGGATACATCTTTAAAGGTCAGATGATCCTTCCTATAAATGTCTACTGGCAGACCACGAAGGAAAAACCAACTGGTATTACCATTTTCAAACGCTGAGGACCAAAAAAAAAAAAAAAAAAGAGAGAGAGCATCATTTTGCCTACTAAAAACTGTACTGTCAGTCACCACAAGTAAGATGAGGAACAACATGGATACTAAACAAGTAGCGGAAAGTCCCTCTCTGGTGTGTATATATTTTTTGGTGACTTTGCATTTGTCATTCCTTCTATCGTTGTTAATTGTTTCTTAATTACAGATTTTTTGTACCAAAAAAGAAAACTTATCTACGTATTTTTGGAGTGATTTTCTTATGATATATATGTATATATGTATTTTTTTGGCAGCGCCGTTGTTTTTGCTGGGAGATAATTTTATCTGGTATGACCCTTGTGATGGAGGCCATTTCAGCCTCACTAGAGCAAACCTCTCCATATAAATTGAAAGCTGCAGTATATGGGCTGATTATAGCAACCATATCTCTTGTACTTTCCTTTGTACATCTTGCTTTAAAGCACTATAATAAGCACAGCAAAAGTACCGTCAGCAATCAAGGTCGACATAAGCCTGGTCATCACCTGGGGTGGGGATTTGCTGACACTCTTGGCCTCATATTCTCTATGCTGACTCTAAGCTCTGCTTCCTTTCACTATTACTATCTACGCAATGGCAAGCAACAGCCCATTCGGTTTTCAATGTTGCCTCTTGTCTTCTCTGTTTGTGTTTTCTGGTCTTGTCTTTCTTCACGCCCCACTGATAGGTGTAGGTTTCATCCTCTGATGGAGCATGGAGAAGACAGACTATTTGCTTGTTCGGTCTGCGGGCATTCGCTACACACGTTGTGCTACTATGTCTAATTTTACACGGACAGACTATGTACAATTTTTTTTCTCTTTTCTTTTTTCTTATTTTTGGATCGTTTTCTTGATGTATTGGAACCTAGGGATGTTACCACTCCACAAATAATAACAGCACTCTCCTTAGCCAGCAAATGAACTTCAACCCATTTTCCAAATATTATTTTTCAATGAAAAACAAAAGAAAAGAAAAACTCAGAAAGAAATCCATGAAGCAAAGAGCAAGCAAATTTTACTTGGAGGTGCTGGAAAATATATCGACCAGAATAATTACAGATGCTATACCCATATGTAGACAGCAAGGCAAAGGGGATTCTGCAAATAGTAACTAAAAAAACACACTTCCATCATTTCATGATTCGTTTCAGAAAATCGATAAAACAAAAGAGGATAATCAGTACGTACAACAAAGCAGAAAAAGCATGTAATAACAAAAGCATAGCCTTCGAACCCATAATTTCTCATGTTGTATATTTGGCCTTTGATGTCAGGCCACATTATAAATGCAAGTAACGCATACCCAATAATTACAATCAGATTCAGAATAAGTGGACGGCCGTTCTCCTCCTTCTCCGTCTTAGTAGCCATAACTCAAGAGGTTGTAGCTTTTGCTGGAAATTGGAATCAGAGACTGTAAAAAAAAAAAAAAAGAATTAGCAGAAGAAGAGTATTTGACCTGTATCAGTTAGAGAGTGAGAAACTGACATAATCATATTCTATAGCCTCCTGCGTCGCGAATCTCGTGCCGTAGCAATTTGCGGCAGAAGATCCAGTTCAGAACTGATTTGGGGATTTTTGTGATTTGGATGGAAGGGGTTGGGGAGGTAGAGTTTTGGTTCATTATTTTATTATTTGAGTCTTCTTTCTTTCTAATATCGACATTAAAGTCCTTTAAGATTTTATATTTTTCGATTTCATCTTACAGGAGAGGCAATCTCATCATCTTGTACGAACGACATATATTGTACGAACATAATCAATCTTATATCAATTTTGTTTATAAAGGAAGATAAATGTTTGTATGGCCTCATAACAAAAATCCATTGAAAAGCTTTTAAAAAATTAAGATTAAATAGATTCATTTATCATACATTTATAGGTTTTTATTTGTATCTCATTTATTTTTCAAATTTTTAAGATATTTAGAGACATTTGATATGTAATTTTTATGCTTTTAAAAATATTATATTTTGATCCTTAATTTTTTCGCATATTTTGATTTTGATTCTAAATTTCATCTATGCTGTAGTTTAATTCTTAAATGTAGAGAGTAGAGAGAAATAAATGAAGACAAAAGAGGAGGGAGAGGCATATCCAAGCCCCATTCTAGCCAACAAATGGCTAGTGCAGGCTTCTCTTGATTTTCTTTTTCAATGATTATTTTTATTATTGAATATTTTTTTGCAAAATTTTAGGAAAAGATTGATAATTATATATTTTTTTAACAACCTGACAACAATATATGTGTGTGTTAAATTATACTATTATTATTTAAAAATTATTACTTCAATTTGTCATTTGGTATGAAAATTCTCATTCAATTAATTTAAAATTATATGTACTAATAATTTTAATTTTTTAATATATGAATTTTGAAATAAATTTTAAAACATGATTTAAAAAATAGATTTTATATAATTTATATGATTGATTTTTAGAGTTTGTAAACTATAGTAGCATGATACATGTGTCTAAAATACACTATTTTAAATAATTTTTTAGGTTTTTTAGAAAAAAATTAAAAAAATTAATTAATAATTAAAAGTTAAATGCGGATTAAAAAAAAAACAAAGAAAGAAACTTTAACAGCTCTGCTTGAGAGTTCTGTGCACATGGACTGGCCAGGAGAGAGAAATAGACGAAGACAAAAAGAGGAGAAAGAGGCTTGAGGAAAAGGAAACTTATGGTGATGTGGTAAATTAAATCTAACTAACAATTTTTTATTATTTAAATAATAAAAAGACAGTGAAGTTATGTCACTCTACGATATCAAACGCTGCACCCTGATAATTTCTCCATGCACAGCTGGGCTCACTGGCTGCCCATTTGCATACCTACTTCATTACGGGCTTCAAAGTTCAAACCCAACTATCATTATCCAAGAATGCACTATTTATCGGCTGTGTCGAGCTATTACTTCTTTCTACAGACGGATACAGGCCCATATTATTCAAAGTTCCCGCAGGACGGGCTTTGGTTTACAGTATTTCTTTGATGGGCTCCTTCGAATGTTACTGACGTTCAGACAGTCCTAAAATTTGAAACGATTACTCAAACTCTTCTGTGGTAAGACTCAAGAGTTCAACATTGATCATTTAATCAATTTCTCAAGGTTTTCAACTTCAGTTTTGTGTTTTACATTTTTTTATGTTGAATGTTGTATGGTCATATGACAGGAAAAAAAAAAAAGTTCGATAGATGATGGTTCAAAAATCTGGTTTTTAAACGTGTTAGTAAATATTCAAACTATTATGAAAATAATATTTCAGCTAGAAAAGTCCATGCTTGACTGGGAGGTTAGAAGAAAAGGAACCTTCTCTCGTACCATATCGACATTATTGCTTTTTTATAACAAAAAAAGTTCGATGCTGGTTTTTTTTTTGTTTTTTTCAGCGACTTTTCTTTTATTATTGAATATTTTTTGAAAAATTTATGAAAGATTGATGATTATATATATATTTTTTCGATTCAAAAAGAATATTACTGTTTTAATTTTTTTATTATTTGAGTCCTTTTCTTTTTAATATCTACATTAAAATCCTTTGAGATTTTGTTTTTTTGATTTCATTTTACAAAAGATGCAATCTCATCTTGCACCAACGAGTGACAAATTCAGTTCCGATCGAGCATCCTACTACTTTCCATGCAGCCACAAATTTATTTTCGTTTGACTGCATATTCAGGAAGAGCATCCATCCTATTGCTTTATCTGTTTTTTGTTGCCTTGTCAACTCTTTTCCATCGAAGATGCCATGTACAAGTTTCGTCAAATTAATTTAATTAAACCAAATAATTTTTTCAACCAAGAGAAAAATTATTTTTTATTGATGCATAAACTAGTGTGATAATTAATATTTTTTATCATGGAATAAAAAATAAAAAAAATCTACTAAAACGAGATCTGGTAGGCCTACTATCCAAATTAAAGGCAATGTATTTATTAACCTCCAAACTTGACTCATTCATTTCTTTTTGGAACTTTCGAGCATTTCAACAAATCAAAGAAGGTTTGTTCTAAGGAAGGAACCAAGAAAAAATGCAGCTTAGTTGCATAGTAAGTCGAAGTCACAGAAGGTTTTCGTAGTCATGAATATTTATTTGACATTAAATACCAAACCAAACTAAAGCTGCCATGTACATCCGAAGCTACCATCTGATAGTAAGTTGAAGTTACCCGGCAAAAACAGAGTTAGCTTCTAAAGTACATGCGAAAGTTTATGTTCCCAAAGTATATTCCGAATCTATTGACCAATTAAACAGTCCCGAGCCAGGGGCCATCCATTGCTGCAAAACTAGTAGTTTACAAGGAACGGCACAGGCATGAAAGTTTCTTGCCATTGATTATATATCTGAAGCTGCTACATACACCACAGAGCATGTACTGAATTGACAAGCCAAACTAAAGCAGCTAGCCATGCCGAAACTGACCCCTGAACTCCCATCCGAAATCATTTCAGATATTCTCTCAAGGCTTCCTGTCAAGTGTCTGGTTCGTTTCAAGTGTGTATCCAAGACATGGCGTTCTCTAATCTCCCATCCTGAATTTGCCAAAATGCACCTCAAACGTACCAAGGAGGACAACAATGTTAACCACCACAAAATCTTTCTCTCCACTAATCCTTTCCCATGCATCTTCGACCCTGAAGAATATTGTGATGGTGATTGCAATCTCTTAACAACCCAGCTCCACTTTCCTATCGCGCATCCGGAATATAATTATATCTTTATCTTGGGATCTTGTAATGGCCTGGTGTGTGGACTTTTTGAGTCTGATCCGCTAATCCATATATGGAATCCATCTACTAGAGAGTCTAAGGAAGTGGCCTTGCCGAATTATTTGGATGCTTGTGAGTGCTTTTATGGATTTGGTTATGATTCTCAGCTTGATGACTACAAAATAATAGTAGGTTCCATGTGTACTTCCCCCAACCGTCATGGCTCTAAGATTGAAACAAAAGTAGAGGTATTTACCTTAAAAAGCAACAGCTGGAGAACGGTTCAAGACCTTTGTTTTAGTGTTCTCTTGGGGGGTCCGGGCGCTTTAGCAAATGGGGTTTTGCATTGGCTAGTCACACAGGACAGTGGTCGTCCCACTGCGATGGTTTCATTTGATTTGGTAGAGGAGAAATTCCAAGAGATGGTGCCACTTCGAGGCCTAACTGGTGATGCCATTTACTGGCACTACGAATTGGGAGTTTTAGGAGAATGGCTTTGTCTGTATTCTGATTATGGTCTAAGCAGTGACTGTGAGGCATGGATAATGAAGGAATATAGCAGCGAGGCTTCTTGGACTAGTTTCTTGAGGTTCAAGGGTGAATCAAATCCGGGAGGTAAGTATTGGGTTCGACTATTATGGGTGACAAAGAATGGTAATATTTTTTTCAATTTAGATGGAAGGGCATTGGTGTTTTATAACCCAAAAGAAGAAACATCAAGAGAAATCAGCATTGATCACCATGAAGCGGATTGGTTTGAAACGACTGTATACATTGGAAGTCTTATTTCGCCGTATATGAATGACGGGTTCAATGGGCGGAAAATTTGTTATTAAGAGAGAACAAGAAGAAAAGAAGCTGCTGAGACTTATTTTGTTTCCTTTTTTTCTTCTTTTTGGTTTCTAGGATCCATTTGTAAGTTGAATTTTCTTGTTGTTCTTACTCTGTTTCTAGATTGTAAGCATGTGCAATGCTCATGTATTCTTGATGATCGTAATTTTGGATAAATAAATCCTGGATATTTCACTCAGTTTACGAGCACAGTCAGATCAGCTGGTTTGGAGATTTTCATCCAGTGGCTTGTTTACTACAGAAAGTGCAAATCTTCTATCTGTCTCCATGAAATTTAACTAGTCTTTCAGCGTGGATTGTTGGTGGAATAAAAGCTGGAAGGTTACGGTCCCATGTAAGGTCACTAATTTCGTATGCTATCACAAGAAAAAGTAATTTAGATTCAACCTGTGAAAATTGTGGAGCTGTTCCAGAATCAACAATGCATCTTCCAGTTGGATGGCATGGTCTTCAACAGTTTGGGAGTTATGTTGATGACTTCAAAGCATGGTTGCAAGCTAACATGGTTACACTGAAATACTGATGTGGTTTGCTTTGATAATAAAGGACTGGGAGCAGCATCTAACTGATGTGATCCTTGGGGAATCTATAGCAGCTTGCTATGGTTTGACTCTGGCCATACATATGGGACACACAAATGTCGTTCTCCTCTTTCTTCGTCTTAGTAGCCATAACTCAAGAGGTTGTAGCTGTTGCTGGAAATTGGAATCAGAGACTGTTAAAAAGAGAGAGAGAGAGAGAGAGAGAGAGAGATGAAGAAGGAATTAGCAGAAGAAGAGTATTTAACCTGTATCAGTTTGAGAGTGAGAAACTGACATAATCATACTCTATAGCCTCCTGCGTCGCGAATCTCGTGCTGTAGCGATTTGCGGCAGAAGATCTAGTTCAGAACTGATTTGGGGATTTTTGTGATTTGGATGGAAGGGCTGGGAAGGTAGAGTTTTGGTTCTTTATTTTATTATTTGAGTCTTCTTTCTTTCTAATACCGACATTAAAGTCCTTTAAGAGTTTTTAATTTTCGATTTCATCCTACAAGAGAGGCAATCTCATCTTTTGACAGCGACATATGTTGTATCTATTTTATTTATAAAAGAAGATACATTTTTGTATGTGTGGCCTCACAGCAAAAATCCATTGAAAAGCTTTTAAAAACATAAGAGTAAATAGATCCATTTATCGTATGTTTATAGGTTTTCAATTGTATCTCATTTATTTTTAAAATTTTTTGAATTCGTCTAAATTTTTGAACTATGGACATTTTTTTTTAATGAAAATGTCCTTTATTAAAATGTAAAAAAAAAAAAAAAAAAATTTTAAAATCACATGACTTGCATGTTCTATTTTTGAAGTCTTTAGAATTTATTTTATTTTTAAAAAATTTCAATCAAGAACATTTTGAATAAAAAAATTATGACTGAAAAATTGATCGAATAACATATTAAACAATTTAAATATTTTTAGAAATATATAAGATGCTATTGAAAATTTAGAAACGAGTAGGAGACTTGGTATATATATTATAAGAACATATTAATGTATTTAGTCAAAAAGAAAAATAAAATACAATCTATACAAAGAAAAAAAATACATTCTATACTTTACAGTCTTTTGTAAGCTTTTCCATCTCTCATCCATGTGTTACAATCTAGGTGTTTGTGCATTTGTCTATTAACATTAATTAACAAAAAACCACTAAAGCAAAATAGGTTTTTATAATTTATGGCGCTATTGAGACACTCACAAATTATTATTATTATTTTTTATTATTCATGACATTGTTGTAATTTTAAAAATATTTTGAGGTATTTGATATGCAATTTTCATTTTGTAATTTGACGAATGGAACATTCACTGTTTCATTCAAGAATTGGTTGTAAATAAAAAACCAGAAATGGTTTTCGATTCAGCTTGTTTTCAAACCGTTTTTTATTCCTTGCCAGCATCGGATCCCCTATGGATTGAACCATAATCCACACTGTATTAATTGAAGAAATTTTGTTAGAATTTGTAATGAAAAGGAGAGAGAAACAGTGAGAAGAAAATTCAAAAATCCTAAAAGGAACTTAGTTAGTTTTAGGCCATAAATAGAATGTTTGAAAATCTAGAAAGTGAGGGGGGGGGGGGGGACTTGCTTGGATTCTAGGTTGGAGAGAGTGAAAATCAAGAAAGAAGGAAGAAAATTTGAAGGATTTTAGATTTTCTAGTTCCTGTTGTTTTTGGGTTTTTCTAGGCAGGGGTTTAATGTTCTTCATTTTCTGGGAAAGTGTTCTTCACCTTTGGGGCATTTCAATTCGATTTTCTTTTTTTTTTTTTAGTTTCATTTTGAATTTCATGGGTTTTTCAATTCGATTTTCACACTTCCTGGGTTTAATTTGAAGTTTCTGGTTTTTGTTCAAATTTTCTGGGCATTTGTTCCTTTGTTCTTCAATTTTTTTGGGCCACATTATAAATGCAAGCAACGCATCCAATATGGCGTATCTCAAGCCGCTTTGGAGTATCTCATGCTACCTTTCACATTTTTGTCCATAACACTCTTCAAATAGCCTTTGACCATGGCATTACCACGCATCCAATATGCCAAGTCTATTCATCGCTGGAATCGAAATGATACTATCAACAAATCCAATTTTATTTTTGGCGAATAAGGCATTGCACATTTCATTCACGTATTCTCCATAATTTTCATCATGAAGAAGTTCATTGAAATAGATTTGCCCTAGATTATCCGAACCACGTGTGTAACACAGAGCATTACATCCATACTATTTAAGTGGTGTAGATGAAGTGGTAGGTAGGCTATTTGTGTACCAGGTTTAGCTCTGATACCATGAAATATTTTTTGCACACTCTCATTACTGTTAAGCATTAGTTGATACTTCTAGTTTAGGAAAAATATATCAAACATGGAAGGTCAACTATGTAAGTTATAGTAGTAGCTATACATGGCTAATTAGCTACAAAAGTTAATTTATAATCTTGACTTAATCAACAACTAGAATTGTGGAACAATCTTTAATAATCTTTAACCATTCCATCATCGGGTAGATGTTAGGGTTTGTAAAGTTTGTGATTATTTGAAGAATTCTTCTTCTGTTGTTTCATTGATATCTCGCTAAGTTGAAGAGGAAGATTCGATCAATTAGAGTAACTACTATGATGACTATGTGATTTTTTGAATCAAGAGTCTGAATTCATCAAAATCACAATAGAAGTTAAAGTCTTATGGAATTGCAAAAGAAAAAGCATTGAGGTTTGAAATTGAAATGGATGACTAGGTAGCTATTAGGGTTTGCAAGGTTAGAGATTTTTTAGGAACAACAAAGACAAGGAAGGGCTGAGGCCAACAAAAGGGAGAAAAAAATAGAGACAAGAACGTAAATGAAAGAGTGGCATAAATCAAATTACAAAGACAAAGGTACATTCTATCGTGGAATGCCATTTCTTTTGACAAAGAAATTAAAAAGAAAACTAATGCAAAGACAAGAATTTGTCTTTACATTAGGCTTCTGTTTGTTTAGTGAAAAAGAACTTCTAATGAAAAAATCAAAATCTAGAGAATCTATTTTTAAGAAGCTGTTTTTTTTAAAAATATTTTCTAATTGTTGATAATTACATGAAAAAGCTATTGAAAAACATATTTCAAGCATTTATTTGATACGAGAAAATTGAAATACAAAAATAGATTGTGATTGTTATTTCAACGAGTTTTGAAGAAACTTCAACAAGGTATATTCACAATTTCACAATATAAGATGCATTTAGAAAAATTTATTAATTTTTTTTAAATACCGACTCTAAGATTTAAATTTAAAAAATCAAAAAATAAAATATACATTTTTAACCATCAAACTAATTTATCAAAACTATTTAGGACAAAATCAAATCAATATTCAAATTTATTATAAAAAATTTCTAAGTAATCTTAGCATTGTTATTTTGGTAACTTGATTAAGAATTTTTTTAAAAAAGAAATTGAACGAGATAATTTAGTCTAACAAATAGTTGTACAAATTATTAGTTATCATTTGTAGATAATTATTCACTTGGTTTCAAAAGATTAATGTCGGAATAATTTGTAACTAATTATTAACTACAATTACCAACAAAATTTTACAACTCGATTAAAATTAGCCATAAATTATTGATGTAATTAAAAATGAATAGTGTTAGAAAAATGATGTATTTATTAATGAATTAATTAGTTTTAATTTTTTCACAAATAACCGCAATCTTGTAGTAATCATTTTCAATCATTTAAGTATAATTTAGATAGTGTTTGGGATAATGGTAAAAAAAAATAGAGATAAATTATTGAAATATTTATTATAAAAATAATTTTAAGGTGTAAAAATGATTTTTAAGAATATTTAATGTATTTATAAATCAAAAATCAAATGTTAGTAGAAATAGAGAAAAAATAATTGAATAATTAATAATAATCTATAAAAATAATTAAAAATTAAGTTGATATATTTTAAATAAAAAAGAGATTGAGAAAAAATTATTAAAATATATCAAGAAAGAAATGAGTAATGCGAGAGCGAAACAACTCAAGAGAGAAAGAATATATATATATATATAATTCAAAAAATACTTTATTAATAATATTCTATCATTTTTTATTTATTAAAAATTATTTTCTATTGTCTTTTTTTTTCTGAATACGAAACAAACATTGAAAAATGAGAGAAAATAAAAAAATAAGTTTCATAAACTTGTTTCTCCCTTTATAAACACAGTATTTTGAAAAAAAAGATAATGCAAAGAAAAGTCTTGGGTTTTTTAGTTTGGACCATTCAGACGAAGGATATAGCTTGACGAAGACATGGAAAAGAAATCATTGCAAAGAGAAAGATGTTCTTACTTTCATGTAATGGAAAATGTCCATTAGATGAAAGTAAATGATTAACATTTCATTTCATGAAAGTAAGAACATCTTTCTCGTAATGGACAATGTCCATTACATGAAAGTATCCATTACGAGAAAGATGTTCTTACTTTCATGAAATGAAATGTTAATCATTTACTTTCATGTAATGGACAATGTCATGACATTGTCCATTACATGAAAGTAAATGATTAACATTTCATTTCATGAAAGTAATAACATCTTTCTCTTTGCAATGATTTCTTTTCAATGTCTTTGTCAAGCTATATCCTTCCTATAAATGTCTACTGGCAGACCACGAGGGAAACACCAACTGGTATTACAAACCCCAGGGAAAAAAACAAACAAAAAGCATCACTTTGCCTATTAAAAACTATGCTGTCGCAAAGGCCCACTCTGGGAGCAACTCAAAGGAAGAGTCTGGTGTGTATATATTTTTTGGTGACTTTGCATTTGTCATTCCTTCTATCGTTGTTAATTGTTTCTTGATTATCTATTTTTGTTGTACCAGAAAAGAAAACTTATCTATATATTTTTGAAGTGATTTTCTTATGATTTTTTTTTTCAGCAGCGCCATTGGTTTAGCTGGGAGATAATTTTATCTGGGATAACCCTTGTGATGGAGGCCATTTCAGCCTCACTTGAACAAACCTCTCCATATAAATTGAAAGCTGCAGTATATGGGCTGATTATAGCGGCCATATCTCTTTTACTTTCCTTCGTACATCTTGCTTTAAAGGACTATAATAAGCACAGCAAAAGTACCGTCAGCAATGGAGGTCGACATAAGCCTGGTCATCACTTGGGGTGGGGATTTGCTGACACTCTTGGCCTCATATTCTCTATGCTGACTCTAAGCTCTGCTTCCCTTCACTATTACTATCTAAGCAATGGCAAGCAACAGCCCATTCGGTTTTCAATGTTGCCTCTTGTCTTCTCTGTTTGTGTTTTCTGCTCATGTCTTTTTCCACGCCCCATTGATAGGTGCAGGTTTCATCTTTCGATAGAGCATGGAGAAGACAGACCATTTGCTTGTTCGGTCTGCAGGCATTCACTACACCCGTTGTGCTACTATGTCTAATTTCACACGGACAGATGCTACTGTCATGTTTTTTTTTTTTTTGGGGGGGGGGGGGGGGGGGTGGGAGAGTGTGTGGTGGTGGTGTCTGGGGGATCGTTTTCTTGATGTATTGGAACCGGGTTTTGTGATTAGCACAATAGTGATATTGGAGTGGATTTGAATACAATAGTAAATCATCCTCTGATACAAATATTTCTTTTCTGCCAGCCATCCACGGAATACAAATTTCATTCCTGACGGATAAGAACCACAATGCCTATATTTTCTGCTCGTCTTAGAACATATCTTCACACACCTCATATGCTTGCAATAGAACTTCAGCAAAATAGCCAAGCAATAAAACTTGGAAAACCAACTAATTTTGTACCGACTATACCTTCAAGGCCATCTTGCCCATTGCCTTTCATCCAACAAAGATAGTAAACCCCCCAGTTGTTTTGGCAGACTGGCTTCCACTCTGCTTTTGTCAGGGTACTCTGTTACGCAAATAGCTGCCTGCACCAGCATCAACCATCAGACCTTGCAAAAGGCTAGCCCCAATCATCATTCATGATGAAGTTCTCAAAGTTTCCTCCTGTGCACTCGCGGTTTCCATTAATTATAGTAAAAGTGGAGTATCCTCAATCCAATTTACAAAAAATTCAATAGATTTCATTGCAAGCCATGACATGGTAATTAACGTTGAAGTTCAATTCATACCAATGGACAGATGAATGATCTTCAATACAGTTAAGAAAAATTCAACAGAGATTTCTTTTCAAGCCATGACATCTGCAGCTGGATTACTTATGCGAGGTGCAAAAACAACTTCTCAAATGACATCTGCATCCAGTAAAAACCATTTCGAAAAATAGGGATACACTTGTACTAGTACAACAGGAATTCACATTACACGAATAAAACCACTCAAACTCCACCATGCACCACTTCAGAAAAGTCATGCTCAGCAGCAAAATATTGATCCTCTTTAGCTGCCATGAGTTCTCCATCTGCATACTGCAAATAGTCATCATTTCATGATTCGTTTCAGAAAATCGATGAAACAAAAGAGGATAATCAGTACAACAAAGCAGAAAAAGCATGTAATAACAAAAGTATAGCCTTCGACCCCATAATTTCTCATGTTGCATATTTGGCCTTTGATGTCAGGCCACATTATAAATGCAAGCAACGCATACCCAATAATTACAATCAGATTCAGAATAAGTGGACGGTCGTTCTCCTCTTTCTTCGTCTTAGTAGCCATAACTCAAGAGGTTGTAGCTGTTGCTAGAAATTGGAATCAGAGACTGTAAAAAAAAAAAAAAAAACAGAGAGAGAGCGAGAGAGAGATGAAGAAGGAATTAGCAGAAGAAAAGTATTTAACCTGTATCAGTTTGAGAGTGAGAAACTGACATAATCATACTCTATAGCCTCCTGCGTCGCGAATCTCATGCTGTAGCATTTTGCGGCAGAAGATCTAGTTCAGAACTGATTTGGCGATTTTTGTGATTTGGATGGAAGGGTTGGGAAGGTAGAGTTTCGGTTCTTTATTTTATTATTTGAGTCTTCTTTCTTTCTAATACCAACATTAAAGTCCTTTAAGATTTTTTAATTTTTGATTTCATCCTTCAAGAGAGGCAATCTCATCATCTTGTACGAACGACACATGATGTATGAATAGAATCAATCTGATATCTGTTTTATTTATAAATAAAACAAGATATATATTTGTATGACCGCACAGTAAAAATCCATCTAAAAGCTTTTAAAAAATAAGATTTGAGAGATACATTTATCCTTATATAATATTTTGAATCTTCCATATATTTTTAAAATTTTTTTATTTGGTTCAAATTTTCGAACTATGGATAATTTTTTAACCAAAATATCCTTTATTGAAATACAAAAAAAAGGATATGACTTGTTTTTTAAGTCTTTAGATTTTTTATTGTATTTTTATATTTTATTCAGGAATATTTGGATTAAAAAAAATTATGATCTAAAAAATTGATTAGAATGACATATTAAACAATTTAAATGTTTTTAGAAATAGATAAAATGTAATTGAAAATTTAAAAACAAGTAAAAAACTTGATATATTATATAAAACCATATTAATGTATTTAGTAAAAAAAAAAAATTACAATCTATACTCTACAGTTTTTTTATAAGTTTTTTCCATCTCTTATCCATGTGTTACAATCTAGATGCTTGTGCATTTGCCTATTAATATTAATTAACAAAATACACTAAAACAAAATGAGTTTTTGCACTCATTAATTATTATTTTTACTATTCATAATATTGCTTTAATTTTTAAGATATTTTGTAACATTTGATATGTAATTTTTATGTTTTTAGAAATATTATACTCTGATTCTTATTTTTTATATATATTTTTTTTTCGATTTTGAATTTCATCTTCATTACAATTTGATTTTTAGATGTAAAAAGGAAAGAGAAATAGACGAAAACAAAGGAGGAGAGAGAAGCAGAACCAGACCCCATTCTATAGAGAAAACACGAACACTGTAACTTATTTAAGCATCGTTTTTCTTCGTAGACTAATTTGATCGTTTGGAGGTGGAAAGTCCATTGGGATGATCAAAATTAAAAAGGACCAAAATTGGTAAATTGTCAGCAATAATTCTAATCCAATATCCAAATTTGGCAAGTTAATCTCCACTCTCCCCCGACCATTTTCTTTCCTCAGTCATTGGTAAGTGCACAACACTTGCTTCCAAAAGCAAGTGAAAAGCCCACCAAACAAATAAATGAAGCACCTTAGCATGGGAGTTGCTTTCCTTTTCTTTCATTAAACAAACAAATGAAGCACCTTAGCATGTGAAATTAATGCTGATTACAAACAAAGGTTTGACTATCTTACTATCTCTTTCCTAAGGTCTTACGTTTCCATTTCATATCAAGTGCTCCAGTTACACGCATCTCAAACACTTGGATGGAAAATGTTGAAAGGTTGCTTTCTCCAACAGACTACATCTCTGGCATTCTGCACATCATTGATAGAACAGTTACCTTAAAGGATACTGGCCATTTTGGGAGCTACCTTCAGAAACGAAAATGCTCATTTTGGCAACACAAACTTCAATAGAAAACCACATCACTGTATGGAATCCATCTACTAGAGACTCCAAGGAATTTCCCGCGCCTAATTCTTTGCCTAACGGTAAGTTCTTTCCTGGATTTGGTTATGATCACCACCTTGATGTTTACAAAATGGTAAGAGGTTCCATCTTTACTTCTACTAACAATGGTTCTAATAATCAAGCAGAAGTAGAGGCCTTGACCTTGAAAATTAATATGTGGGAATTAATTCAGGACCTGGAATATAGTGTTGTCTTTAAGGTCCAGTAACTTGTGCGAATAAGACTGCATTGGCTAGCTGAAAGGGAAGCTGTTCCAAATAATATACTAATTAGCATGTGAAAAAAGGCTTGGTCTACTATATGTTACAGAGGATTAGAATCTCTGGTTGAATATAATTTAGATGGATTAGAGCTAAGCCCTTTAAAACCCAAGAGAAGATAGATATAAAAGATTCACAATTGTACATTAATGGGACTGGTTTATAACAACTACGTACACAGAAGTTCTTGGGAAACTAAGGAATGAGTTAAAAACAAGATGAAACAATAAAATGAAATAGCTGAGACAGATTAATCTGTTCTTTTCCTTTTCATCCTCGCCTTCTCCCCTTCGCTGTTCTTATTTTTGTGTTTATGGCATTCAAATGATGATTATGTTCAAACTTCAAGATCAACTTCAGGTATATTTTGCATTTCCTGGTGCCTCTACTTCAACCAGCTAAAATGTGACAGTAGTTCTGGATAATTTCTTCTTTTTTTTAAAAAAAATTCAAGGTTCGTTCAACTGCGCAAACAACCAGTAGTCAATCCAATCATCACATCACATCCCAGGGCCATGGCTGTGCAAGGTCAAGTCTTTTGGTACAAGCTAGTTAGATACTGCTTGAATACATATTAAATATCCATTCTACAAAAATTTAGAAATAAGAGAAAGAGACTTAAAATTTAAAGTATACAAAGTGGTTGCTTGTTCCTAACAAATATTTGACCAGGTAGTTTTTTGTCCAAGCCTAGTTAGTAGTGACCAATTAACAACACAGTTACTAGTCGCCCATTTCTAGAAAAGCAGCAGAACAAGTCATGGCGGCTTACAAGGAACGCCAGAGGCATGAAAGTTTCTTGCCATTGATTATTTATATTTAGCTACTACATACACCACAGAGCAAACCAAACTGAATCAGCCATGCCGAGACGAATCCCTCAACTCCCATCAGAAATCAGTTCAGATATTCTCTCAAGGCTGCCTGTCAAGTGTCTGGTTCGTTTCAAGTGCGTATCCAAGGCATGGCGTTCTCTAATCTCCCATCCTGAATTTGCCAAAATGCACCTCAAGCGTACCAAGGAAGACACCAATGGTAACCACTACAAAATCTTCCTCTCCACCCATCCTCACCTATCCGTCGATCCTGAAGCCTATTGTGATCCTGATGGTAATCTTTTAACAACCGCCCTCAACCTTCCTGTCAGCTATCCTGCATATTCTTGGATTGAAATCCTGGGATCTTGTAATGGCTTGGTGTGTGGACTTTTGCACGATAATCCGCTGATCTATATATGGAATCCATCCACTAAAGAGTCCAGGGAATTGGCCATGCCGGATTATTCGGAAGATGGCTTTTATGGATTTGGTTATGATTTCAAGCTTGAGGATTACAAAATTTTAAGTGGTTCCATCTCTAGTTCCACCAATAGTACTGATGGTTCTATGATTGAAACTAAGGTTGAGGTATTTACCTTAAAAAGCAATATGTGGAGAACAGTCAAAGACCTTTGTTGTAGTGTTGTCTTGTGGGGTCCGGGTAGATTAGCAAATGGGGTTTTGCATTGGCTAGTCAGCCAGGAAAATGGTGGAAGTAAAAAGTGTAAAATGGTTTCATTTGATTTGATAAAGGAGAAATTCCTAGAGATGGTGCCGCTTCGAGGTCTAACTGATGATGAAAATAACGGGGACTTGGAATTAGAGGTTTTAGGAGACTGGCTTTGTCTATATTCTCACTATGGCCATTCGAGCTGCGAGGCATGGATAATGAAGGAATATAGCAGCGAGGCTTCTTGGACCAGATTTTTGAGGTTCAAAGGCGAACCAATTCCAGGAGGTTTGTATAGTTTTCGACTATTATGGGTGAAAAAGAATGGTAACATTGTTTTTTATTTAGATGGAAGGGAATTAGTCTTTTACAACCCAGACGAAGACACAGCAAGACCATTCATCATTTACCATGACATGGATTTGTTTGACTCGACTGTATATATTGAAGGTCTTGTTTCCCCTAATAATCTTAATGATCATGGCCTCCTACACGATATTTGAAGCAGCTGACACTGATTTTCTTTCCTTTTTCGTTTCTACTTTCTAGTATCAATCTGTAATTTTTATTTTTTTTAAATCTGTGAGCTTGTGAGTTGTGATTGTCCATCCTCTTCCTGTGCATCTCGTTTCTTAGTTTGTAGGATGCTTATTATGAGCACATGCAGCTGGCGTGATATTGCGCTAAGCAAATTCAAACTTAGATGTGCCTTCTTGAAGCTGCTACATTGTGGATTAAGGATCTATTTTATATCTAAATACTTCAAACTCTTTATTTTTAAGAGATGGATGATCATCCGTTCACATATAAAACTCAGCATTAAAAGTAATATAGCTTCTAAGTATTGTTAATTAATGTTCAAATTGGTAGATATATTATTCATGTAATGACTATATGTTTTAATCTCCAGATTTGACTAGCTTATTTTTAACCCAATTCCAATCAATCACCAGGACTCATCAGTTTTTGGAAGGAATCTCCAGCCATAAAAATTGCAACGTACATGGTGAGTTGAAGAGAAAAAAGTTCTTGCTAATGGTTATTTTTTTGAAGTTGCAACTTTTACGGTAAGCTAAAGAGATTTCTTTGTCATGGTTATTTATTTGAAGTTGCATCCATTGTAGAACACAGACTGAAACAGCAAATTACAAAACTGAAGTAACCATGCGTAGACTGCCTAAACTTCCATTCGAAATCATGTCTAATATTCCCTTCAGGCTGCCTGTCAAATCTCTGGAACGATTTAAATGCGTATCCAAGACATGGAGCTCTCTAATCTCAAAATCTTACTCTCTATTAGTCCTTTCCAATCCTTCGACCCTGAAGTCTGTTGTCATGGTGAGGAGAATCTGATAACGACCAAGCTCAGCATTCCTGATAAGTACCTTGATGAATCTGAATTCGAAGTCATAGGATCCTGTAACGGCTTGGTGTGTGCTGCTTTTGACTCTGATGAAGTGATCAATTTATGGAATCCACATACTAGAGAGTCCAGGGAATTGTCCGTGCCGAATTCATTGCCTGATGATGGTAAGTTTTTTTTTCTGGATTTGGTTACGATTTCCAGCTTGATAACTACAAGATAATAAGAGGTTACATTTCTAATTCTACTAACAGTAATGGTTCTTATGAAGCTAAAGTAGAAGACCTCCATTTTAGTGTTCTCTTAGAGGAGAAATTCCTAGAGATAGTACCACCGCCAGATGTAAATGACCACATTAGCGTGAGAACAGACTTGAAAGTAGTAGGAGACTGCCTGTGTGTATATAAAGATACTGATTGTGGACCTCTCTTAGAGGCATGGATTGTGAAGGAATATGGAAACAAAGCTCCTTGGACTAGACTGCTCAGGTTCAGCAGTGACCCATTACCTGGAGCTGAGTATTGGCTTCAACAACTATGGGTTATAGAGAATGGTGACGTTCTATGCAATTTAGATGGATGGTAGATAGTCCTTTATATATTCCTTTGTAAGATTTTATTAAAAAATCATATTATTTCTCACAACTTCAACTTCAACTTCAATTCACACACTTTTTGCAGTCATTCCTTATTGAGCGCATTCAAAGGCTACAAGCTATTTTTCTTCTTTTGAGAACTCACCTGCTCCTGGATTCTTGTCATGTCTTTTTTTTTTTTTTTTTTTTTGTGACAAATGTTTCTCGTAAAATACCATATGTTAACTCAAATTTAATCTATTTAGTAAGTTAGCTAAAGACTGAGTTGTTTAAAAGTATTAATTGAAATTGCATGGTAGAATATTAGTAGATTATATCAATGCAATAATAATTGAATAAATCATTATTTATATTTACAAAATTAACTCACAAAGCAATGCAAATTATGTTTGAAGGAATATAAATCGACATACAAAAATTTGATAGTAAGTAACTATGTAGATGATTTGAAACATAGCAAAACAAAAGAGAAAACATTAGCATGGCACTTTCATACAAAACAAAATTTTCGAGTTGTTAATTATCAAGGGCATCTAAAAATTTTTTGGATAAAAATTGGACCATAATTAAATTATAAATTCAATACGAGTGTAACAATAAATGATTTTGACATGCTCCATTTGTCACATAACGGAGACAATTGTCTTTTAAAGGTCTTCACTTTTTCACGTCATAGCCTTATTTGATTTGAACTTTTATTGGGTTAGAATCAACTAATTAGACCATTTGTTTAGGTCAACTCTCATCGTCTAATGTTGTCAAATATTCTTTCTATTCTATGTTATGGTTTCTATAGATTTTTCAATTATAAAAGTTTCAAAATCAAAATATTAACTTATTTATCTAAAAATATTTAAAATAAAGGATGAGAATATGTATAAACGAACATTTATAAGTCCTTTTGTTGAATTAGATTGAGTTATTAGATCACCTACTTTCTAATTCTGGTTAGATCTTCATTGTTTTCATAACACGCATTTTCCTTAAAATTTCACATCTTAATTCAAATCTAAACGATTTTAGCAAATTATTTTAAAAAACATAATTGTTTGAAAATATTAATTAAAAACCTTATTTTAGGATATTGACATTAACGGTGTATAGAGTCATCATGTAGTTTTATAAAGTTAAATCACAAATATAATGCTAATTACTTGTTATCTACAAATATCGGATAGAAAAAGTTCATAATAGTGAGAAATTATCTCAAGGATCTGAACCAAATAAAAAATTGCAAAACAGTAGCATGACATTTGCATACAAATCAAACTTTTGAGTTCTTAGTCGAGGGCATTTAAAAGTTGGGCCTTGGTTAAGTTGGAAATTTAAAAATGGTGTAAGATTTATGGAGCTTAAATTTTAAATTTTGGATGCTTGGTGGGGCCAAATTGCCTTATAAGGCCAGGCACTCTATTCTCATTTCATGATAGCCCAACTTGATTCTAACTTTTATTGGGCCATTATCGAGCTGGGCTCTCATTGTCAAATGTTTTCAATATTCGTCTTTTATTAAATGGGCTTTAATAGATTATAAAGATAGAAACTAAATGAGCGCCATCCTTTGCTTTACCTTATTCTTCTAATAGCATAAATTTAACCAATCAATATAGAACCGATGCAAATCTCAGTAAAAAGGAAAAAAATCTAATCTCTGATAGTGTTTTCGATTAATAACATACATGCATTGAAACCAAAAGGGTTTAAATAATTATTAAAAAAACTAAAATATTCTTATGAAAATATAGACATAAAAAAAAAAAAAGAGAAAATTATGATTAAGTAAGATAATGTATATAAAAAAATCACATGATGATTTTTCTATCAGCAATTCTAATGAGATTAAGAGAGACAAAATGAAGTATTGTTGTGTTCGTTTTCTACTAATATCCACTGAAAAACCAAATATGATATTATTAAGAAAAAACGGATACACATCTTCTCTTTAATGAATATATCGATGTGAATTATATAAGTTTATAAGTAGTTTCATGTACAAATTGATTTTTTTTCCTTTTGAGACATCACCTATTTTTTTATTCTCGTCGAGTTTTTACTGTTTTTGTGACATAAGTATCTCATAAAATACTACGTGTTAACTCAAATCTAAACTATTTTTGTGAATTAGTGAAAAACTCAATTGTTTAAAAGTATTAATTGAAATGTTATCATAAAACATTTGTAGGTTAAAAATCAATATTGTAATAAATCACTAATTATATCTACAAAATTAAATCACAATGAAATGCTAATTATTTATGAGTTTCTAATTATGTTAGGAGAAATACAAACCCTCGTACAAAAGTTTCATAGCAAGAAACTATCTCAGTGATTCGAAACAAAGCAAAACATCATCATGGCATTTGCATACAAAACCAAAATTTTGAGTTCATTAATAGGGGAGGACATTTAATAGTTGTTTGGATGAAATTTGGGCCATGGTTAAATTAGATATTCAAAGAGGGTTTATAAGCAAATAACTTGAACATGTTCCATATTTCTATTTATACGCATGGTGGGGACAGTTGCCTTATAAAAGGGTAATCGTTTTTCCCGACCGTTGCAGTTGGGATACCTAGCCAAGTAAATTATAAATTAGTCACTCTAGTTTTTCAAAAATACTAAATAGTCCCTCTATTGTTTGAAAATAATTAATTAGTCCTTCTATTTTTAAAAAAATTTATTTGTAACTTAATCCTCTTTTATTCTTTTTTTTTTTTTTTTAAGAAATAATTAAATAATATAGAAAGACAGATGAGAAAATAAAATATTTTTGGTAACAACTAATACTAAATTAAACATGATCATTATTTTTTAAAAGACCAATTAATAAATTTTTGAAATAAAGAAACTATTTAATTCATTTTGCAAAACTAGAAAGGCTAATTTATAGTTTATCGTACACCAGCATATGGCTTGAATCCTTGTACAATTTTACTTGCCAAATGAAGCGAGCAATCAAGTTAAGTGAGAAGATGGGCATCATCGTTTTGGACAGACTAAAAAGCGCTTTTGTTTGCAAGAGCAACTTCCTACTCAACTTTGAACTCAACACAGATTCGCTGTAGTCTACAGGAAAGAAAATGGTGCCCTTTCTTATTTCAGGAGCAATCTTTGAATGCAATTATTTACTTTAAGCCTACCTGAAATGAAATTAATGGTAGTCAGAATTTGCTAATTTGCTAACTTCTATAGAACAATTATGATTAATAGCAACAAACTATTGATCTTTACCTTATCTCTGCCTTTTATTTGTATGAGATCCTCCATGATCAATCTCGCCATCCGCCTTACGTTTTTTACGATTGAATTCTGCTAGTTGCAGATTGTAATGCACAAACATAAGATCACGAAAGTAGTCATGTTGAAGTTGATTCTGTCCTTTGTTCACCAACTTCTCTGCCAAACTCCTGTTTATTTTGTATCTGATAGCACCATCACAAGTCTGACTCAGGATACGAATCGCCATCCTCTGTAGTTCAGGACAGTGATCTCCAAATGCTGACCACCACAGAGCTGTAATTGATATCACAGAGAATACAAGTTAA